CCCCCTACGATGGACCCGCAAATCGGACTCGCGCCAAAATGCGCCGCTTGTTGTAAAAATGGTTCTTGTTACTCTTGTTGTTCACTGTTAAGTTTTCTTGCTGCGTTGATGGGGGGGGGCGGGTACAATGTATATGTGTATATAGTGTAATTTTGTATAGGTGGGTTGGGTTATTTATTGGGGTGTTCGTTCTTATGAGGCACGCACGGGTGGGGGTTTGTTGTGTTTATTGTTCGAGTATTGTTGCAGCCGGGACGGCTGCGGGTTACACGGGAGGGGGTGATGTAGGGGTGCTATGGGGAATAAACACATGACACGGGAAGGTGTGGTTCACCCACACCTTGGTGGCTACAACAACGTCCGCTAAGGCTCCAGTGGGTATAAAGTGCGGGGAGCCAGGGAGCTCGGGGGAGAGTGTGGGGCCCGAGGCTGAAGCAACCAGTGAAGAAAGAAGGCCAGCTAGGTGAGACCCTGGAACTCCTGTGACCGCTGCCCTTTTCAGGGCCGGCACAGCAAGCCAGTGGTGCGGCCCCAGAGCCCCAGAGTCAGAGTCCTTCTAAGGGCCGGTCTGGTCGGCGGGGTGCCGAGATCTGTGCCTAACCAGGGCCGGATCTGATAGCCTCCCTTAGAGCCCTACCAGGAGGAACTGGGAGCCTAGAGCTTAGGCCAGAGAGCCTGGGGTGTGTTCCTGAGTTATACGGGTGGAGGGGCCGCTACCCCTTCTAGTGTAACCCTTGTTAAGGTTTAAATAAATAGTGCTGCTTCTATTCTGCCGTCTCCGTGTCCTGGAACCCACTACACATATACTACGGGCCCTGCACTTTCAAGGGCCCTGTGCTAAATACCTTCAAGCTATCAATTCCGGTTCAGTGATTCTGCACTTGCTCTAATACTATAGTACTCTACTGCCTTCAACTTTTATGAACGACTGGGTGTTTAAGGTTAGCGATTTGTCGTATTACATGGCTGTATAGCAAATGAAAAAAGTACAATTACTTTACTATGCAAGTTAAAAAATGTGTGTTTTAATATTTGTCGGTGTTTTTTTAATTTAGGGCCCCTGTATAACATATGCTACAGGCCCCGCACTAGCTTAATCCGGCACTGACCCCTCCCCGGGGCCCCACCACCGCCCGTCACCAATCCGCAATGAACCAGCATGGTGAAGTATGGTCAAACGACTGCCCCACCACCGACGCTGGGCGGTGGGGTAGGGGGAAGAGGTGCTTTCGTCCAAGAGTGGACCGAGAAATATCTCAAACACTTAATTTCAACCGTTCTGATAGCTACCGCCTTAGTGCTGCATGGAAGCAAATAATCAAATAATACATTATTTAAATGGTGGCCTACAAAGGGCAGCGTACAGTGAGGGAAAAAGTATTTGATCCCCTGCTGATTTTGTACGTTTGCCCACTGACAAAGAAATGATCAGTCTATAATTTTAATGGTAGTTTTATTTGAACAGTGAGAGACAGAATAACAACAAGAAAATCCAGAAAAACGCATGTCAAAAATGTTATAAATTGATTTGCATTTTAATGAGGGAGATAAGTATTTGACCCCCTCTCAATCAGAAAGATTTCTGGCTCCCAGGTGTCTTATATACAGGTAACGAGCTGAGATTAGGAGCACACTCTTAAAGGGAGTGCTCCTAATCTCAGCTTGTTACCTGTATAAAAGACACCTGTCCACAGAAGCAATCAATAAATCAGATTCCAAACTCTCCACCATGGCCAAGACCAAAGAGCTCTCCAAGGATGTCAGGCACAAGATTGTAGACCTACACAAGGCTGGAATGGGCTACAAGACCATTGCCAAACAGCTTGGTGAGAAGGTGACAACCGTTGGTGCGATTATTCGCAAATGGAAGAAACACAAAAGAACTGTCAATCTCCCTCGGCCTCGGGCTCCATGCAAGATCTCACCTCGTGGAGTTGCAATGATCATGAGAACGGTGAGGAATCAGCCCAGAACTACACGGGAGAATCTTGTCAATGATCTCAAGGCAGCTTGGACCATAGTCACCAAGAAAACAATTGGTAACACACTATGCCGTGAAGGACTGAAATCCTGCAACGCCCGCAAGGTCCCCCTGCTCAAGAAAGCACATATACATGCCCGTCTGAAGTTTGCCAACGAACATCTGGATGATTCAGAGGACAACTGGGTGAAAGTGTTGTGGTCAGATGAGACCAATATGGGGCTCTTTAGCATCAACTCAACTCGCCGTGTTTGGAGGAGGAATGCTGCCTATGACCCCAAGAACACCATCCCCACCGTCAAACATGGAGGTGGAAACATTATGCATTGGGGGTGTTTTTCTGCTAAGGGGAGAGGACAACTTCACCGCATCAAAGGGACGATGAACGGGGCCATGTACCGTCAAATCTTGGGTGAGAACCTCCTTCCCTCAGCCAGGGCATTGAAAATGGGTCTTGGATGGGTATTCCAGTATGACGATGACCCAAAACACACGGCCAAGGCAACAAAGGAGTGGCTCAAGAAGAAGCACATTAAGGTCCTGGAGTGGCCTAGCCAGTCTCCAGACCTTAATCCCATAGAAAATCTGTGGAGGGAGCTGAAGGTTCGAGTTGCCAAACGTCAGCCACGAAACCTTAATGACTTGGAGAAGATCTGCAAAGAGGGGTGGGACAAAATCCCTCCTGAGATGTGTGCAAACCTTTAGTTTTGCCGGTGCAAGACTAGAGTTGCTCAACTTGGCGTTGCAAATCATGCAGATAGGACGCTCACTCCCATCACGTTCCGTGATACATGAGAATCCATGTTGTACATATTCGTCCGACCACTTTCTTCTTTTGCCCGACATAGTTAGTATGGATAAAATATTAAAGAAATCACACGACGTACGACAACAACAGTCACACGTTGACTACTGAGTACGCACTAAATTCCCCGCAGCGCTGATTGGCCAAGCAGTGTAGCATGATCATCTGCAGCCAGTGATGGCCAAGCGGGCCGTGTGTGTCATCACAAATTTACACAATAATTCAAGTGTGTCCGGACCTCCGTGGCGGGGGCTCTGCCGAACCCCTGAGATCGACTCACCGAACCCCTGGGGTTCGATTGAACCCAGGTTAAGAACCACTGCTCTAGGGTTTGGTGTTACATGTTATTTATGTAGTTTATTGTAAAAAAAAAATCGGTCACAGTTCCTATGATCACTGTTACATTGCATTAATGGCTTTATTTTGGTGATTTCTAAAAGTTTTTTGGTTTGGCCATGTTTTTGTTTATTGTAGTACGGAGTTAGACTCATGGCCTTAATCTAAGTTTTCTTGTTGTTGTTTGACTTACATTCCACTGGGATTTTTGCAAACAGCGTTGGTGTACGGTGCTATTTCAGGAATATTTTGATGTTTTTCCCTGGATTTTCTGTTTGCAGTCACATAGTCACTTTAAGATGTTTTCTTGTTCATGTTTTTTTGTTTGTTGCGGTTGCACCCGATTCAAGAGCCGAATGGCTCACAGGGCTATAGCAAATAAATGAAACTATGAAACTAAACTGAGATCGCCTGCAGTGACGTCATAAAGCGGGCGGCAAAGGATCAAACGCAAATGACGCTACGCCCACGCGGCGAACGGAAAACGAATTACATGACGTCATGTTAACGTTAGCATCGTAAAACTAGTTACATGACGTCACCAAGGTAAAGGGACTCCTCTACTTACGGAACAAGTTAGGTTCCAGAGGTCTGTTCGTTAGTCGATTTGTTCGTAAGTCCAAATTTACTCCTGTTGGTTACAAGCGCGTTGTACGGCCATGTACACTAAACACGGAGAATGGCTTTAAAAGTTGTATAATCTCCCGTAAATGTAGATGCCACTGGTTCTTCACCTTTTGTAGATGCCACTGGTTCTTCAAGTTCTGTAGATGCCACTGGTTCTTCGCGTTTTGAAGATGCCACTGGTTCTTCACGTTCTGTATATGTAGATGCCACTGGTTCTTCATGTTCTGTATATGTAGATACCACTGGTTCTTCACGTTCTGCTGAGGTAGATGCCACTGGTTCTTCACGTTCTGTAGATGTAGATGCCACTGGTTCTTCACGTTCTGCAGATGTAGATGTCACTGGTTCTTCACGTTCTGCAGAGGTAAATGTCAATGATTCTTCACGTTCTGTAGATGCCACTGGTTCTTCACGTTCCGCAGACGTTGATGCCACTGGTTCTTCACGTTCTGCAGATGCCACTGGTTCTCCACGTTCTGTAGATGCCACTGGTTCTTCACGTTCCGTAGATGTCACTGGTTCTTCACGTTCTGCAGAGGTAAATGTCAATGATTCTTCACGTTCTGTAGATGCCACTGGTTCTTCACGTTCCGTAGATGTAGATGCCACTGGTTCTTCACGTTCTGCAGATGCCACTGGTTCTCCACGTTCTGTAGATGCCACTGGTTCTTCACGTTTTGCAGACGTAAATGCCACTGGTTCTTCACGTTCCGCAGACGTTGATGCCACTGGTTCTTCACGTTCTGCAGATGTAAATGCCACTGGTTCTTCACGTTCCGCAGACGTTGATGCCATTGGTTCTTCACGTTCTGCAGATGTAGATGCCACTGGTTCTTCACGTTCCGCAGACGTTGATGCCATTGGTTCTTCACGTTCTGCAGATGTAAATGCCACTGGTTCTTCACGTTCCGCAGACGTTGATGCCACTGGTTCTTCACGTTCTGCAGATGTAAATGCCACTGGTTCTTCACGTTCCGCAGACGTTGATGCCATTGGTTCTTCACGTTCTGCAGAGGAAAATGCCATTGATTCTTCACGTTCCGCAGACGTAGATGCCGCCGTCTACTGCGCAGGCGGTTGAACTCACGACTCTCGCTCCGAACAGGCAAACTGGCCGTCCGGGACCTGGGTTTGTTCGTATCTCTGAAAGTTCGTAAGTCGAGCGTTCGTAAGTAGAGGATCTCTGCAGCGTTCGCGTCGTCGCGGACACGTGACCTCCGACCCAACGACGTCACAAAATGGCAGGGGCGCGCCGCCTCTTTCCCGCGCTTTTTAACAACGCAGAACGTGTCCCGAGCTCCGATTACAATTAGTGGGGAGCCACTGAAGCGATGCACTTTTTAAATCTAAATAGAAAACTCATTTCTTTAATAACGGCTTTTTGTTGCGTGTTAAGTTTGTTAATAATAATAATTACATCTGCATAGCGAATTTTCTTCAAGGATCTCAAAGCGTTGTACAGGACACAGCAGCAGCAGACACTCAGCATAAGAATAATATTATAAGTACATTTTAAAAATAATGAACTGCGATTAGCAGGGTGCGAAATAATCTCAACAGAGATTTAATATATTCGTCGTCACGAGTACATACATTAGCATAATATGCGACCAATGGCATTCGAGGAACTGTTCATTAACATAATAAATGCATAAATATTATCATAAGACGAACGCGACGTCACATCCGCACACGGCCTCATTAGCATTAAACAACACGTGTTGCAAAGCGTGCTGTTCCCGTGGCGGGAAAACGCAGCGGCAGCAGAATCTTCATCATCATCATCAGCAGCAATTTTATAAGAAGCAATACCATCGGCAACAACAACAACAATAGAAACGCACAGCTTTAATCCTTAGCACCGGAAGCATTCATTAGAAACAGCAGCAGCGATAGCTGCACGCAGGAGCAACAGACTTTCTGTCAAGAAGTAACACCAACAGCAGGACTGTAGGAGCACAAAGCAAGCAGCAGCAACATCATCAGCAGCAGTAAAGACTTGGCAACAGCAGCGTTGCGAGTAACGGCAGCGTTGGACAAGTGACAAACAGCCCACACATCCAGCAGAAACAACATCGCTAGCATAAGCAACAGCAGCAGCGGAAACAATATTAACAACAACAACCAACAGTATCAACAACAACCAACAATATCAACAACAACCAATAGTATCGACCAGCACCTCCGATTAGCACGTTTGGCGACGTACCGAGCGAAAGAAGTCCAGCTATACAGTACCGTACATAACATACATACAGACAAACAACAACATCAACAACTGTCGGCAGCGAGAGATGGCGGCGGTGCAGGCGAAGGAGCAGCTGAGCCTGGAGCCCGCGCAGGAGAACGGCTTCGTGAGCTTCTTCGCCTCCATGAGCGAGAAAGCCGAGGCCACGGTTCGCCTCTTCGACCGCGCCGACTTCTACACCGTTCACGGCCGCGACGCCCTCCTCGTCTCCCGCGACGTCTTCAAGACCACGGCGGTCGTCAAGATGCTGGGCACCGGTGCGTCGCGACACGCACACACACACACATAAAGACAAAGATCCCCCGTGTAGCCTTAGACTGTAGGGGCAAGTGCTGTTAGCGAGCAAGCACCTATGAAGGCCGGTAACGGTACACGAGGTTGGTGGGTGTCCAGCACCACGCCCGACCGCCTTTGTTCTCCCCCAGTGGCGATGTTTGACACACCGCACCAGGTACTCATTTGAGGCTGAGTCGACCTAGAGGGGGGGGGGAGGAGGCCCATGATCGGTTCAGATAATCGTCGTCACCGGTGTTGGCCGTGAGCGGGAATCGAACCCGGGGTGTGGGGATCATAGCGCAGCGTAGCGCTAACAGCTACACACACACAGCACTCACCTCCAGTCGTGCATTAATTCACTAATTCATTCACTCATTCACTCATTCATTCGCTCACTCGTTCGTGCAGTAATTCTGCAGCCCCCCCCCACCACCACCCCCTCCGGTCATTCGTTCGTTAAGTCGCTCCTCCACTAGTCCACGCGAGTCGTTCACTCGGTTATCCCGTCGCGAATGTTTTCATTCGTGCGTCCGTTGCACTCATTCGGCCGTTCACGCATTCAATCGTTCGTGCATTAATTATGTCGTTCGTGCATTCATTAATTCAGTTCCTGCATTAATTCATTGTCGGTCGTGCATTCAGTCGTTCGTGCATTCATTCCGTTAACGCGTTCTTTCTGCCCACCGTGCAGCCATTCGTCCACGCAATTATTAATGAAGTAGTTAAATCATTCACCGAGTCCCACGTATCCAGTCGTTTCACGTCATTCATTGGTTCGCGCCTTCCTGTGGTCGGTCATTCAGTCAGTCATTCACAAACTCACGAATACATTTCGTTATTCGTTCGTCGGTTTTAATTCAGCTCCTCCTTTATTAAGTCGTGGTGATGATGATGTATAGTGCCCCTTAACGTCACAAAACGTCTATCGGTGTATGTGTGTATTTGTTTTCTCCACGGGGATCCCCCGATTGGCAGCTGTCCCTGTGCGGCATAACTTGGACTCGGCACGAGTGGACCCACGTGGCTTTTGGTTTGCCCCAATGAAGTAACTTACGGGTGATTTCCTAAGAACGGGTGGTACATTTGAGCCAAAACGCCGCCACTCGCACACACGGCCTGCTTTTTAACGTCCACTGTGAAACAGGCTCTGGGTCCATTAATAAAGCTTTTTGGGTTGGATTGCGTAAGTGTAAATGTGTCGTAACCCTCCACCACCCGACACAGCCAGACTCTGGGTATTGTTACCGTGAATGCGGTGGCGAGATGTTGACTGCCTCGCCTGGTATGGAGGAGCTCGTGGGTTCGATCCCGACCCTGACGATGCTTGTATAATACATTTTGGGGTTTGCGTGTCTCTCTCCCCGTGGATTTTTCTCCAGTCCTCAGGTTTTTCCCTCCACATTTAGAATCAGCAACACGCGTTTAGAGTATTTGGCTGCTATACATTTCCGCGTGATAAGCCAGTTAATTGAGCTATCATTCGTGGCCAGGTCGCTTATGAAAAAGAGCTATATAGCTCAGGGGTCCTTTACCTGGTAAATATAAAAATAGTTTAGTTTAGAATTTATCTGCAGGAATTGCCAGGGCGGCCTGGGGGTTCAACCACATGTTGAGGACTGTCTACCAGGCTGCCTATTTCATCTCCTCATTCATGCGCCTTCTGCTTCACACCGGACACTGCTTGGAATTTCCACTCATAGTCTCTCTTTACCCGACCTTGACCAATTCAAGAAACCTATCAACTCATGAATTACACCTTCAAGAGTGCTGCTTGTTGCTGGCTGCTTGGCATTTTGGGCAATTTGGGTTGTGTGCTCAACCCCCAAGCGTCACGCTTGCAAACGACACTCAGCCGGTCTCTTTGAGTCCTCACCTAAATGAAACGAAATATGCCGGAGCTTTTAGATTTTTGTCATTTTTGTTTGAAAGACGGCGAAGTTTTTGATAAGGCGTTGTCGGCGTTGCCGCTCGGCAGGCTCGCGCAAGCTCGAGTCGGTGGTGCTCAGCAAGATGAACTTCGAGTCGGTGGTGCGGGACCTGCTGCTGGTGCGGCAGTACCGCGTCGAGGTGTACCGAAACCGCGCCGGCAAGGCCTCGCGCGACAACGACTGGCAGCTCGCCTACAAGGTGAGGGCGGGCAGGCCGGCCGGCGGGCGGGCGGGCATCGATGCCGTTCATCAAGTTCAGGGGTCGGCAACCAAAATAACAAGAGGAGGCATTTTTGTTCGAATTCGGTGAAATAATCTATTTCAAAAGCCGCCAATGCCACGTGAATATGAGACGGTGGTCCTTAATGAATAATAACATCACAAAGCAAGTCCTTTAAGAGCCGCATGCGCCTCCGGAGCCGCAGGTTGCCGACTCGTGGTCAAGGTTAACCCCCTCGTCTGACAAGCGTGTCCAGGTACCGTACGTCCCTCTGTCAATCCACTGCCGGATTAAGGCCTCCCCCCACTGCGTGTCGATCGTGGAGGTTGTTTTGACCATACTTCGCCACGCTGGTCATTGCGGGTTGTTAAATCTGGGGGGGTAGTCGGGGCCTAGGAGAGGTCTCGGGTATCACTCGCCAGCCGCTCCAGCTGTTGTACTGGACATCTGTAAAAAGAGCTTCATAGCTCATCGCATTCCTCCAGTATATATAAATATTCTGATAACGCCCCGCCGCTGGGCCACGTCGGCGCCCCCAATAACGACAGTGACCGTGCTCCTCTTTCTCCTTCCTATCCTCTTCCTCGTTGCCCCATCGCAGGCGTCCCCGGGAAACCTGGCGCAGTTCGAGGACATCCTCTTCGGTAACGTGGACATGTCGGCCTCCGCCGGCGTCGTGGCCATCAAGCTGGGCTTGGCTTGCGGCGTCGGCCCCGGCGGGACGGCCGCCGCGGCCGGCGGCAGTGGCGGCGCCGACGCCCAGCGCGTGGTGGGCGTCGGCTTCGCCGACACCACGCTGCGCCGGCTGTGCGTGTGCGAGTTCCCCGACAACGACCAGTTCTCCAACCTGGAGGCGCTGCTGGTGCAGCTGGGGCCCAAGGAGTGCGTGCTGCCCGCGGGGGAGGTGCAGGCCGACGCCGGGAAGCTGCGGCAGGTGTGTGTGGGTGAGGGGGGTGGTGGGGGAGGCGGGGGAGGCACGTGGTGTTGGAGTGGTGTGTGTTGGGTGGATGGGGGTGGTACCTGGTGGAGTGTGGTGGAGCGTGGTTGGGACGGGGGTGTCGTGGTGCCAGTGCATGTGGTGTCAGGTGGGGATCATTATTTACGATCTTCCTCTCATCCATGCGCTCCTCTCTTTGTCTCTCAGTGTAATTCCAAGCATGCTCCACTTCAATTGGCCTGAAGAAGAGCGTTTGGAAACATGGACATTGGACAATGAAAATGAAAATAAATGCGACAAATGGAACAAAAAACAAGATTTAGTGTGACTGCTAGAAACAGGAGTAGTCAGTGGGCTTGGGCTGGACGCGTTGCTCGTAGGGGCGATGGCCGGTGGTCAAGAATGTGCCAGGATCGTGTGAGAGGTGGCTGGCACCTTGGGGAAGCCTTCATCCAGCAGTGGACTGATCATGGCTGCGGACGACGACGGTGTTGACGATGATGTTGACAATCGCTAAAAAAATCGAATCGCCGTACGCTTTATCGCAGGTGCCGACGCGACTCGACAAGTAGGCCACGGTTAACGCGAGCGTCGTCCGTGCGCCCGATCGCTGACAGGTGGTGCAGCGGAGCGGGCTGCTCATCACCGACAGGAAGAAGGTGGAGTTTTCCTCCAAGGACATCGTCCAGGACCTCAATCGCCTGCTCAAGACGCGCAAGGGCGAGCAGGCCAACAGCGCCGCGCTGTCCGAGATGGAGAAGCAAGTACGCGTGTGCATGGGTGTGGTGTGTCTAAACGTTGAACTTCTTTTGCACCGTACGTAGTCAACCATGCTAATCGGAGGTGCGGGGAATTCGGAAGTACACGAGTAGCTGGCGCCGTCATGGGCACTGAGAGTTGGTCGGTCGGATCTCTCCGCTTGGCGAGCGACCTGGAGTTGTTAAAACGCTTCCCCGACGCAGGTAGAAAGCGCGACCGCGTTCGCTCCGTGCCTGTCTTGTTGAGGGAGACTCGCAGCTACTTTCTTCAAGACGGTACGATGTCATCGACGTTTTAGCACAAAGTTCTGTTTCTGTTTTGGGACTTTCCCTCGATAAATCTGGCCACATTGATCAAAAGGGTTTCCCAAAACATTGATTAAAAAACGACAGGCGGGTTCAAACCCTCCGCGGTGCCGGCTCGTGTATCGAACACGGCCATTGAGCCACTCGACGACTGATCGTCCCCGATCCCTCGTCATCCCCATCCTTATCCTCATTCTCCTCATCGGCCTCCTCACCCATATTCTGTATCATCATCATCATCATCCTTTGCATCCTCTCCACCCTCGTCCGCACCACTCTCATCTTCCGCCACCCCCCCCCGCCCACATCCAACTCCTCGCCGTGACCCAGGTAGCGATGTCGTCACTTGCCGCCCTCGTCAAGTACCTGGAGCTGACGTCCGACGAGTCGGGCTTCGGCCAGTTTGAGCTGAGCACCTTCGACCTGGGCCAGTACGTGCGCCTGGATAGCGCCGCCGTGCGCGCCCTCAACCTCTTCCAGGTCAGAGGGCGAGAGCGCAAGCGAGACGGAGACAGGAAGTTGAGTGCGGAGAGAGCGGGTGCGGTAGAGGCAGAGCATGAGAGCGGGAGAGAGAGTGGCGGTGGGGGGGGCGGCGAATGAGAGTGTGAGTGAGTGAGATGATAAATAGGGAAGCAAGAGAGAGTAACTCGGCGAGAGGGAGTGTGAGCGAGCGACGGAGGGGAAGTGTGAGTGGGAAAGTGAATAAACTAAACTAAAACGAAACTATTTTTTATTTTACGAGGTAAGGCCCACTGAGCTATGTAGGTCTTTTTTCAGACACGACCTGGCCACACATGATCACTCAACGAAGTGGCTTATCACGTGGAAATTTAGAGCAGCCAAATACTCTAAATGCGTGATGTTTATAAATGTGGAGGGAAAATCCAGAGGACCCGGAGAAAAATCTACATGACCATGGGGAGAACATTCAAACTCCAAATATACAGGTGTCAGGGTTGGGTTCGAGCCCACGACCTCCTGGATACTAAGCGAGGCAGTTAACATCTCACCACCGTGGCGCCAATAGTTGAGGGTGAGTGGGCGAGTGAGTGAATGCAGATGAGGGTGAGCGAGCGACTGGCCGGCTGGCTGAGTGAGCGAGCGCGACTTGATGAGAGGGTTACACGGAGGGTGGACCTTTTGGTGATAGGGGAGAGCCGAGTGAGAGAACGAGTTAAATGGAAGTGAGCGGGTGTGGGTGAGTGCGAGAGCGAATACACATGTGAGTGAGGTCACGAGTCGCCCTCTGCCGCCCCCCGCTCCTCCGTCCACCGTGACCTCGTGCGACCCCTCGGCAGGGCTCGTCGGACGAGGGGGGCCGCACGCAGTCGCTGTTCGGGCTCCTCAACCGGTGCCGCACGGCGCAGGGACAGCGACTGCTGGCGCAGTGGATCAAGCAGCCGCTGCTGGACCAGAACCGCATCGAGGAGAGGTGTGGCACGTGGGGAGGGGTGGGTGGGGAGGGTGGGCCGGTGACGCGCTGGCCCGAGCGGTGGCGCGTTCCCCCGCTCGTTGCAGAAGAGGTTCACGGTTTCGGAATTCGGCGGCCGCCCCTATTTTTTCGTGTGGTAGTGTATTAACCAAAACGATACGTGCTGTGTCCGCTTGACGGTGGACGGTAAAGATCCCGTGACGTAGTTCACGAGAGTCGGCCGTTGTGCGCCGGCGTCAGGGTTCCAGATTTGAGAAGTTACTCGATTGGCGTAACTCGGTGGCAATCGTCGCCCCGCACTGCGAGAACTTGCCAGGACCCTCCTACAAAACAATCTTGGTGATGCTTCCCTGGGTAAACAAACGCTAAATCATCATAATAATAATTAATACACAGGGGAGGAATGTAGCGGTTAGCGCACTGCGCTGTGTACCCAGTGACCCGAGTTTGATTCCCTCTCACGGCCAACAACCGGTGACGATTATCTGAACTGGTTCTGGGCCTCGTCTCGGTTGACTCAGCCTCAAATGAGTAAACGGTGTGGTGTGTAAAATATCGCCACTGGGAAGACAAAGGCGCTGGCCACCCATCCCCTCGCGTGCTGTGTCGGCCTTCATAGGCGCTGGCAAACAGCACTTGCCCGAACAGTATGCTAAGGGCTATACGGGGGATCTTTGTTTTTGTATGGTTTTGCATGCACACGCACATGTATTTGTATCCACGTACGCTTGCGCGGGCGTTTTGTGCTGATTTGCCGGCACAGGCGTGTGTAGACGCGTGATACAACTTGTCCAGCACTTGACGCCGCGCTCAATGGCGGGAGAGTCACATGACTTCACCCCAAGTCCCCCCCCCCCACAATTATCACAATGACGCCGCCCCCAATCCTTCCTATCCTCCCCACACCCCCCTATCCCCCCCCCGCTAATCTCCCCCCCCTTCCCTTATCCTTCCCACACCTTTCACGACCGTCCTCATCCTGCGTTTAACCTCGGTTCCGATTCCTTAGCTCGAGCAGCTATTTGGCCGGGGAGGTGAAATTCTGCAGAGAAGACATCCCCACAACCCCACCATCAAGGTATCCTAATCATCATACGGGTACATGCCCAGCTCTTGGTCATTCCGCTGCTCGATGAGGGCCTCCCCACGCCATGCGGGATCGTGGGTGTTATTTGACCGTACTTGACGCTGGAGAGTGCCGGGTCGGTGAACGCGGCGGCGGGGGGGGGGAGCTCAGATGCAGCAGTGTGCTCCATCACAGTGCACCAGTGGATTTTCTATATTTTTTCCCCCGCACTTGCACACGACAGCCCCTCGCAACGGCCTTGTTGTGGCGCGGACATCAACGATCCAAGAGCTATCCAGGATCGCACCGGGCTGGGCTTCTGAGGTCTGATGAGACCGGGCGCATTCCCGGGTGATTTGGTCGTAAGCAGAAAAGCAGCATTGCTTACGGGGTGTGACGTTGGAGGTAATTCTTATTTCAGGAAAAGTGGCTAATTTTTTTACAGAATAACATCCACGGTTTGACACCAGACTACAGAAACACGGCTGTCCAACCTATCCCCCCCCACTCATCCTTGCCTAGGGGTCTAAGTGTCCCTCCCTCTCCTCCCTCCCCTCTCTCTTGCCTGTCAGCTCCCTCTCGCCTCCCTCCCTCACCTTCCTCCCCCCTCGCCTCCGCCTCTCTCCTCCCTCCTTCCCTTCTCTGTTGTTGCCCTGCCCAGCCCACAGGCTGTGACAGTGTTTGATACAGTGTCCCGCATCCGTCAGGCCGATAGCTGCTGCTGGTGTTGTTGCTGCTGCACAGCGTTGTAATGCACGGCACGTGTTTATTTTATTAGGATGATGATCCTCGGGAATCATCATGATGATGATGTTGGTAATGATGTCTGTGCCAAGGGATTTTGGCACAAAGAATAATTACTCTTTGTTTTTTTCGGTAAAGTCACGTAGAAATAAAGAATAATAAAATTACATAAATTACCTACGAAGTTTTAATGGCCATGTAATTGAGACTTTACAGGAATTGCCGGAATGCTTGGGTGATTCCGTAAAAAAATATGGATCGTTTTGCTTCATGTGGAAGGACACCAGAGGACCCGGAGAAAATCCCCCCCCCCCACGCATTCCGGGGGAAATGATAACACTGAAACTTCTGCATTAGTGGGGTTCATGAAACCCGCTTGCTGTACTGCGTTCCCCCATACCACCTGGCAGGCCCGGCTGGAAGTTTTGATCCGCCAACCCTTCGCCTCCAAAGCGCCGGGCCACAGTCGTGCGTGTCCGTCGCGGACTGGCCGCGTGTGCGGAGTGGCGAGATGTTGACTCCCTCGCCTGGTACACAGGAGGTCGCGGGTTTGATCCCGAACCTGACGCCCGCTGCTGTATATTTGGAGTTTCCGTGTCTCTCTGCCCGTGGTCGCGTGAATTTTTCTCCGGGTCCTCCGGGTTTCTCCCTTTTAGAAACATCACGCATTTAGAGTGTTTGTCTGCGATACATTTCCACGCGATAAGCCACTTCGCTGAGCTATCATTTGTGGTAGCCAGGTCGCTTCTGAAAAAAGAGCTGTATAGCTCAGTGGGGCCTTTACCCGGTAAAATAGAAGATAGTTTTAAGTTTAGTTTTAGTTGACGAGTGTCCCCGCCGTATTTTTGTTGCCGCCCTGCTCTGTGATCTCCGTCTCTGAGGGTCACCGGCCGCCCGCCTGCCCGCCCGCCCCCCCCCGCCCGCCCGCCCCCCCCCCCGCCCGCCCCCCCCCCCCCCGCCCGCCAAACTTCGCTCGACCGTCGCCAGCCGTAACGATCAACGCCCCGCGGTGGTGACCCAGCGGCGGTCGCTGCGAACGCTTAAAAACACCGCCGCGTCAATTATTCAGCGTGGGTGCAGTTGTGGTGGTTGTTGTGCTGTGGTAGTGGTGGGGTTCCACGTGGATGTGGTGATTGTTGGGCTGTGGTGGTGGTGGTGGGTTCCGAGTGGGTGTGGTTGTGACGGTTGTTGGGTGGTGGTGGGTTCTGCGTGGTGCGGTTGTGGCAGTTGTTGTGTTGTGTGGGCGGCGTGCGCGGTGAGCCATATGAAAACCAGGCGGACCGGTCTGATCGGTTAGCCAAGTAAAAGAACTCGAAAACAACCGTGCTGCCCCCTGCCGCCGACACCTGCCCCCCCAAAACAGCCCGGGGGCTAAACGCCACTCACAGGGCGAAGGATGGGTTTGGTTCCCATCCCCGGTGCGTTCAGAAGAACCTCTCGCGACATCTCATAACCGCGTTTCCAGTTCACTTTTTTGTCATCTTCACTTTTTTTGCCCATTTTTTTTATTGTAACACCGTGAATAAGCACGCCACTCACGGGGCCAACGATGGGTTCGGTTCCCATCCCCGGTGCGTTCACACGAAACTATCACGACATCTCGTAACCGCGTTTCCAGTTAACTTTTTTGTCTTTTTAACTTTTTTCCCATTTTTAAAATTGTAACAGTGATTAAGCAGACGGCGTGTACCTCCTTCACGTATAATTCGTCTCCCCACATGAAAAAAAACCAATATACATTTCTTACACAACCCATCAGCTATGCTCACGGCCTTCTGGGAGTGCGCAATTTCAGCAGCATTGCTTCAAGACGAGCAAAACCCTGAACCGGTTTCGCAATGCTACGTTTCATCAGCTTTGCTTGAATTGCAAAGATCGACAGGGTTAGAAACGAACTTATAATGCGTCGTTGAAAAAATACCGTTTGCTACTGCTTGCAGACAGGATCAAATTTACACTTTTTGTTATATTTTGTCAAACAAGTGCATTTTGGAAGGCAGCGAATGAGTCTCCCGGTTTTTCCCTCCACGTTTAGAAAACCGCGTTTAGAGTATTTGGCTGCTAAAAATGTCCACGTGATGAGCTGTTTCGTTGAGCTATCATTACGCGTGGCCCAGTCGCTGCTGAAAAAGAGCTATATAGCTCAGTTGGCCTTACCTGGTTAAATTTTAAAAAATTTGTTTAGTGTCCCCGCCGTCATTTTTGTTGCCGCCGTAGTTAAAAAAAAGTGAATAGAAAGAATCCACCTGTGACGGAATCGATCCGTTCACGGAGGATTATAATCCGGGGCTGCTACCGCGGTCAGCGACCGTAAAGAAACAACGCGGCGGTCGCGACGGCGACGCCAGTGGCGCTTGGCGAAAACCAGCGAAGCGAGTCTCGAGTTCGCCCCCCCCCCCCCGCCGCCCACACCAACCACAACAGCTACCCGCTTACCCACCACCCACCCGTCCACCGGAAACGCTGGGATTTCGACTCCCGCGTGGCACGGACGCGGCTTCGTGCGTTGGATTTGCGTTAAAACGCCACGGGGCAAAAAGGCTGCCGATTCCCCCCCCCATGCATGGAGGCGGCCTCCATTTTGTAAGGAGAGTCGATTTTACAAATGCAGAACGCACGGACGCGACGGGATGCCCCGCGTTCTAACGCGTGCGAGTGCCTTGGAGCGCATGTCTTAGTTTTGTTTGTCGTGGCGATTGCGAGCCGTGTGCGGTGAATTTTGTTATGGTGTTGGTAAAGCTGTGCGGTAAGTGATTGGTTTTTTTGGGTTTTGTAGGTTGTCCCTGGAAACGTGAGCAGTGTCTTCAGGTGTACAAACACACACGGGCAGACGGACACACAAACATCCCGACAATATACGATCACAGAGCTCGGGCAATCGCTGCAACCGGTTCTGGCGGATTTCTTCCCGAGCCTCTTTGCGAAGCCTGCGTGCATGCTTGAGATTCGGCAGTGGTTTTGAGAGGCGGATATGCATGAACGCCGTTATTTGTAAAAAAAAAAAAAACACGGTTGGACGGACAGACACGGGCGAAAGGAAAGGTTTCTTGGACACAGAAGGATCCTCGTGGTCCCCCTCTCCTATGGATGTCGTCACTACGTGCCCAAGCCCGCCACTTCTCCCTCACGTGCCCACGCCGACTAACAGAGTGAGGAACTGAAAGTGGTCTCCTCCACTGCTTCTTCACGATGCCTTTTTTTTTTCCCTGTTCTTACCAAGTTTTTTTAATCGCCCCTTTTTGGCGTCATCTCGTTTGGAAATCTCTCACGGAGCAAGCGTCGTCCTTTCTTGTCCACTGAGTGGCTACGGAGGAGATCTCTCGCGGGACTTGTAGCGAAAAAGTGATTTCGGTGTCATTTTTCTTCTTTACGCACGGTGGAGGGGAGCGGGGGACGACGATGAATCTGTGCGGCAAGCCTGTATTTGAAAAGTTCTCGGCAAGTTTCGGTCCAGCTCTCTGACCTCTGACCCACCCGGTATCCGCTTCATCTTGTTTTTTCAAACATCGCGCTCCCTCCAGCCGGTCCGGTCTTTTGCAACAACATAGACGAGCGGTTAGTACGCCTCGTTCACATCGTCGAAGCCTCCGCGTTAAAAATCACTGCTTTTTATACACATCCCAATCAACCACATGGTCTTCTGGGAACGGGGTCAATATGTTAGTGCTGCCCCGGATGCCCCTGGGGGTCGTCGGTGTTGTTGTCATCGTCGTTGGCGTCATCTTGTTGTGGTTGGTCTGGAAAGAATGTGTATGATAGTTACACAAACACCCTATGTTTGTGTTGCTCAGTGCGTCTGTGTGCTGCTGTAGCGTAGTAGTTAGCGCACCGCACCATGAACCTGGCGACCCGAGTTCAATTCCCGCTCACGGTCACCACCAGTGACGGTTATCTGAATCGGTCCGAGGCCTCCCCTCGGTCAACTCGGTCTCAAATGGGTACGTGGTGCGCCGTGTAAATATCGTCGCAGACAAAGGCGGCCGGACGTTTTTCTGGCCACACCCATCACTCCTATGGGACGCCGTGGTGGCCGAGATGTTATCTCCGTCGCCTGGTACGCAGGGAGGTCGTAAGTTAGGACCAGGACCCTGACGATGCGTGGTGTATAGCCGAAGTCCGCGCGTGTGTTCTCTCTATCTCCCACCGAGTTGGTCGCGTGGATTTTTCTCCAGGTTCCTCCAGTTTTGCCTTCCACATATTGAATCGACGTGCGATTTGATTATTCGGATGCTCGATGAGCTATCATGTGTGTGGCCGGGTCACCTCTGAAAAAGAGCTCATAGTGCAGTTAGGCATTTGCCTGCTAAAAGAAAACAGTTTGGCTTTAGCGCAGCACGCGTGGCGGCCTTCGTCGGTGTTCACCAACAACAGTCGCCCCAACAGTTTGTTAAGGCTAAACGGGGCGGGGGGGTGGGGGTGGGCCTTTGCCTTTTCTGACATGAGCAGCCTCTCGCTGCTAATGTCAGCAGGCATGCAACTCGGGGGGGGGGGGGGGGGGAAGGTGGTCACGAATCGTCGCTTCAAAAAAGCGCGCGAAGGGTTTAGCTCGTCTCGTCTGCGGCCGGCTCGCCGCGTGTTGTCCTCTCGTGTTCCGTCTGTGCCGCCCCTTGCGTTCTGTCCCGCAGTGCTGTCAGGACCGAGGGAAACGCCGGCGTGCCATCGGGGACACGCGCCTCGCGTCAAAGCGCTCGTCGTCGTCGTCGTCGCTTGTACGCACGCACGCGCGATTCCACGTGCGTGCATCGTCGGGTGTCGCTATCGGCCTGAATGAAAGGACGAGCGGCGTGGCCTGATGGCGCCACCTGGCTTATTTGGCAGAGCCTTGCGCACGTCGCTTGGCGGTCGACTTTCCTCTAAGTCGGTGGATCTTAACCTGGGATGCGCTCGCCCCCAGGGCACCAAAGTACAACCAACTTTGTTTCATCAAACCCTCTGTGTGTCTATTAACATTTTACATTTTTTAACGATTGAGAACCGAAGGTGCGCAAGGCTGCTGTGAACTGGTTGGTCTAAGGGGACTGCGCAACTCCCGCGGTCAGCCTCCCCCCACCCACCCCCCCCCCCCCCCCCGTGCTTCGTGGATCAAACAAATTAGTCGAGACCCCGGTGTACGGCAGCCAAGAGCAGCTTATGTGAAGGCTGTCGCTGGAGGTAGAGGTGTGACACGTTTGGTGCAACGGTCCTCCGTTGGCTCTGCTCGGAGACGTCTGACTCGTCGCCACTTCGCCCCCTCTCCGCGTTCAGCATGGCAAGCGGCGCTGCCGCGGTGGAATGGTCAGCGCTACCGGACTTGCAATGCAGGGGTCGCCGGTTCGACTCCATCCCCCGCGTGCAGCAGTTCAAAGCTGGAATTTAGACAGAATTAAGTGCAAAACCCCATGGGTTTTTTGCGGTTGTGACCTGGCCGAGACCATCAACATGCTACACTTGAGAACCCGGTTGAATCACAACTCAGTCTGTGTCAGTCTATGGGTCTCTCTGCGAGTCTGTGGGCCTCTCTGCGAGTCTGTGGGCCTCTCTGCGAGTCTATATACGAGTCCCACCGGTCTTTCTCTAAAACATATGCGCGACTTTTGCGGATCTCTTTTGTGAGCCCACGGGTCTCTGTGCGAGTCACCGGTGACCGCGCCGAGACCATCAACTCGCTGCGCTTGAGGGTGGCGGTTTAATCACGGACTGGAACCCCGGATCTCCGCGGTGCCGGCTCGGCGCTCCGATGTCGGGAGCCACTCTGCCACGCCTGGAACGGCTCTGCCGTGCGTGCCGTGCCGTACAGGCTGGACGTGGTGGAGTCGCTGGTGGACGACCCGGATCTGCGCCAGGCGCTGCAGGACGAGCTGCTGCGCCGCTTCCCGGACCTGGGGCGCCTGTCGAAGCGCTTCCAGCGGCGTGCCGCCACGCTGCAGGACTGCCACCGCGTGTACCAGGCGGCGGGACTGCTGCCCACCCTCGTCGGCGCCCTGCGGCGCCACCAGGGTGCGTGCTCGTGTGTCCATCATGTGCGTGCGAGCGAGTGCGTGCGTGTTCAACTTTTTCCGCGCCGTACGTAGCCAACCGTGCTTATAGGTGCGCGGGGTAAGTGGTGCTGGCCACACCACCCCCTCGTGTGCTGTGCCGGCCTTCATCGGTGCTACTCGCTGACAGCACTTTCCCCAACAGTCTGTTGCAGGCTACACGGGGGATCTTTGTGTGTGGGGGAGCGGTGGTGGAGCCATAGCGCAGTGGTTAGCGCGCTGGGATACGAACCCCAGCGACGCGAATTCGATTCCTGCTCACAGCCAACACCAGTGATGATAATTATCTGAACCGGTCCTGGGCCTCCCCTAGGTCGACTCAGCCAAAACTTTGTACCTGGTGCTGTGTGTAAACATCGCCGCTGGGGAGACAAAGGCGGCGGGGCGTGGTTCTGGCAAACCCCCCACGCTCTTGTGTGCCGTTCTGACCTTCATAGGTGCTACTCGCTTACAGCACTTGGGCCCAACAGTCTGTTAAGGCCGCAGGGGTGTTTCGCTCTACGCGTGCATGCGCCCGACAGGCCCTCGCCAGGCCCTGCTGGAGGAGCTGTTTGTGCAGCCGCTGCTGGAGCTGGAGAACGACTTCTCCAAGTTCCAGGAGATGATCGAGACGACGCTGGACATGGAGCAGGTGCTTGTGCCCGCTTGCGACGGCTTGGCGGTTCAAAATCCATTCCCGCGCCCGGCGACGCTTGCGTCCGATCGGATCGTACGATTCAAAGATCGGTAATTTGAGTTCAATGCGCGCAAAGCGAACGCACGTTTATCCGCCGAGGGTAACGGTTGCAACGCGCGGAACGGGCGAGGCAGGGACGAGCGGGCGACTACGGGTGGGACAAACGGGACGGTAGAGACTAGTACAAATGGGACAGAAAGGAAAGACATCAGCCAACGAAGCCAGGACAGAAGACAAGAGTGCAGATGAGACCGGTACACACGGTATAATCAAGGAGGTACAGAGACATCCAGATGACAATTAACAAGCGGTACGAGAGAGCAATCGAATCTTGAACAGGGACCGTGACCCCGGATCGCGACAGTTCCGTTAAATCACCTGGGAAATCGAGGTGTCTCTTTGTTTGAGTTTGTCTCTTTGCCTGCAGTGAGCGTGCGCGAGAGCACGAGGTCTCAGCTCAACACCATCCCCCTCGTCCTCTTCTTCTTGTCTGTGCAGGTGGAGAACCACGAGTTCTTGGTGAAGTCGACCTTCGATCCCAACCTGGAGGAGCTGCGGAGTCGCATGGACGAGCTGGAGCGAGACATGGACAAGGCGCTGAGCTCCACTGCTCGGGACCTCGGTCCGTCACGCACGTACACACACGCACACACGCGCGCGTATATACACACGCACGCACGCGAGCATGTAGACGTTTGCACGATCAAATGCGCGCAGGCACAAACACGCGTACGCACACATGTACATAAGAGCGTTGAATCAAATCTCGCTAAGGGCTGATTGATGATTTGTCCTTGCACGTATGTGAGATCGTGATATATCAACATGTATTTACAAAAATATATATTTGTCCTTGCCCCAAACGTTATCCCGATTGTGCTGTCTCAGCTTCACGTCTCGAAGCTATTGATTCTCGTGTCCGTGGTCTCGTGTACGTCAGGTGAATATCTGCGCGCATGCGCGAGTGTGGCGTGTCGTTTTGAGTGGGGAGAGGGTGGCGTAATGGTGAGCTCGCACCGTGCATCGAACCCGATGACCCGGGTTCAAATCCCCGCTCAGTCCAACATTACGAATAATCTGAACCGGTCCTCGGCCTCCCATAGGTCGACTCGGCCTCGTGCAGTGTGTTAAACAGCAGCATCGGCGGAGGCGAAGGCAGGCCGAGCGTGGTGCTGTTGGCCACACCACCAGGCACACATCGCGCGCCTTGCCAGCGTCCGATTGGTTGCTTACTAACAGCACTTGTCCCCCAACGCTCTACGAGGAGTGGGGTGGTGGGGGGGGGAGCATCTTTATCTTTTGTGTTTTTTTACTTTGGTCGGCGTCTCTCGCCGTAAGGTCTGGAGGCCGGCAAGACGGTGAAGCTGGACTCGAACGCGCAGCTCGGCTTCTACTTCCGCGTGACGAGCAAGGAGGAGAAGGCGCTGCGCAACAACAAGAAGTACTCGACCATCGACTCCCAGAAGAACGGAGTGCGCTTCACCAACAGGTGCCGCCAGCCCCCTCCCCTGCCTGCTCGCTCGCTGGGTTCGACGCAGAGCGTGCGCGTTTGTGTTGCAACGTTTTCGTGAACGCTTCCAGTGGCCAAGTGAAGATAATCGCGAGCGCCGTTGCGGAGAATGTGAGGAACGAAACGCGAGCGGGCGATACGTCTGCCTCCCTCCTATATATTTGTCCATCCACTTGAATATTTTTTTTTTACTTCCCATCGGCCACAAAGTTTGCTATAACACCACCTGGTCGCGGCTCGCCGGCATGGCTTCAAGCGAGCGCGACTTTGCTGATGAGACACTGTATGTCTAAACGGCTCCAGAGGTTGCCCGTGTTGAAATGATGCACTCCCAGAAGGCGTCGCCGTTGACGGGATTATGTAACAAATGCTGTGCCAAACTTACTGTGTAACCGTCACTTACTGCGTCACTATTTACTGTCACAGTTGCTGTCATTGTGTAGCCATCAGTGACCGTTGCCGTGTCGCTGTGTCAGAGTCACCATCACCTGGTCACCGTGTCGCTGTGTCACCATCACCGAGTCACCGATGCCGTGTCGCTGTGTCAGTCACCATCACCGAGTCACCGTGTCGCTGTGTCAGTCACCATCACCGAGTCACCGATGCCGTGTCGCTGTGTCAGTCACCATCACCTGGTCACCGTGTCGCTGTGTCACCATCACCGAGTCACCGATGCCGTGTCGCTGTGTCAGTCACCATCACCGAGTCACCGTGTCGCTGTGTCAGTCACCATCACCGAGTCACCGATGCCGTGTCGCTGTGTCAGTCACCATCACCTGGTCACCGTGTCGCTGTGTCACCATCACCGAGTCACCGATGCCGTGTCGCTGTGTCAGTCACCATCACCGAGTCACCGTGTCGCTGTGTCAGTCACCATCACCGAGTCACCGTGTCGCTGCCCACAGCAAGCTGAGTGCGCTGAACGAGGAGTACGTGCGCTGCCGCGACGACTACCAGGAGACGCAGAAGGCCATTGTCGTCGAGATCATCAACATCTCCGCCGGTGAGCGGTGGCGTCGCTGCTCAAACTCGGCCCCTCCTCGTCACCACCACCACCACCATTGTCATCACCATGATTTTCTACCATAACCGTCGTGTCTTTATCGTCTTTCACTTCATCAGCCTTAACCTATCAGCATTTTATATCATGGTCAAATTGATGCTTTCTCCCTCTCGATTATCCCACCTATCCTATTTCACTGTTGTACCCACCATCACTCATCCCACTCATTATACCACCTATCCCTACCCCCTGTCGTACCCACTACCCCACCATCACTCATCCCACTATCTCACTCATCCCAACTCTCCCACCATCACACATTCCCACTCCCACCATCACTCATTCCACTATCCCACCCATCACCCCACCTATCCTACCCACTATCCCACGCACTGCCCTACCCAATCCCCCGCTACCACCCGCCGGCTTTGCCAGGCTACACGGAGCCCATGCAGCTGCTGAGCGACGTGGTGGCGCGGCTGGACGTGCTGACGAGCCTGGCGCTGGTGTCGCACTCGGCCCCCGTGGCGTATGTGCGCCCGCGTCTTTCGCCGCCCGGCGGGGACCTGGTGCTCAAGGGGGCGCGGCACCCTTGCCTCGAGGCCCAGGACGACGTCGCCTTCATCCCCAACGACGTCGCCTTCCACCGCGCCGGCACCACCTTCCACATCATCACCGGTGCGATGCGCGCTGTCGTCCGTGTCGGTTGCGCTGTGGCGGCGTGTCGTGCCCGTCGCGTTACTTGATGTTGTCTGATTTTGTGTCGTTGTGCTGTTGTCATCGTATTCGGTGTCACCGTGTCGTGTTGGTGTCGTGCCGTTTTGTTCCGTTGCACCATCGAGATGTTGTGGCGTGCCCATGTGCCGCGATGTGCCTGTCACACCGTTGCGTCGTTGTTGGAGATGCTTCCAGCGTTCACCACCCGCATGTTTGTTTTCTTACACGCGCACACACGACGCGCCCATCGCTCGCCCAGGCCCCAACATGGGCGGCAAGTCGACGTTCATCCGGCAGACGGGGGTGATCGTGCTCATGGCGCAGATGGGCTGCTTCGTGCCGTGCGACGAGGCGAGCGTCAGCGTCGTCGACTGCATCCTGGCGCGCGTCGGCGCCGGCGACAGCCAGCTCCGTGGAGTCTCCACCTTCATGGCCGAGATGCTCGAGACGTCCGCCATCCTCCGGTATGGGGGCGGGGGCTTTGAGGGGTGGGGGGGTGGGAGGGTTGATCAATCAATTGATTAGTCGGTTGATCAAAAAAAGGCAATTGATGCATCAGTCAGTCACACAGCAAAGAATCGCTTGCCCATACCCACCCAATAACAGCCCACGGCCAAGCCCTGGGGTGCCAGCTTCCCGAGATGTCGCACCTTAGCCACCTCACTAACCCACTTGGACATCACCCAGCACGCTCCCCTCACTCGCCTCGCTATCCTCACTCAACTCACTTCCTCCTCACCCATCCCACACATCCCCCTTGTACTCTACAAACCTCGTACTCCCTCGCGCACAGTTCCGGCCTCAATAGGCACTCGTTTAAGAGTACAGCAGTTCCCTCGTTTTAACACGCTAGATGCGTTCCTGAAAAGTGCCGCATTATGCGGGGAATTGCTGCTCCTGAACGACGTTTGCGAACTATAAATTCGGCCTGCAGTCGTCCCTTGGCAGGACGGAGAACTGAGATGAGGGTACGCTGCCACACACCGTTAAACATTCCACTCAACCGCGCAGTTGAAGAAAGTAGTTCTTCGTCGACCGCTCAGAAAGCACCCCAAAACGGTGGGCGTTCCGCCTTGTGTAGAAAGCGTTCCCGAATGAAAGAACCGTGTTCTAGCGGAAACTCGTTACGAGCGTGAACACCACGCGCTGGGAGTTACCGCACTTGATCCCCCCTCCGCACAGTCCGTTCGAACACCGGCGATCTACGTGTTCATATTTCCCCCCCTCCTCCGTCTCTGTCGCGCTCGCCAGGTCGGCCACGGAGAACTCGCTGGTGATCATTGACGAGCTGGGCCGCGGGACGTCGACCTACGACGGCTTTGGGCTGGCGTGGGCCATCTCGGAGCACGTGGCCACGCGCCTGCGCGCCCTCTGCCTCTTCGCCACGCACTTCCACGAGCTGACGGCGCTCGCCGGCCACGTGCCCAGCGTGTCCAACCTGCACGTGACGGCGCTCACCTCGCACCAGACCCTCACCATGCTCTACCGCGTGCGCAAGGGTGAGCCGCCGCCGGGGAAGGGTGGCAGCGGAGGTTGGGGCGGGCGGTGGATGCGGTTTGTTGATTTGTTGTTTTGGTTTTTAAGTAGGAAGTGATTTCCTGCTCGATTTTAGTGTCAAGCCAGTGGGTGCTCATCTCCTGTTTACAGCCCTGAGCCAGTGGTGGAAATTCCACATTCCGATGACGTGGGTGTATCCCTCCATAGGGCACTACCCGTGACTTCTCCACACAGTGGTTGTTATTTTATTGACCGCGGAGGGATTATCGCACGAGTCAACCCCACCACCCCACCCCAACGACGATTTGAGCGGCTCGCATTCTAAATCCTGAGCTGCGCACCGTTTAACCTCTGACCCCTGGCCCCCCCCCTCACCCCGGTTGCGGTGTAAGGCGTGTGCGACCAGAGCTTTGGGATCCATGTGGCGGAGTTGGCTCACTTCCCGCCGCACGTTGTGGAGAGCGCGCGGCGCAAGGCGCTGGAGCTCGAGGAGTTCCAGGCCCTGGATGTCACGTCGGACGTGGACGGAGAACCAGCCGTCAAGAAACTCCGCTCCGAGCGAGAGGTAAGGGGAGTGGGGGGGCATGAGGGAGTGGGGGGGGGGGTGTTCATCATCGCCGTGCCGGAGACGCTGCTGTATAGGTACCGTGTGCAGCAGTTCACCGATTAATAAACTCGTTTAAAAAAGTTTTTTAAAAACGACAGTTTTATTAACAACTTGGTTTAACTCACGGTCGAGAAGTACGTCAGTGGCGCCTGAGACACGCGGCGCCTGCGTTCTGTGCGAGCCGATTCCACGGTTTAGGGACTGCGGCGTTTTTGACCTGCACAAATATATAAATAATAAGGCGTCCATACAAAATGTTAATTGCTTTAAAGTAGCGAATTAATTGATGCCGATTTTTATACAGCCATGCATTGTTACCGGATCTGAGTACGTGTGCAAAATGTGGAATTGATTGGACAACGGGAAGTGGACGAAATTTTGATTACAAGATTTGACCCAGACAGAGGAATCAAGTTAAGTAAAACCGTTGAAAATCGACTGCCTTTGACTTTCACGGTAGGCTACGTACGGTGCGAAAGAAGTTCATTATTCGTGCTTGGCCAATGCTTTTTGCAAAAGGCTCAACCACCCGTTCAAACCGCTCAGTCACTTGTCATTGCTCGCCCTCCCGTTTGAACCTTTGCTCACCCCGTTATATTTGACTGCTCACTCAATTCACTTGCTCGTTTGACCGCTCCACTCACTTGCCTGGCTTGCCAATTTGACCGAATCGCCCATTACCCCTCCCCCCTCCACTCATTCGCCCCAATCACTGGGCCCTTTCACCCACTCTCACGACCTCTCGCTCACTTGTCCACACTCTCAACCCTCTCGCCCACCTGGCCCCTGTTACCCCTCGCCCGCTCAATCATCCGCTTGATCGCTTCACTGGCTCCCTCGCAGACTCAACCCCCCCCCCCCGGTGTCGTCGTCGTTCCCTCTGCCCCCCCGTAATCACACAGGAGGGCGAGCAAATCGTGCGGGACTTCCTGGACAAGGTGAAGGCCCTGCCGCTGGACTCGATGGCGGCGGACGAGGTGGCGCGCTCACTCGCGAGCCTCAAGCAGGAGGTGGCGGAGCGCGGAAACGCGTACGTCAATGGCTTGGTAGCACGCGCGGGCGAACACGGCGTCGCGGCCAGCTGAGCCGCCCGTGGGGAGACCGTTGGAGAAAGAGGTGGGGGGTCGGCGAGAGGCAAAGAGGATGAGAGAGGGAAGAGCATTCGAATGTAGGGAGATGGGGAGAAATAGGGGGAGAAGTGGGAGAGGAGGCGGCGAGGACAGCGGAGAAGGAGATGGAACGCTCACTCCACATTCCTTTTTCCGTGCCTCACACCTTTTCAAAGTGAGGTGGAGAGAGTCTGCATCATTGCTCACTTGAATTATCTTCACTTTTGTTGGAGTTTACCGGAAGGTGGGTGTAAAGTCGTAGACCACGATTGTTATACAAAAGCGACTGCCTCTGACTTTCACTGTTCGTTATTAAGTGACTGCCATCCAGGGCTAATTGCGGAATGATCATCAATTGTATCAAATCGATTTATGCCCGTGAGACGTGCGTGCGAGTGAATTATTACAAATGATACATTTTTCGCAATGGAGTGAACAGGACGGAACAAACTGGAAACAATAACAAAGTCGACGGCCAAGCAATCGCGCTCCTAAATCCGCTATCGGTGTGAATGGCGGAATCATTGCTTGCCTGGGTTGGTGTGATTTGTTCTAAACGCGATAGCAGTTTTAAATGATGCAGCAGAGGTCACTAGAATAAATACATTGGATGACGAATAACGGGTCAGCGAGCATCGTCAAATGTAGCGCGAGTAGTTGCTCTTTTTTTCATAGCGGCGACTTTTAGGCGACGCTGTTCTTTGCGGTTCCAAGCGGCCGTGCGTTGGGGCTCCTGTCCCTGGGCTCATGGGTGGTGGGTAGCGAAAGTTAAACAGGGCTAAAATTAAACATGGCTAAAGTTAAACAGGGCTACAGTTAAACAGGGCTGAAGATATACAGGGCTAAATTTAAATAGGGCTAATAAAGTTAAATAGGGCTACAGTTAAACAGGACTATTAAAGTTAAACTGGGCCAAAGCTAAACAGGGCTTATCTCACTCACAAATTCACCGGCTCGCGTTATTCAAACATAGCCACCGTCTACCGCATGGTTTGCGAGTGCCAACATTGCGCTTAAAGTACATTTCATTCAGCAAAATAGATTTCAGCCTCGGTACCAAAGAATATTTCCACCCGTTGCCTCTTCCGCTTGCACAGCTTTGTTCTTTTCTTGTGTCCGTCTATGCCATGTTTGTTAATAAAATGTCTTTTCTATATATTTTTGTAAAAATTTTGCTATAAATGACACGTGCAGGCTTCTAGGTAAGATAAAAAAAAATATTTTTCAGTTGATTTATTTTGGTATAGCCCTGTGAGCCATTCGGCTCTTGAATCGGGTGCAACCACAACAAACAAAACAACAAAAACACGAACAAGAAAAACATCTTAAAGTGACTATGTAACTGTGCAAACAGAAAATCCATGAAAAAAAACAGCAAAATATTCCTGAAAAAAGCACCGTACACCAACGCTGTGTGCAAAAAATCCCAGTGGGATGCAAGTCAACAACAACAACCACAAGAAAAGTTAGATTAAGGCCATCAGTCTAACTCCGTACTACAACAAAACAAACATGTCCAAACCAAAAAACTTTTCGAAATCACCAAAAAATAAAGCCATAATTGCAACGTAACAGTGAGCACAGGGACTGTGACCGAATTTTTACAATAAACTACGTAACATGTAACACCAAATCCTAGAGCCATAGCTGGCTGCATGAGTTACTCCACAACAACAGAAGCATCAGTCGGAGTATCAAATTTTTCAATGCACCTTTAAGATATGCACCTTTAAGATAAGCACGCTAAATCAAAATACAGATAATACTTTGCAGCATCATCCGGAGCGAAACATTTTATTTTATTTTACGCCAATGAATAGCAGTGGCAGCTAGGGGTGTACAACTCCTCTAGAGCAGTTTTGAAAGAAGATCTCATTGGTAGCGATTCAAGTTGCAGTTTATTGGCAATAGCATTCCAGACCCTGGGGGCATCAATAGCAAAGGCCCTTCCTCCAGTTTTTGTACGGCAATAGGGAATGTGAAGCTGGTAAATGAGCGAAGATCTGAGGTCAAATTTGCTCTTTGAAACAGAGAGGAGATCCAGCAAGTAGTCTGCGGATTTTTTTGTAAGTACATCGTGAATAAATAAGATCTGGTGCACAAGCCGTCGAACATTAAGAGATGTTAAGTTTGACCCAATGTAGAGATCACAGTGGTGAGTCCTATATGGGCAGTTCAATGTAAATCTTAAGGCCGAGTGATAGATGGAATCAAGCTTCTTCAGTACAGTACTTGGGGCTGATTTATACACGATGTCACAGTAGTCAAGTAGAGGCAGTATGGTAGCTTTCATCAATTCCAAACGGAACATTGGGGGGAAGCAGTGCTTGTGTCGATACAGAAAACCAATTTTTATTTTTGTCTTTTTACCAATATAATCAATGTGATCTTCAAAATGTTTTAATCCAGGATGACCCCAAGATACTTATAGATCTTGACTTGCTCTATTTGATAATTAAGAAATGTAATTGGGGAAAAATAACTTCCTGCCTTAGTCCTGGTGAGAAGCATAGCACCTTGGTTTTGGAGGTATTCAGGACTAGTTTAAGAGCAACTAGCTGATGTTGTAGTTTGTTGAATCACCCTGTAGCTTAGCAATCACGTCATCCGGAGAGCGGCCAGCAGTAATCAGTATCGTGTCATCTGCAAAAAGATTTACACTGGAATGATCCAGGTCAGTGTCCAAGTGGAACCCTGTGGAATCCCTTTTGTTATCTTAACACTGTTTGACCTCCAACCATCTGTGAATACAGTTTGGGTGCGAGAAAAGAGGTAATTTTGTAACCATTTTACTGCGTTTTTGGAAAAATCGAGGCAACTTAGTTTACTAAACAGGGTGTTGTGGTCTACTGTATCAAAAGCTTTGAACAGGTCTAGAAAAAGACAGGCACAGTACTGCTTATTATCAAGGCTACTGTAAATGTGATTCAGAGAGTCTAATGCAGCAGATGTGGTGCTGTATTTTTTTCGGAACCCAGATTGTTTTAGATGTAGTAGATTGTTGGTGGACAGGAAACTGCTAATTTGGTCGGTCAATAATTTTTCATAAACAGGGACAAAATTGAGATAGGTCGGTAGTTATTTTAATCATCTTTAGGGGGCCCCCTTTGTGAAGTGGACGGATATAAGAATGTTTCCATTCTAGAGGAACTGATGCTTCTTTGATGGACAGGTTGAAAATATGGGCTATAGGTTTGTATATTAGGTGACCAACAGTAGAGCAAAGACGGGAATACTATCTGCTCCGGTAGAGGAGGACCCTTTGAGGTAGGACAGTTGTTTCAGAACATTACTTTCGTGGATTGGCTGGAAACTAAATTCGTGTAATGTTTGGACAGGGGTGACTCTCAATACATTATCAAAAAGATTACCAGCTTCAGAAAAATGAAGGTTAAAATTGTCAACTATTTTTTGGGATCTTAAAAATATTACCCATTTCGGTTAAGCTCAGCGGGCAGATTGTCTGTTTTGGATGCCTTTTCGATACATTTGATTGTTTTACAGAAAATCCTGGCATTTCCATGTGATTCCAGGAGAGTGGAGGAAAAGTAGGCATTTTTTGCATGCCGTATTTTTTTGACGCATCTATTCCTTAAAATCCTGTATTCTAGCCAGTCATTGACCAAATTACTTTTCTGAGCACATGCCCAAGCCTTGTCCCTAGTTTTCATGAGCTTTGTAATCAAAGGATCAAACCATGGTGGGCGGTTGCCTTTAGTTTTAAATCTAACCAACGGAGCATGCGGTGGTTAACATCTCGCCGCTGTGGTGAGATGTTAACTACCTCGCCTGGTATACAGGAGGAAGGGGGTTCGATCCATACCCTGATGCCTGCTGTATATTTGAAGTTTGCATGTTCTCCCCATGGTCGCATGGATTTTTCTCCGGTCTTGCCCCTTCCACATTTCGAAACATGCGTTTAAAGAGTATTTGGCTGCTATACATTTCCACGTGATGATAAGCCACTTCTCGTTGAGCTGGCCCAGAGTTCCATGAGACACCACAGTGGCACACTGTCACGTGAAGGTGGGCCCACGGGGGCACTGCCCAACACCACGAGGAGGAACACTCTGGCGGTGCTTCGCCCACCCCCCTGCCGCCACCCCAGAGCGAAGTTTCCTTATTTCGTGCGCCCCCCCATCCGTTTCCTTATCTCGTGCCCCCATCGCACTGCGAGCTGCAGCTAACATCGGCCGACGACGTCAGACTCCTCGCCAGAGGAGTCCATCACCCGCCCCTTTGGACGGGGGATCCTCGGAGATCGTCCGCGCTCTACCCGGGGCGTAAAACACCGCGTGAAAAGCGGGGGGCCACCCGTGGTCGAACGGTGAACTGCGGCCTGACGGCCACGTGGCGACACTGTCATGGCGTCAACCCCCCTCCCCCGCCACCCCTGTGTGGGGTGACACGGTTTGTGTCACCTGAATCGCCGGCAGCGTTGCTGCACGTTACGCGGCTCGACGGTAAAGACTTGACACTTCTTCATGGTCTGACTACGCAGGAGCTCAACACGCTGGGCCCTGCGCTGACACGAAAAGAAACGGAACTGAGGTGGTCGCCCGCGCGGAGTGGGGGGGGGAGCTCATTCCGCCCTGAGGGGTGTGGCATGGGTGGCTCCCCCCCCCCTCTCCTCCTGCCTGCACCCCCACCTCCTGTCCCTCCCACCACCCCCCTCTTGCCCCCCCACTACCCCCCCCTTACCCCACCACCACTGCCGTCCTGCCCATTACATAGATGTGGGAATACCGCAGAAATGTTTACTTATTTACTTACTAGCCTATTGCCCGTCCAAGGACGGGTGTATTGCAGTAAATCTGAAACGTGCAAGCGAAAAGCACAGACCGCGACGTTATATTCATTGAATCAATTCGTGTGCAGTTTGTAAGGGCGCGGTGACACAGACCTATTTCATTTAAAGGTTATAATCCCTTGTTCATCACGACGTCCTTTTTACTTTGATGTCTCAACAGCGTTACGGAGATCACGTGACGTGAGGGTTCTGCCTTTGTAGTGAGGGTTGTAAGTTGACGCCGAGGAGGGGGGAGGAGGCGCCTCGCCCCCCCCCATGTGGAGTGACGTCACCCACTAATTTATATTAATGGCGGGGGGTCCATTTGGAAGACGTCACCTCTTAATGATTATTAATGAGGGGGGCTGTTCGATGTGGAGTGACGTCACATCTTCATGATTATTAATGAGGGGGGCTGGCCGACGTGGAGTAACGTCACGCGCGGGACACAATTGGCTCATAGTTCATTATTGGGTGCCTACGTGCTGTGCCGCAGCAGTGGAACCGAGTTTACTAAGCGCGGTTCGGAGCCGGGACGAGACTACTGAGCTAATAACGACGGAACCAGGTTTGCATTTGTATTGGCCACAAATGCGGTGGGGTTGGTGGTGCACACGGTGGCCGGGCACACTGGAACCACGGAGTCCGCTCACATGCGTTTGATTCACAGCTGCGGGTGACGTAAGTGGTAGTGATATCTGAACCGGTCCTGTGGGTGGGCTCCCTGCTGAACCAACAACTCACTGGCCGACGTGGTTGTAATATGGACAAACAAACCCCGACTGATGTGGGAAGGGCCGTCAGAGGTGCATTGTCAAAGGATTACAAATAACGTCAGTGTCTATGCAGTACCTGTGACACTGTATGACATCATGTGGTACTGATTCCACTCTGGAACACAGACGACAACGACGATTTGAGCGAGGAAAAAAAATGCTTGACAACAAATACAAATCATGACGTAGAAAGCCTCCGAAAGCTGTCCAATTCCTTTTTTTAATTACAACTATGCCATTTTTATGACAGATAATACAAACATACTGTAATGACTTAAGGAATTGATACAAAGCAAAGGGGTAAAGAAGAATGCCAACTACAGGAACTTATAAAACCTAAGAGACGCGCACGCACGCACATAGTACACGCTCACACGCACACACAAAAGTCCAAAATAATACAAAATTGGTCTGGAAAGCGGTTATGTGTCAGCCAGCATACAACGTACAGGTACGGCCAGACTCCACTCTTCTATAGCAGCAGCAGCACTAGCAGTGGCTTCATCAGCAGGCGATTACATCGATGAGCAAATCCCCCCACGATGCTCCCGAGTGGTCAAGGAAGCTCCCCCCCACCCCCCTTTCACAGCTGTCGCAGCAAAAATGCCTTACGGGGTCGCGAGGCGAGAGGCCAGCAATAGCAAGGAGAATGGCGCTCCAAACCCATACCTGAATTCCTCGGGAGACATTTCTGAGCATTCGTTTGTCCCCCCCCCCCCACTTGCTCGCAGATTTAACAAGGGACAAAGGTTTACTCACACATAGTATTCGGAAGGCACGACTGTCATGCGTGTCACGTGTTCACCACATTGCACGTACAACTCAAGCCTTGTCCAGACCACCAGCTCAACAGCTGAAGTTGTGGCCCATATTAATCTTTAAACCAACAACTCGATAGGGTTGAGTAAACGTGGCCAATGCCAAATGGCCAGCAGTGAAACGGAGACAACTGGCGGCAATTACACAGAGGCAAAACTCTGATTAAATAAATTTGTTTCTGGCTTGCAGCGCATGTTCCTGTTGTTCCGGGTTTCCTCACCATTTCAAGACAAGTGTTGGATTTGAAATGTTCACTGCTCATTTGTAAGTCTTTCGGTATTCTCCGAAAATGGCGATCAATAATTATTTTCAGGGCCTGGAGCACCATTTCCTGCTTCGCTGTTTCCCTACCAGCAACAGACTTCAATAGTGAGCGCGAGATGCAAGAAACCCAGCCTTCACCCGAAATGACAATTTTTTTTAAACTAACATGATCGTTACCGATAACCGTAATTGCTTATAAAGGACACAGACTTGCACCGTGGCGCCGACTGGTTGTTGTGGTTGTTGTGTTTATTAGAGGCATGTAATGATTCAACGCCCGTCACCGTTCCATTAATTGCCACCATTCGCAAATCGCGACCCGATTAAATAAATCTTTTGTCGTTTTTCTTTACGTCGCCTATAGTTTTCTGTCCCCGTACGTTCCAACGTCTTCATCTCCTTTCGCGGGCATTGGCATAGCGGTAACATTTTGCATAACATTTTACACGTCGTTTGCACGAATCGGAAAAATTTAACCGAATCCTATGCGCGCCGTCGGAGACGAGCGTATCGCGAGCGTAAGAAACGGTGGGAACCAGATGGATCGTTACATGCCCAAGGTGTTTTTTTTGTGACGCGCGCCGGTCAAGCCGCGAAGTGGAGAGGTCGGCGGGCAGGCGGGCGCCCTCCTCTCTCTCTCTCCCCGTGGCTTTTATTGCGAGGGGACAGCGAGGAAAGCTCGACCACGCGAAAACAACGAGCAGGTTTGGGAGATGGTGGTGGTTAAGGTTTCAGAAATGTAGGTTTCGCTAACGGGAGTGACGATTCTTGCCGAATCGCTTGCTCGGTCGCTCGCCGCGCTGCACGCTGTGCCAGGGTTTAGGGGGGGGGGGGGACCGGCGGTGGGCAAATAAATTTGGGCCCACGTCGCGAATTTTGTGCCGGACATTTGGAGCAAAAAGTGGGGGGCGGCTCGTGGGCCCTTCGGGAGCCACGAAGATTTCCGTAGCGCCTTGGCGAGCTTTGCATCAATCGCTTTTGTCAACTCTCAAACGTTATAAATAACAAGTCGGTTAAAAAAAATAACATCACTACACTATGACCGTCATACCCCCATCACGCACCCACCTCCCCCCCCCAAACCAATCAACCCCCACCCCTATCTCAACCATCGCAGGGGCAAGCGGTCTCACGAGCATTTGCTCAGCAAATATTTTGGACAGTAAAAAAATCTTCCTGTTAACAAAAAATATTTGCACGATGCAACAAAAACAAATGCGAACGGAAAGGTAAAAATTCGAAGGGTTGGTCAACAGCGTTGGGACATCGGCAACAGTGGCGGCGTTTTTTTTTTGGGGGGGGGGCGGCAATAGATGTCTGTACAAGCACGTTGACGCTGCACGTGCCCCCCTCAATCGCTACCGCCGCCACTGTTGCCGCAGCGCGTGAAAGAGGATCACACACGCCAACCCGTCCGCAACCCCTCCCCGGGGAAAAAAAAAAACACGGCTCCTACCCACGCATGACACTAATGCTACGCGGGGGGCGACAGAGTGAGCAATGCATTATAATAGTTATATATTAATTGACCTTAAAAGAGGTGGTGTTGCGAGGGGTTTTTTGGACGGGGGGCGGTGGTACAGAGGGGGGGGGTGGAAGGAAGTTTTGAGGGAGGGGAGCAGTTGAATGGTGGAGGGGGTCACAGCAAATGTGACAGATAAAATTTGACAATCAATCTTTAAGTCTCGTTTTTTTCTCTCTCTCTTTTTTTTAAGGCCCGGATTTTCAAGTACGCTAAAATAAATCAAGCAAATTCAAGGACGGTTTAAACATGGCACTAAAGCGCTCTTTGCTCCATGCAAGAAAACAGCGGACCTGACTCGGGGGGGGGGGGGGGTCCCACGTTGGCTGCGAAAGTTCTGAATTCCATAGGGGGTGGAGGGGGGTGGAGGGGGGTGGGGGGGGCACATGGGTGGGGTGTGCACACGGTTTATGAGCATCCACCCCCCCCCCCCCCCCCAAAATGCTTTTTGCAACAAACAAAAAAAATCGTACATTTCTTTGTTGTCTGTCCTCGTTTATCTTCCCATAAAGCAAAAATAAAGAAAAAACCATCGACTCTTTCACACAAAATGCAGTTGAGCGCAACCGGTACGTTTCAAAATGAAAAAGATTAACGAGGGAGGAAAAGGAAAAAAAAACTTAAAATGAAATAAAACCACGTTTTGCGTTCTTGTGCCACAGCGCCTCTCTCAGGAGACGGCTGGCGTGCAGAAGATAATGCTTGTTTTATTCCGAACGAACGAACGTCAAAGTCAGTGAGGGCGCTCAGAGGGTCCCCCCATCAGACGGCTCGGGTGCGGCGGGGGGGGGGGGGCCCTAAAGTGGCTTGAATCTCCGCGTCTCGTGTTAGTGTTTTCCTCGGGCCGTCGTGGCGACGTTCTGGACGGCCGCCCACGTCCTCTCTCGTGGTGCCGTCGCCGGCAAGACGGGCGGGTGGCGATGCGAAAAGTGTTCGGCGACGGACGCCGCCGGTGTTTTGCGCGGTGCAGTTTCGTGGAAGTAGTGCGGAGGAGGCCAGAGGGTAGGTAAGGGGGGGGGGTGAACAATGCTGCTCTGTTTGGGGGTAGCTCGTTTTTTTTACGCCCCCTTGGCCAGGTCATCCGTCCCGGTCGGTCACTCGGCGAGACAGGACGAGTGTTCTGTGCCGTCGTCGCTGCCGCCGCCATCGCTCGATCGCCGCTCGGTCGTCGCTCTGTCGCTGTGCGTTGATGACGCAGACTGGGGGACCGCTAGTCCCCGCGAAACCGCTTGAGATAATTTTTAAAGAAAAAAGTAAACGGGGGGGGGGGTGGGGGGTTGGGGGGAAGTCCCAACGCGAGATGCGAAGACGATGCGATGGCGACAACGGCAACGGGATACGGCAGCGGCCTGGGGCTCGGCCATTTTCAACGAAGACCGTCCTCGTCTCCCGAGCGCCGTTCTGCGCGGCAAAGAGTCTCGGCATGACGCTGGAAGCATTCGTCACCGCTCCCGCCGTCGCGGGTGGTGCGGGGGAGGAGAGGGGGGGGGGGGGGACGGCGGCGACACGGCGGGCAGGTGCGGTGGTCGAGCATCGGTGAACGCGTCGTCCTCCCTCTCCCCGCCACTGCCAACACCGTACGTCGCGACACCACCACCACGGCCGACACCGTGACGACCAGTCCTCTTGGTCGTTACACACCGCCGCCGCCGCCGCCGCCCGCCACCGCCGCCCCCCCCCCACTAGTTGTGCTGCAGCGTGTTGGACTCGATGGGCGGCGCCGAGTCGTACAGGGTGTCCGTGTCGTGCGTGGGTTCGCCCGCCAGCGTGCATGGGTTGGACAGCGTCCCAGCGCCGCAGTCGCAGAAGAATCTTTCGTCGGCAGACGGAACCATGAATGGCGAGCGTGCGTCGAGGACGTCCCCCGTGAGGGTGCACATGCAATCGGACACACATTAGGACAAAAGCACACACGCGTATACACACGCATGCATGTCCACGCAGAGACGCGCACGCACAAAAGACAAGGTCCCCTGTATTGCCTTTAACTGGCTGTTGGGGAAAGTGCTTGTAGTGAGCTCCTATGGAGGTCGGCATGGCACACGAGGGGGTGGCAGTGGCCAACACTCCGCCGGGCCGCCTTTGTCACCCGAGTGGGGACGTTTGCACATTGCATCAGATTCTGATTTGAGGCCGAGTCGACCTCGGGAAGGCCCAGGACTGGTTCAGATAATCGTCACCGGTGTTGGCCTCGGACGGGAATTGAATTCGGGTCGCCGGGTTCAGCGCAGCGCGCGAACCGCTGCACGAACACACCTCGCCCAGTCGACTCGCGCACAAATGAACATGCACAGACACACGGATGAAGAAGTTTCCCATTCAGTCTCGACATAGCCCTGTCAGCAAATGATTACAGGGCGCTCGTTGACATATGCGATGGGTGCGTTCCAGGTAAAACGCTCATTTCAAAATCTCGTATGTCAAAAGGAATTTCCCCGTAAGAAATGGTAAAGGAGGGGAGCGGGATAGGGGATTTCACTTGCCTATATTATCCTAACCAATACCAATACACGTACACAATATAATACTCGGTCCTTTAATTCTTACCCACCTGTGTTCTCTTGCTACAGTTCCCTCTCGTTAATTATCCCTTCACCACCTGTGCCCCTTCCTCTCCGGATGCGAGACATCCGGCCAACTGTGTACTTACTTATTCCTTCTCTCGGCACCCCGTTTGTTCTTTCTATCTCGTAACTCAGCGGCTCTGTGTAACGTTTCTTCCCCATTTAGTCCGCTACACTTTGTATCTAGGCCGCCGTTGGTGCGGGAGCACACGCGGCGAGATGCTGGCACAGTGCAGCACACTCCTTATCGTACCGCACTGGCTGATGGCAACGCCATTGGGTCTCGGGTGCCGCCTTGGGTGGGGCGTACGTCGCCGATGACGTCGTTCCGAAAATGACCTCGCGCGTGCCTCAGTACAAAGCGCGCGTCATTGCAAAATGGCGTACCACAAGAGCGCGTCAAACCCGAGGATTTCCTGTAAAAGGAGTGGCACTGCACACGAGATCACAGACGTGGCATCACCACAGTGAACCAAGTGCGGTCTTGCGGGTCAGGGCTGCGTTCCGTGAGCTCGTCTTCCCTCGAGGTTTTTTCACGCACTGCTGCGGTGGGGGGCGGGGGGCAGGGGGCGGGGGGGCACCTCCACGAGGGGAACGAAGGAAGCCTGCGACGGTGGGCACGTGCGCGGCGACACCCACCTGTCGTGCCGGATGAACTCCACGTCGTGGCCGAGGTGGCACTTGGTGATGCAGTTGATGCAGATGGCATTGCGCTCCGTGGTGTTGCACGTGTGACACCTGTGCTCCGCACGCACGAACGCAAAAGGACAAACTTTACAAAGGTCGGATAACCCTCGCCTCCAGCGGGGCCGGACCACAGGGCGCGCGCCCCCACCCCCTCCCCCCGTGCCGGGCTAAGACAATAGATTTAGGCAAGAGTCTCCAAAACTCGGGTGATCGTGACTTACCGCAGTCCGTTGGACCATTTGAATGTATATATATTTTTTATTACGTCTATGCTTGTTTACCTAGGAAGGCCTCACTCGGGGCGATCGTGGATTTTGCAATTGCGGCACCTAAACTCTGTAGCGTCGTGACCTTGAAGAGTCACGACGCTACAGATCTTTAAATCTCGACCAAAAAAACATATCGGTTTAAAATGGCTCTCCCTTTTTAGTTCTTTTCAAACGCCTCTCACTTTTTTCCTTGATTGACGTTAACTATTTCCGTCTTTCCGTGCATAGCGCCCTGAGAACGATTGTTTTGTAAACTTAAATGTTTATTTTAATATAAATCTTCATGTCATCGCACGTGGTCCCCACTTGGGTGTGGCAAACGAGCCTAATTTCCCCCCTTCACAGGGGTCCTGTTACGTCAAAATCTGGTTGCTATTCGCAGAGTTTCTGTTCATCCCCCACCCACCCCCCACCGGACTGCAGTCGGTGTATTGTCCCCGGCTCGCGTTGAGTTGCAATAAAAAAAGGTGCCGCCGTGTGTGTGTGTGGTGAGGGCGAGCGGGGCAGTTAGGATCCGCCACCTGTAGAAGTCGTGCATGGGGTAGCTGGTGTAGCTGGAGATCTTGTAGAGGCAGTGACCCCGCGACACCGCCTTCTCTATCGCGTCCTGGTTATTGCCGACCTTGTTGTCTTCGCGCATGTAACAACGCACGCACGCACGCACAAGAAACAAAATCAACTCTTAGCAGAAGTGTCTCACTTTAAACTGCATGGACAAGGCACTGGGCACAAGGGATGAAGGGGATTTCAAAGGCAATCTCAAGTCAGGTGAATTTTTACAGATGGCATCATAAAGGCCATGTATTTTTTTATTTTTAAAGGAGGTATAATGATTTAACACTTCTTTGGCAGAGTTATCTGTCAATTTATAATCACGTTTCGCTTTCATCTTTGGCCATGATCCATCCGCTGCCGACTGAAGGCCCCCCTCCCCCACCCAAGTCATCGCCATCCCTAGCAGACGCAAAACTGCAACAATCCATCTCGCTCCAGCACATGAGCAGATCTCATCGCTCCACCTCTGCGGTGGACGTTCACGTGGGCATGTTCCTCCCTTTTGGCTGCCGTTATGCTATTATAGTCTCGACCACCGGCCATTATCCCACGTGCCCACTTAACCCGTCTTAACGGTCAACACGACTGCCTCTAACTCGCCTGCCCTCTCGAATCCAAGCGTTCCTCCCCATTCCCAGTCTCTCGTATTCTATTGACTTACGTCCCTCGTATTGCAGCATAGCAAGCCTCACAGCTGTGTTTTGCCACTTTCACCCACGTTAGCGATCGTCGGCACATCACAATGCGACGTTCTGTGCCACCGTGACCCGTATCTCCCCTGAGCGCGCACCTTTCATGATGACCTGGACACCAGTCGCAACAAAAAGGCCCCCAAACTTGTTGTTGAATATCTGATTGTCTTCCAACGTGGCGGTGGCGTGGTTCGTGATTTCTATGCCTGCCGGGGAGACAGCGGCACAGACAGGAGAGAGACGCAGGAAAAAGGGGACGCGCAAATGTTTTATTTATTTATAGAGTGCCTTCGAGGCGATGGTGGTGAATGAGGCGGCGATGAAGGTGGTGGCAGTGACCATGGAAGTGGTGGTAGTGGTGATGGTGGTGGCTATGGAGGTGGTGGAGGTCGTGATGATGGGAGGTGGTAGCGGTATTGGAAGTTGTGACAATGGAGATTGTGGTGGTGGTGGCAGAGATGATGGTGGAGGCGATGTCGCTGGCAGTCGTAATGATGGCAGTAGAGATGGTCATGATGGCAGTGATGGTGATAGTCGAGATGATGGTGGTAGGTGGTGATAACGGCAGTGGCAGTAGCAAAAGCAGCAGACGCGGCGTTGATGGGTGGCGGAAGCGTCGATCGTCATGGCCAAAAGATGTTGACTGTGTAAACACGGACCGGGCCCGGTCGACCCTGGCCAGCTCACCGGCGGCGAAGCCGTCAAAGATGCGGTTCTTGCGGAGTGTCGGGTGGCTGTTGGTGCTGATGAGCACCCCTGCCTGAGCGTTCCGGAAGATGTCGTTCTCCTCCAAAACGCCTTCACGTACGGAAACGAAAATGAACGTTTGAGTAAAAAAAAAATACAACAATCTTTCATCCATAAGACAGGTTTTGTTTTTGGCTACATCACGTAAATATAAATTTGTCGTTGAACCCGCCACCAGTAAGGTTTGTCATGTAAACAGAACATGCCAATTCGTTACTAGTACAGCACACCGGTGTGTTGGAGAGCAAATCCACAATATTTTTTCTCCACCATACCGGTGTGCTGTACTAGTAACGACTTTGCATGTTCCGTTTACGTGACAAGCCGTACTGATTGGCTGTGTTGGGTGGTGGCGGGTTTAGCGACAAATTAATATTTACGCAATCTTGCCAAAAAAAAACCTGTATTATGGATGATATTGGTCGTGAAAGCCTATGTGATAAACAATCTTTTAGACATCATTATCTTTACCAGACTTATCGTGACCGCCACCGTCGCCACCACCCCTCCCTGCTATCGAAAGATGAATGCAGAGAGCTTATGCATTAACGTTTATCAATGTTAGTTAGAAAACGTAAAAAAAAATAACAAGCGGTTCCAGCAATGATAGGGCTATTGCCACAGGTTTGCACCCGAGTTTCTCACCCCTAAGTATATATGCGTAGCCAACCGTGCTAATTGGAGGTGCGGGGGAAGGACAACAAACTAAACACAAATCAGTTCTAAATAAATGAGTTTTCAATCTACGGTGATCACTGGGGTAGCCTGGAAGGGTTACCTCTGCCGCCGTTGAAAATGCAGATTCCTCCGTCACGTCCGCCGTGGATCTTGTTGCGCCGCAGCGTGGGGTTACTGTCGGTCTTGATCCAGACGCCCGCCATGGCGTTGTCGAAAATCTCGTTGTCTTCGATCACGCCCAGGCCTAGACAACGACCATCGTCATGACAAGTTTGACGTCGCGCGTGATCGCCGGGCGTCCTCAGCTTTTCTGCGCGCACCTCACCGCCAGTTGAGACTGAGATGGAAGGAGATGATTTGATGGCGGCGAGATGGGTTTTCTCACCTGAATTGTAAACCAGAATGCCTCCGTTCTGCCCTCCCCAGATCTTATTGCGCCTGATCTTCGGATTGCTGCCCGTCCTGTGGGGACGACGGCAAACAGATCGACGTTAAATGACCACTAAAAAAATTACAAAGTTGCCAAGCCGGTGCATTAACCCCAAGAGGATGCAACCTGGGTCCACAGCAGATCAGGCAATGATGTATCCGGCATACATGTTACTACATACTCTTATGCGAGACATTTAACATCTTAATACATCTTATTAACATGATGAAACCGTGACTTAAATCTTTCGTGACTGCAGGAATTCATATTCTTTGGCCTTTCGGTAAAGTCACGTAGATAGGTTCAAAGAAAATAACCTATCTACGTGACTTTACTGAAAGACCCAAGAATATGATGAAACCAGTAAGTCGTCTTCTGTGAGCTAATATATACATTATTGCTTGTATGGGTCTTCCAAATTGGACCATTGGAACAGCACAGAGTATTTCAGTGGCGCAGGCAGGTCTCCAATGCAAACGTATGCATTCTAACACATGTTAATCAAGCTGGCACACAGCGTAACACGGCAGGACATTTTTTTATCAGTGAAACGACTGGAATAATTCAACTGCAGATTTTTGCCAAAAAAAGCGATACGGAAGTGTCCGTCCATATTGGTGAGCTGCACAGTAAGTTTTGCAGCAAATGGTTGAAGGGTTTTGTAATTTTCACGTAACCATTAAGTGTCCTGTGAAGGACGGACGCACGGACATTGTATTTCCTGGGCGTAGTAGTAAGTTACCGAGCGGCTTCATTAACCAGGGGCAGCACTCCATTTTCCCTCGCCTCACATAAATCGTCATGCTCCATCACATGGTTCCCCACTTGGGTGTGGCAGTCAGCCCAATTTTTTCTCTCCCTTCATAGGGGGGGAGGGGGTCCCCCCCGTTACGCCGAGATCGGGTTGCCGTTGCGGAGTTTCTGCATCCCCTCTCTTTTGCGATCGACGAATTGTACCGGGTGCTCGTTGAGTTGCAATAAAAAAAGGGCAGTGCTCACCTGATCTGCACACCCGAGTACATGTGGTTGTAGATGTCATTGTCCTCGAGCACCCCGTGCCCATTGTCGTAAAAATACACCCCGACCTGCAAGCATGCGCGCGCACACACACATTGACAATCGCGACAATGAACGGGTAAGTAATGACTCATCGATTAAAATGGACTCGTGCGCTCGTGGTACATACATGGAACGACGCGTGCGGGAATCGGTTAATTACAGTTCATGGAAAAGACAAGTGGAGGTCAGATGGCTCTGGCGATAATCGTCTCCCCCGTATCTCTTCGCCTCTCACTTTCTCTCTCCCTGCATCTCCTCCAGTCACCTTGTTGCGCGTCTTTCTTTTCATTACTTGTAGAAGTGAGGTATCAGTTACCCAAGCAAAATCGCTCTCGATATCGTGCAACCTAATCTGCTGCTTACGTGTGGACGTCCCTGGTTGCAGAGACGTCCACATACAATCTATTCAGTTGCATGCAACTAAGTCGCGCAACCGGCCGATGAGGTGTGGACCCGCCTTTAAGGTGTGTGGGTGTATGTGCTGTGTGTGTGCATGTGTACGTATATTCACAAAGCCTCAAAGTGCACCTAGCCTGGCCTAAAGCCTTGTGATGACATCACCGCCACTTTGTGGCGAATGGCGGCTGTTATAGTTGTTGATTGATTTTTATGGGAAGAGCGGCAGAAGAGATTGTGATGATGGGGAGGTGATTAAAGGCGGTAGTAGTTTTGGCAGCGCTGACATCGCATGTAACAATGCATCGACTCGTCGATTCATATACGCTCTTATGCTCGCGAGAGATTCAAACTGCATGCAAATTATTGTACGTTAAAGTTACATTTAGGTGAATGGATTGAACAAAACTCGACAAAATGAGACAATTATAAACAATACTAAGCAGACGGTAAAACAAAAAAAAATCCTTGTATTGAATAGCGACGCCCAAATCACGACAATTCATCGAATTATATTCTTGGTTCTTTCGGTAAAGTCACGTAGAAGGGAAACAATTAAATAATAAAAATATAAAACAATAAAATTCTCACGACGTTTCGACTGCAACACAAGCAATCATCATCAGGTGTGAAAACCACAACAAGAAATGTTTTTAAAAGTGGCGTTTTTTAACGTTAGCACCACGGAGAGCGATTTGACAGTTTGTTCAGATGGACGAGTCCATCTATGTTCGGAAAAGAGGAGGGGGGAGACGAAAAATAATGGATGCGGTCTGAAAGCCACCGTAAGCGTGATCAATCAATTAAGACCCGAAATGGTTCATCAAATCCTTCCAATGATTGCTAAGATCCACGAGAGGGGCCAATCATGAGACGCTTTAGCGACGACGGCGACCGCGCCAGGGGTAGCACCGGCGATGGAGACGGCACGGTGGGTTTTGCGCGCCGGTCTCTCTACCTGCTTGCCGCTGTGAATGCGGTTGCGACGCAGCACCGGCGTGCTCCCCGTCGTCACCCAGACTCCCGCCAGCGTGTTGCTGTAAACCTCGTTCTCCTCAATCACTCCCTGGCCCTTCTCGTGCTGCCAAGGGGCGCACGTACGCGCAGACAGACCGGCAACAGCGACAACAACGGTTAAAGACACACAACTAAAGCAAACACTCAAAATGTGTGACGCGTTAGGAGGACGGCAGTAGGACCAGTACATTTGGTATTCATGCCATTCTTATAGCGCAAGGCTATTACGAAGGTGTTATGTTCCACAGACGCTTACAGTCTGCAGTAGTTTTACAGTAGAGGGTGACGTTGCTCCGTGGCTTCTTCCAACTTGGGAATTTGCGAGTAATTTCCAAATGTGGATCGTGAGACACCCAGGCGCACACGGCCCACCCTTGTTTTTGAACAACCTCATGGGATTTTAACGTCCACTGCGAAGAAGACGGTGCACGTATTTTAAAGGTTAAATTACATGGTGCGCATTTTTATTGCGTGACAAAAAACAAGTGTTCGCCAGGGCGGCCACTGGCTACGGTACCGCGAGCCTCTGCAACAAGCGCCAAAAGCGTTAAGCCGCCGAGCCGTGCCGCTGCCCGGCCGTGTCGACCATCCACAATCGGGACGGGGGCGGACGATGAGCTGCCAAGAATTCTGAGCCGAGCCTCCGCCCACGCCACTCACGACGTAGATGCCGCCGTGCTGCCCATCGTGGATCTTGTTGTGCCGTACGATTGGACAGCTGTTGCTGCGGATCTGGATCCCCGCCAGAGCGTTCCCTGCGGAGAGAGAGAGAGAGATAAAAACAAACAAACGAGAGACGTCTCGGACAGAAATCGCCATGGATTGTTCTCATCTTGCTTCTCTTTTTTCCTGATGATATTGTCCAATATGCTCTGAAGCACTGTGAAGTATGGTTAAAATAACACCCATGGCCTGGTGAGATGGCGAAGGCATTCCTTCATCCAGCAGAACACTGCCAAAGGGAGGTATACAATTTTTATTACTATTATCATTATGAATATATGTTCCAGTCGTGCTCCTGCCATTATTATGATGATGACGATGATGATGCAGATAGCGTCATGTTATGAGATGCGCAAGTTACCGTAAATGTCGTTGCTCTCAATCAGGCCACGGCCGTCGCCAAAGATGTACACCCCGCCCTGGTTGCCATTGAAAATGGTGTTCCCTCTGCAGAGCACACACATTCAAAATCTGTCACGGAACGCAGGATGACGGTAAAAACTAGGGTATGCAACAATGTATCGGATCATCGGTTAAAATGCAGGCTTACGATCACGACACATAGATCGAATCACACACACACACAAGCATTGGTAAATGTATAGAGAACCTTTGTTGCAAGTATTTGTTTAACAATCCCACTTGAATGATTTTAGCTGCAGAAGTGGAATTTGCTAAACTTTGTAAGTAACGAAACACAATGTTTTTTTGTGTGCAGACATTGCACATGCATTGTGTGTGTCATGTGTGCTTATGAGCGTATGTCGTGCGTGGGCAGCGGTAGTGCAGCGGTCCTGGGAATGCCCTAGGTCGACTCGGCCTCAAATGAGTACCTGGTGTAATGTGTAAATATTGATGACCCACACCCTCGTGTGCTGTGCCAGCCTTCATAGTTGCTCGCTAACAGCACTTGCCACAAAAATATGTTACGGCTATATGGGGGGCGGGGAATGTTTATCTTTGTTGTCCGTGCGTTCCTCCACGTGTCATGCGTGGCTGACCGGATGGTGGGGTCGCTCTGCGAGGTGACCCAGACGCCGGCGAAGTTGTTGCTGTAGATCTTGTTGTCGATGAACTGGCCACGGCCCTTCTCGTGCACGTAGATGCCGCCCGTCTGCCCGTGGTGGATCTCGCAGCGCACCACCGTCGGGTTGGCGTACGCCTTCACCTCGAAGCCGGCAATTCGGTTCCGGTGGATATTGCAGCTCTCAAAATATCCCTGGAGGCGAGCATGAGTTTGTAAGCAATGTGAAGTGGAGGCAAGAGTAAGGAGAGGGATGGAAAGGAAAGAGAAGGGAAATCGAGCCAAAGGAAGGGAAGAAGAGTTAAGGGGGAGAGAATAAAGTGGGAGGACAAGGGTAGAGAACAGGGAGGAAACTTTGGAGCTGTGGATTGACAGTGGAAAACTGTACATTCTCAACAACAACAATCGTCATTCGCCACTAAGTGGCAGTAATGTCACCATGGCGCTTGTGTCATGCTAGGTGCACTTTTAGGCCACGTGAAGTGTCAACGGCCTACTGGTAGGCGGTCACGGAACAAACTCAGGTGCCGTGAGTTGACTGGGATGATGACTGGCAGATGCACCAACTGTACCCCCCCCACTGTGCAAACTTTCTACCTTTTAGCCACCAGGTACTCTGCTCGCACAAAAGATCACCCTTATAGCCTTAACAAACTGTAGGAGCAAGTGCTGTTAGTGAGCGAAGGCCAACATGGCACACGATGAGGTGGGTGGCCGGCACCACGCCCGGCCACCTTTGCTCACACACGGACACATGCGTGCATTTACGAGCGCACCCCTCTGTCCGCGCGCACTCACCATGCCATGGTCGAATGTGAAGACGCCCACATCGCGTCCGTGGTGGATGTGATTTCGTCTGATGATGGGGTTCGCGTGGTTCTTAACCCAAATCCCGGCCAGCGCATTGTTGGAAATTTCGTTGTCTTCATAGGTTCCCTGTCACAAACGCCAAGCCGTTTGGTGTTAGCTGGTGCTCCAGTTACACCTCAGTGAGTGGGGGCATGCTGGGAGTCGGCTGTGCGTGTTCTTCTCGGCCGGGCAAGGCCACAAACGTCATCGTGCACATTGTTCAGCACTCTCAGTCAGCTCAGTACATTGTAAAACAAAAGATGGTCACTATATTGCGTGCTTTCAAATGCGCTTCTGCGGCCATCTGGAACATTGTATCTTGCCAAACTTTATCGTTCCATAATTTCCAGGTAATTTTTTTCGCTTTAGATGTACAGTGAGAGAAAAAAGTATTTGATCCCCTGCTGATTTTGTACGTTTGCCCACTGACAAAGAAATGATCAGTCTATAATGTTAATGGTAGGTTTATTTGAACAGTGAAAGACAGAATAACAACAACAAAATCCAGAAAAACGCATGTCAAAAATGTTATAAATTGATTTGCATTTTCATTAGGGAAAAAAGTATTTGACCCCTCTGCTTGAGCCACTCCTTTGTTGCCTTGGCCATGTGTTTTGGGTCATTGTCATGCTGGAATACCCATCCATGACCCATTTTCAATGCCCTGGCTGAGGGAAGGAGGTTCTCACTCAAGATTTGACGGTACATGGCCCCGTCCATCGTCCCTTTGATGCGGTGAAGTTGTCCTGTCCCCTTAGCAGAAAAACATCCCCAAAGCATAATCTTTCCACCTCCATGTTTGACGGTGGGGATGGTGTTCTTGGGGTCATAGGCAGCATTCCTCCTCCTCCAAACACAGCGAGTTGAGTTGATGCCAAAGAGCTCCATTTTGGTCTCATCTGACCACAACACTTTCACCCAGTTGTCCTCTGAATCATTCAGATGTTCATTGGCAAACTTCAGACGGGCATGTATATGTGCTTTCTTGAGCAGGGGGACCTTGCGGGCGCTGCAAGATTTCAGTCCTTCACGGCGTAGTGTGTTATCAATTGGTTTCTTGGTGACTATGGTCCCAGCTGCCTTGAGATCATTGACAACATCCTCCCGTGTAGTTCTGGGCTGATTCCTCACCGTTCTCATGATCATTGCAACTCCACGAGGTGAGATCTTGCATGGAGCCCCAGGCCGAGGGAGATTGACAGTTCTTTTGCGAATAATCGCACCAACTGTTGTCACCTTCTCACCAAGCTGCTTGGCAATGGTCTTGTAGCCCATTCCAATCTTGTCCCTGACATCCTTGGAGAGCTCTTTGGTCTTGGCCATGGTGGAGAGTTTGGAATCTGATTGAATTATTGCTTCTGTGGACAGGTGTCTTTTATACAGGTAACAAGCTGAGATTAGGAGCACTCCCTTTAAGAGTGTGCTCCTAATCTCAGCTCGTTACCTGTATAAAAGACACCTGGGAGCCAGAAATCTTTCTGATTGAGAGGGGGTCAAATACTTATTTCCCTCATTAAAATGCAAATCAATTTATAAAAATTTTGACATGCGTTTTTCTGGATGTTTTTGTTGTTATTCTGTCTCTCACTGTTCAAATAAATCTATAATTAAAATTATAGACTGATCATTTCTTTGTCAGTGGGCAAACGTACAAAATCAGCAGGGGATCAAATACTTTTTTCCCTCACTGTAATTTGCTTAATGCGGCACTTTTAAGGAACGCATTGACCGCGTTAAACGAGAACTCACTGTATCTTGTTCCAAACTTTGTTCGGCTAACCATCGAAAAAAAGACGGTCACAGCATCGCGCGCTTTCAGGTGCGCTTCTGCTGCCGTCTGGAACCCTCTTCCTTACAATATTAGGAAGCCACTGGAGCTGTGCATTTGTAAATCTAGATTGAAAACTAATTTCTCTCGCAATGCTTTTTGTGTTTAGTTTGTTGTCCTTCCTCCGCACCTCCGATGAGCACGGTTGGCTACGTACGGTGCCAAAGAAGTTCAACATGCATACACAATTGTAACTGACGATGCGTCTGCCACGCAGCCTTCGCAAATTTTCCGAGTTTTGGGTCGTGCGGTCCATGAGGAGGCGCGACGCGAGTTTACGGCGGCTACGTACCTGCGCGTGGTCGGTGATGTAGAGGCCAACGTTCTCACAGTCACTGATATTGCAGTACTTGAGCGAGGGGCAGGCCCCGTGTCCACTCACGCACACGGCCGAGCCCACTGTCCCGGCCATGGAGAAACACGGCACAAACGCGCACGACAGGGCACGGTTTAACGATAAAGATTCGCATTCATTAAATCGCCAAAAGTCTCAAAACGACTTATCATGAAAACCCTGGCAATATAAAAAACACATCGAGGGGAAGAAAAAGACAAACAAAAAGACAACAAAGATCAACGGCAAAGGGGCACGAACGCGGCAGGGCCAGAGTGATTTGTGCACACTTGGACACAGACATTCAATGGAGAAAATCTGAGGGAAGTCTCAAAAAAACAATGGAAAAAAGACACGGCAGGCTCAGGCAAACAATCCCAGCATCCCACCCCTAACGAAAATACACCCGACCACCGCCACCACCACCACCACCCATTGCCACTAACCACACCCCACCCAACCACCATCAGCACCAAAAATCCCCACCGCAAGCTCCACCAAAACGAGTCTGATTGTTTTTCTCGGTGCGAGTGGCAGGGCCAATTAACGATGACAGAACCCTAACCCGTGCCACTTACACACGCGGTCCAGGCTTGCCGGCAGCCTGCGGAGTTGTATGGGGCTCACCTGTGCAGGTGCTGCGGATAATGGAGCGGTCGATCACTGGGCAGCAGTTGACCGTGATCTCGAGGCAGTGGTGCGCGTTGTGGTGATTTCCGGAGCGATCGTCCGGGTTGAACTGTGGCATCAAGTGGCAAGACGAAGGCATAAAGTTCATGATAATAGTAAGTGTAACGATATCCTCTTAGTCCATAAGCCTAAGGGCCGTCTGAACTGATGCTTACCATCGGTATTCATTTAATGCGCAAACTCTGGACTGTTTTTATTTTCTCAAGTTTCACCAGCAGCCAGGGAAGTCGAAAGAATGAGGATGGGTTAAATAATAACCAGAAAGTAATTAACAAGGAAGAAAATGTATTATAATTTACAGCCCTCTGTCAACAACTGCTGGTAGCCATATGCTTCACAGCGGACGTTAAAGCTCCTGTGACATTATTAGAAAAAGTAGTCTACGTGTGCCAGAATCACGGTTCAAATTTCCACAAAATTCGAAAACTGCTCTCAAACTAGCTAAGTGGGTAAAGTCACAAACTAACATCGCCCCCTACTTGCAGAATAATGCCCAATTGCAGGCCAGTGCTGCTTTGACCTTGTGCCCTCACAGGGACGGCTGCCACCGGGGGCTCTCCTAGACGTGGCTCGCGCGTCACGATGTACCGCACGAGAGGCGTGGTATATATATTAAGCGACGATGACGACAAGCCGCCCGGCCACCGGCGCCAACCTTGATGGTCATGAACCCAACGTAGGCGTCGTCGGAGCCCTCCATGAACACGAACGTGGAGTCTCGAGTGTTCTCGATGATCACTTTGTCCGCCACCTTGCCCGGGGCTGTGGGGTTAGACAACCGCAAATATTCAAAACAAAGCAAGGAAAAATGTTTACACCATTCCAAATTCGTTAATAGCTCGACAGTGAAGAACATATGACGCAAAACGCCAACCGATGTTATCTGGGTTCTGTGTTCCTTGCTATCCAATGTAAATGAACAAAGTACAGCCCCTTTTGTTGATCCAGTACTGAAGGCCTCCCCTGCAGCGTATTGGCCATGGGAGATTTTTTATCATACTGAGCAACGGTGGTCGGTGTGGAATGGTTAAGGTGATGAGCGTAGATGTGAGACCATAAAAGTACAGTCCAGGTGCTGTGGATGACGGAACAACGCACGCGTTCAAATTTTACGATAACAAAAATCCTAGATCTCAGAGGCACTAGTTCAGCACTCCGATCTCCGAGCCACATCATGGAACGACTTTAATCAGTGATCTGTAGTATTCCTACCGATCGCCACCATCCCGCCGTGACCCCTGGGTTGCCCTCTGCCCGTGTGAACCCACCGGCTCCGATCATGGCGACAGGCGTCTCGACGTAGATCCACTCGTCGGAGTACACGCCGGCGTGGACGAAGATGAGGCCGTCGAAGTGGCCCTCCTGCACCCCGCCCAGGGCGTCCTCGATTGTGTCATAGTACTGGGCGACACGGACATACAAAGATTCCCCGAATAGCCTTTAACAGACTGTTGGGGCAAGTGCTGTTCGTGAACAGCTATGAAGGCCGGCACGAGGAGGTGGATGGCCAGCACCACGCCCGACCACATTTTTCTCCCTCGTGGTGACGTTTACACACCGCACCAGGTACTCATTTGAGGCCGAGTCGACCTAGGGGAGGCCCAGGACCGGTTCAAATAATCGTCACCGGTGTTGGCCGTGAGCAGGAATCGAACTCGGTTGCGCCGGGTTCGTAGCATGCTAACCGCTACCCTCCCGCTCCCCACATGAACACAAGGACACACGGACACACATGAATGCATGCAGTCAGCAGCCCAAAAGGAACCGCAATCCTTCGCCAAATCCAGCAGGTTGCAACATGGCTGAAAAAAAAAATTATTTCCATTTTTGTTTTTTTCACCCCACTGTGTTCCAGCCAGAACAGGTTGGAGGGCTTTTGGAATACCAAACTTAAGAAATTTAAAGCAATCTAACCACGCCTATAAAATAAGATTTTCAATCACTTCATATGAAATAGACGCCGACTCAAGATTCATTCTTTTTTTTTTTTACAAAGTGATGAAAATCGTCCTAGTATTGGCTGCAGGGGCCATAAATATCTAGCCGACGGTGGGAAATTGAATTGACATCCCCTGGTTCATAGCACAATGCAGTGACTGTTCTACTGCTCCACCCCTGATTAGTGCGGTTGGCTACGTACGGTGCGAAAAAAGTTCAACACACATACATAAGATATTTCAAATCGAAACTGTCCCAGAGAGAAGTGCACCACCCTGTCAGTGAAATGGCCGTGGAAGATCACATTGGAAAAAACTTCTAAAGTTCCTTCCATCATCCTCGAATAGCAGCTTTCATCAACAAGAGTTTCTCGAGGATGCACACAGAGACGGCGGTGCGCACCTGTGCCTTTAGTCTGGGTCTTTTAGATTGTAAATCTGTGAAATACGATTCACAGCATATTGGTGGTAAATGTACGCGTTTAGCGAGTGGTGGTGGTTTGAGAGCAGCACCATGGTGGCTCAAGAGGCAGGATTCCCTTCGCTCACCAGAATGTTCGCTCGACCTTTGAACCTTGCCGGGTTGTTGTAGAAGTGTTCCGCGTAGCCCGGTTTGATGTGAACCCCTTTGTACTGAAACGCAACGACACAACAGACGGGCAATTAGAGCACCTTCTGGTGCTATGAGACCCTTGAGACTCGGTGGGTAAAGTCTAGGCCATGTCCTCCATTTGCTCTTCATTCCAAACGATTGTAGGCATAACCAATAGCGGCGTTCCGGAAATCACGTGACAGAGGACATCCGTTCTCCGCCAGTGACCTTCACTCGGTGCAACTCTGTAGTTTTCCCTGAAAAACGCTTGAATTTTTATTTAATCAATAAATAATTGACTCTGGCGTCCTTTTACCTGGAGCGTGCAGTCCGCCTTAACACGATATTCCGAGTGCCAAAGACGCGTCACCAATACCAACGCTAAAATCCCTACTCCGGCGAGGATAGCAGCAATATCATAAAAGGTCACTGCATTCATAATCCAATTGTGACAAATGTATTTGGTTCAAGTATTTGTGCCCTTTAATGTATTACCATCTTCTAGTGTGTAGCGTGCAGGGGCGGGCCCCAATCATAACAATGTGACTTGGAGGGTCCTGCTTTCAATGTTTGGCCAATTTCACTTACTAAGCATTTTGCTCATTGTAAATATGATCACAATCATGAGGATAATAATGACACTGCCACTGCTGGTGATGATGGTAGTGGTGATGATGACAATGATGATGATGCTGAAGATGTTGATGCTCCTGGTTATGAAAATGCGAATGGTGATGTTGTCTCTTCTGCTGGTGATGGTGAATGCAATGATGATTATGCTGACGACGACAATTATGACAAAAGATGCCAAAATGTTCTGAAAGTAATTCAAAATCACCGGTAATGACAATAACAATGGTAACAATTGACGTTATTACCCTCATAGCAACATTTTCCATGTCCATCATCCCAATACCCAAGAGTGGTCGCAATCTAGAACACCTTCAATAGTGTGGTTCGTTTCTAGCCGCTAGGCATTTGGGACCTCAAGACCCAAATGTGTTTAGTTTGTCGTCCTTTCTCCGCACGTCCAATTCCCATGGTTGGCTACGTACGGTGCGAAAGAAGTTCAACATACATACATGCTTGTGTCAAAAAGAGGGCAAAGCAGGTGACAGGCAAAATAGTTCAGAAGGTAGGGGCATTGAGAATGGTTTCTGGACAGCCGATTCAAATGGGTGCCACCACTTTATATAATGACAAACGGTAACATTTTAATTGTGCTGAAAATAGGGAGATGAGCTGCTAGGTATTAAAAGGTGATGAAAATGCTCAAAATATAATTATTACTTAATCATCATTATCACTGTAGCACCACGACAGCGTATCAATGTGTCACGATCACTGTCAACCGCGATTTTAAAAAATCGTCCCCCACCCACCCGCTGACGCAGCTCCAACCGACGGACGCCAGGGCAACCCGCGGGCACTCACCAGTTGGCTGAAGCTCTCCTTCCACGGGTTGGCATTCTCGCAGTCCTCCACGTTCACCTGGAAGAACTTGCGCGGCTCTGGGTGCAGCATGGGTCTTGTGTACTCAAAGAGGTCCGTGTACAGTAGCTTCCTGTTCGCGTCGGGCGAAACACGTTCAGGCGAAATGGGCATGATGGCGAGATGTTAACTTCCTCGCCTGGTATACAGGAGGTTGTCGGTTCGATCCCGACCCTGACGCCCGTTGTATATTTGGAGTACGCATGTTCTCCCCGTGGTCGTGTGGATTTTTCTCCGGAGCCTCGGGTTTTTCCCTCCACATTTAGAAACGTGCATTTAGAGTAGTAGGCTGCTATAAATGTCCACAAGATAAGCTACTTCGTTGAGCTATCATTTGTGATAACCAGGTCACTTCTGAAAAAGAGCTGAATAGCTCAGTTGGCCTTACCTGGTAAAATAAAATATAAATATTTTTTAGGTTCAGGTGCAACATGACAAGTCCGGCTGCGGCGCTTTTTCGTAGGTGGCGGTTAATTTGACAAAGAGCCCCCGTATAGCCTTAACAGACTGTTGGGGCGAGTGCTGTTAGGGAGCACCTATGAAGGCTGGTACGGCAAAGAAGGGGATGGGTGGTCAGCAACACGCCCAGCCGCCTTTGTCTCCCAAGTAGCGAAGTTTACACATCGCACCAGGTACTCATTTGTGGCCGAGTCGAACTGTGACAGCCCAGGGTTCTACCACCACTGTACTACCACCTCGCACAATGGACATGTGAAAGAGGCTCTGTCCTGTTCATGTGTTGTTTTTTTGTATATGTCTTAACCCACACCTCTGAATGTCCTTTGAAGTTCAATTTGTGCACATTATAAATGTAAAAATGAATGCTACCACTAATTAGTTTGGTCTGCTCTTGACTTTCGTTTGTAGGCTTGTACTCATCACCTGAATCCCCTCCACCAGGAGATGAAAAAAACCTAATACCAGCTCTCACGGTTGCCAAGAGACACGATTCACACTCCCAGGCGATTCGGTGAGTTGTAATGATTTGGTGTGATGGCGAGATTGAACAATCGATTCTTTTTAATGCCTTCCAACTAACGGTGAAGCATTAAACCTGATCTGCGGTCTATCTGTAATGAGCGGCACGATACATTTCACGTGCCATTTTATGTTTTTTCGGCCTATGGAAGTCCTGGTTCCTGCACGTCTGCCAAAAGCACAACTGATATCTATCACGAATCAAGTATTTCTAGGCTGAATGCACTATAAAGCCTTACAAAAAGCATACAATGACTAATTTATCTGCCTCGTCTCGTTTATGTTCTCGTTTATGCCGCCTCGATCATACAGTGCAAGGGTCACACATCAACGCAAACGCAACATAACTGCTTAAAATCGTAAACAATCGATTTCTTGCAAGCACGATTCCACGCGAGTTGCCGCCAGCATGAAAGTCGACGCTACATTCAGCACGCAGTCACTGCGGCCAGGCGCGCCCACCCCCCACGCCCCACGCGGCGCGTGCTCACCACAGCAGGGGGTCGTTGGCGAGTGTGTTAAAGCGCTTGCACACGCAAGCCACGCGACATAGGTCCTGCTCGAGCAGGTACGAGAACACCTTGAGCACCACCTCGTCCGGGAGCTTCTCCTGCAGGTATCGCTCGGCTGGAGCTGCGGAGGGGCAGGGGGGGGAGAGGGGAGGGGGGCGGAACACCAAGCAGGTAAGCGCCATAAGATCTCTGTCCACTGCACGCTAATTTCACGGTAAGTTCTCGCTTAACGTGTGTTCTTCACAAAAACAAAGTTCTCGGAAACGCGGTTGTTCCACTCGGGAACCCTTTTCGCACAATGCGCACAGTTACAACGCGGTTTCTGAGCGGTCGACAACAAACTACTTTCTTGAGCTGCGCGGCCGAGCGATGGAATACATTACGTGGAATGATATCTTGTCATCTTACTGTGTGTGTTGTAGTATATCGTATCTCGGCAGACTTCATAGTTACATTTTTTGTTGGGGAATAGTTTTCGCTTTACACATCTCCCGCGTTAACCAAAAACTGACTGTACACTCAACGGTATGCGAATTGCACTGCGGGTCACCTCAACATCTCTTTATGCTTCTTCCACACTGCTCCACTTAGGAATTCCCCACCCACCTCCAATTGTCTCTTTTCCCAAGCACTTGTATAACATTTCTCACTAAAAAGAAAATATGTTACACTCTTATTTATTACAACTTGGACAGTGCCATGCGATATGTTGCTAACCGCTTGGCATGATGGACCTGTGCTTAGCAACCGTAATAAAAAATGACTAAAAAACATTGTACCCAAATTGTACAGTGTGCTAATAGTACGTTGTACCACAATTATATATTGTAGCCTAACTTCACACTATTTTAAAATTTGAGTGGTAAGTGTTGTATGTATGTACGTTGAACTTCTTTCACACCGAACGTAGCCAGCCGTGCTAAACGGAGGTGGTTCACAGCCAAGCAGGTGGCACTGTGACACCCATGTACATTGTTAGCTCTCGTTGTACACCGAATGCAGAGGAGTCTAATGGAACCAGGAACCGGAATCAGGAACTGGTTTCAACCGTGACATTTTCTCGAACAGAAACTGAAAATCAACCCCAAAACATGTGCTTTTTCTGGAATTAAACCGCTCCCCCCCACAAAAGAATGCACTTACCAGTTAACACCTGTGGGGGGGGGTGGGAAGTGATGTGCTTTGTAGCTGTGGTGTTAAAAGTAAAGAAAGCCACAATCCCCAGCCAAGGCCACAGTTATAACCTATTACGCTAGAGGGCACGTTAGCCGTGGTCCCGACAGTGACTCGGTGAGACATTGTGCAGAGCTTCAGTACTCAGCAATCAGTCAAGTCCACAAGGTGAGAGACGGTCATACTTGCCGAGACTCAGATAGAGATATTTCTAACTATAGACAAAGATCCCCCGCCGTATAGTCTTAAACAGGCTGTTGGGGCAAGTGCTGTTAGCGATTAGCAACCATGAAGGCCGGCATGGCACACGAGGGAAAGGTGTGGCCAACACCACACCTGGTCGCCTTTGTCTCCCCAGTGGCAATGTTCACACATCGCAGCAGGTACTACATATTTTCCTCTAGAAACATAAGTGAGAGCTAGAGATGCCAATTTTTGAAACGAGAAACAATAAATTTTCTTTATATTTAACAGTACATTTCTATTTCAAGTGATTAACTAGAACATTTCATAGAGGATACAGCATAATCATGAAAACTATTTTTCGAATGATATCATGCGATTGGTAACATCCACTGTGAAGAAGACTGTCTCTTTTACACTGTATGCTAACTGTACATTGTACACGAATAGTTAGTGCACCACTGCATTGCAGTTACACCCCCTCGCCCTTTCTCCGCCTCTCTCTCCCTATTGCTCCATCTCTCTTGCTGTCTCTGTCTCACTCAAGACAGTCCCCGTCTCCTCTCGCTCTCTCTACCCGATCTCTATCGGAGCCCCTCTTGCTCTCACTATGTCTTTCAATGATCCGAGTCGGACGTTCCACCACACAGGAGAATGAATCGCAGAGAGGCTCGGTGGAGTTGCGAGGAGGTGAGGAAGGGGACTCACGTGGCGGCTCCTGGGTCCGGTTCGACATACGGGTGCGCTTTGCACGGTGGCTGGAGCTCTCGGTGCTGGTCGACGACATCACCTACAAAAAGACATCATCAACGGTCACGGATCAATTAATAAATCCACTGCTGGATGAAGATCTCCCACCCCACCATGCTCTGTGTTCTTGGCTGTCCGACATGGGATTTTTAAGCTCTTTTCAATTATATATATATTTTTAATTCAGGGTCAGGTGGGACAAATTATAGCAATCAATATATGACATAGCAATGATAGTGTACTAAAATGTATAATAATATCAAGCCTCGCTGAGTCTCAATATGCTTATTGGTTCAGGAGGATCATGTATCGGGATGTTTGGCTTCATGTGGGAGTAAACCAGAAAACCCAGAGAAAATCCAATTGGAATGGAAGGGGGTGACACTGAAAGCTCCATAAAGATCACTTGAAGAATTAATTGATGAATTGTCATCTCCAGCCCACCTTGCAGCCCAAGGCAACTCCTGGTATTTCCAGGCGGTTTTCCATCCAAGTACGAACCTAGCCAGACTTAACCCCACTAAGCTTCTGATATTTAATGAAATAGAGCACATTTAGGGTGATTTTGTCTGAAGGAAGTGACATCCATCGAGCCATAATTACAAACCCATGATTTTAAAGTCTTCTTCCTTCATAATGTCGCTTCAACCTCATGTCAGATAGCACAGGACACTCGGCCGATGGATGCAACTCCAAAATAGCTGGTCTATGAAATCTGAATTAGAGGAGATGCTCTATTAGTCATTTATAATTGTTATCTTGCATCAAATCATAACAGCTAAGCTGTAATATGTTTGGTGCAATGGATAGATAGTTCAAGCGTGAATCAGTTGAGTAGATTGATGAGTAGGTTGGCCGAGTGGGTGAGTGAGCGAGTTTGTGAACAAGAGAGCGGATCAGAGTGTGAGCGAGTGGGTGAGTGGGTGAGCGTGCAAGTGAGTAGATTAACAGGGCGAGCGGGCGCCTATATGAGCGAGCTTGTGAGCGAGTGAGTGGGTGGGTGAGCGGGCGAGCGGGCAAGCGGGCGAGAATCTGAGTGGCCGGACGAGCATCTGCGTGGTCGGGTGAGCATCTGAGTGAGTAGGTGAGCAGTTGAGCGAGCGGGGTCACGTGTGGCTGAGCGAGAGGGCGAGCGGGCGGAGGCGGCGCTCACCTCAGCCGGGTTTGCTGTCGGTGCGATTTGCCGCTTGCACGTCTGTGGCTTCCGGCGCAGCTGGTAGGGGCTGCGCACACCCGGCGCAGCCGGGACATCCGCCGCACGTGGCTGCACCACAGCCGGGCCGGGCGCCGGCGCCTGCCCAGGGCCGGGTGCCGGATCCGGAGCCTGGATCCGAGCGCCATCATCTGTCGCGCACACACACACACACACGTGCACATGATTCACGTTCATCGCAAACACGATACACGTTTGTCTCGAATGCGTACACGCGTGATGCAGTTCTTGTTCATCAACACAATACTCTGTCGATTTGTACAGCATCTAAATGGGACTGCGCATCTCAAAACTGTATAAAATAGCAGCCAGTGGTGGCGCTCTGTGCAAGACTGTGGATCTCTGGGAATCTATGGCTGTTTGGCGAGTCTATGGATCTATGGTCAGTCTCTCAGTGTCTATGTAATTATGCATAAGTCCAAAGAAACCTACATAATATAATTTGGATTTACATAGGATCTCATTATGACTGCATCTCCAGATGCTAGACAGAAACAATGGGCATCGTTATTTTATATAGAGAGGCAGTCAGTTGTAGGCAGAGGGAGAAAAGGTCTTGGGCCTGGAGCTGAACAGGGGCAGGGAGTCAACAGCATGAATGGAATTCTGTACCATGGGGGGTCGCAAGGACCGGGCTTGAGAAACAATGGTTGAAAGGAAGATGCAACCCATGAACATTTTTCTCCAATCTTGATCATTAAATGTTTTTTAGGGAGAGGTGGCCGCTTGGGTCAGAGGACAGAGTTGACTGAAATCCTGGGTTCGTCAACAGGCAGTCAGCCACGTGTGATTAAACTGAATTCTCAAGTGTAAGGAGTTGATCGACAGCACTTTTACTTGGATAAATTCCAGCTCTCAGACATCAATATATCGGTTGCATTGTCATGCAATGAACAGAAACTGTCGGTGGCAGGGCAGGTGGCAAAATGCTGCCCCCTGTTTTGTGGACAGAGGTCACTTGAGATCTCAGAAGTAATTCTGCGAGTTCCGCTTGTGCGGGGTGGTGGTGGTTTCTAACACGGCCACACTTCTGCTACAGGTCCAAACAGATTCCTTGTTTCAGGACATGATGCCAATAGTGCAATCTGGATAAAAATTATGGACGGCTTTATTTCTGTAACGTCTCCAAGCGCTCTGGAAAAAAAGCAGTTGGTGGTCCCAGACAATGCCTGTGGATAACACAAATAAAACATATACATGACCGGCTTCAGTCCCGTTACGACACGGCCAGTCTTTCAGTCCTCCGTCAGGGGTAGATACAACCCAGCTGCCCTCATAACCAGCATTTAAAGTTCTCTTGTAGATTCGTACCGACGCTATGTCTCGGGCCATCTTAAATGTTTGAAGAATTGTTTAATGTAAAAAAAGACCTTAAAGCGATGGCTAGGCACGCCACTATAGTGTACTCTGCTGACACCACTTCGATGATGTTATTTAAAATACAGGAGAGAAGTCACGGTGATGTCACTCGTGCACAATCATGCGCGCGACCACAATTTTAGAGTCTCTCGTGTCATTAACGACGCTTCAGACTCATGTCGGACACATGGCCGAAGGGTTTCACCTAAAGAACTGTTTGTTGTCCCACTTAGATCATCCCTAAAATAATATACCAAGTGGATATCGAAGTGTTAGACACAATAAAAATTTATGAAGGCAGTGCAAAAACACAACCAAGAAAAATCGGATATAGGCATGGATTCTGTAATGCTTCTTTGGTCACACGTTTGTCTTCAGAAGTATTTAATCAGCGATAATTATTCATAATAAAGTATCACTTCAATTGGACTATCTTTATGGGTGGTATAACCCCTCCCCCTCGCAACAGAGACAGGCAACAGGACAGAGATAATGCATTAACGTTTTCAAACTTATTTGGCACGTGTTCATAAGATACCCCATGTGAGCGCACCCAGGATAGAAAAACAAAATTTTACGGCAGCCCTCACGGCACCCGATTTGGCATGCAGACTGCTCAGATAACGGCTAAAAGTTCAAGAGGGCCCAGTGACTATTAAAGTTGCATGACTTCAACATCTGCGACATCCAAATAAAAACGTTTAGAGGCAGTCGGCTCCCGGAGGACGAGAATTCTGTGCCTCTGCAGAAGGGCAGCGAAACTGCCGTCAACGAGGCAACCAAAACCAAGTCATCAATAACACACAATTGATTTCATTATGCTTTCAAAAACAAGCTTATGCGCAGCCATTGCAAATCCGGACGTACATTACACATGAGTGTCATAGTCTGACATTTGTGTGTGCACAAAAAAATAACATGAAGTGAGGTGGTTGTGAGGATCAGAGATCGGAGTACCGAGCAAGTGCACTTATGAGATCCTGGGTCAGCCACACAGGATTAAACTGGGTTCTCAGGTGCAGCAAGTTGATGGGTCTCAGCCCAGTCACCAATAACTGCACAGAAAAAAATGTATAATGTTAAGTTTAGTTTTACACTTAAGATTTCAGCTTTGAGAGTTACACATACGTTTGACTAACATGCAACAATGTCACTGCAGAGCACATGTGGAAGTGTGCCCTCTCTACTTTGTAACGAAAAGAAAAACGTTGAATGGATTATCTCCGGGCATGATTCCGAGAGCACGTTAAAAAAATGTTTGTATTTTAAAAATAACCAAACTAAAATAACGCGTCCCTGCCATCTCAATAAAATGGCATGCAATGTACAATTTGGCGGTGGTAATGCATCACACCACCCGTGTCAAGACAGCTAATGAATGGAACACCTCCTTTCTGCACACGCTGCTTTATGTACGCGCGGAAACGTCCAATACAAGATGCGTTATTTTCATGGTGGGGGGAGGGAACAGGCGTGTGGTGGTCTGTGGAAGGGATGGCGCAGAGGGTAGTGAAATCGACTTAAAATGGATATGGCCAAACATCCCACTGCAAGAACCTCATGCAAAAAGTATCAAGGCTGCCTTGAGACTTTCCCCGATAACTAAACTACATTTATGTATTGTTACTCTGCTGGCAACCAAATTACCCTGAACGTGTCCGATCTCGTCAGATCTCAGAAGTTGAGGATCGAGCCTCGTCAGAGCCTGGACTGCAGAGTGCCTCGACATACCAGGTATTGGGCTATGAAGTGGCCAGAAGGTGGCAGTACAACAATGGATCGTTGGATCTATGTGTGCATTGTTGGAGCTTTGAGTGATATACTGTACCATACACTGCATGGTTTACTCAGAGCACTCCGGTTCCCTCGCACACACCAAAAAATAATTAATGGAATTGGCCAAACATCGCAATGCAGGACCCTCCTGAACATATTTTATACCTCAGTGAGGCTTTCGTGTACAAATGATGGGCATTACCATGTTATTATAACGAAGGTGGGGCGGGGGGGGGGGGTCGGTCACCTCCCTTGACACATTTACATACTTACTAATTACCCAACGCATGCCATGTGGACTGGCTTAATTTGAATGAAGATTGGCAGACACAGAGAAGGCTGGCTGTGACAGGGTGCGAGACTAGATTTTGAGCAGCCCTGGCCTACATACCTACTGACGCCGCACTGGATGTTAAAAAAAATGTACTCCACAAAAACAGGGGACCGATGTTTGCTAAAGCACTGCATGTTGGAGGTCAAGATAGAGGCCAAGCTTATTACAATACAGCAGCATGCTTAGTTATCCAGCTATCACATCCAATAGGGTTAGCCTTGTTAATATGCAAAGTGACTCGTGTATGGCTGGGTTCAGTAGCATTCAATCAGGTTCCAAAAGGCAGTTTGTTTATATACAATGCGAATACACATGGTCAAGCGTGGTGCGTGTACATGTATGTGCGCATCTGCATATGTATGTGTGGACATCTGTATGTGTATGTAATGAAGCGCATGTATATATCTGTGCGTGTATGTAATGTGGGGAGTGGTGGTGTAACGGTTCGCTTCGCTACGAACCAGGCAACCCGAGTTCGATTCCCGCTCACAGCCAACACCAGTGATGATTATCTAAACTGGTCCTGGGCCTCCCCTAGGTCAAGTCAGCCTCAAATAAGTACCTAGTGTGATGTGTAAACATTGAAACTGGGGAGACAAAGGCGGTCGGGCGTGGTTCTGGCCACACCACCCCCTCGTGTACCGTGCCGGCCTTCTTAGGTGCTTGCTAACAGCACTTTCCCCAACAGCTGGTTAAGGCTATGCAGGGGATCTTTGTCCTTGTATGAGACTATATGTCTGCAAATCTGTGGGAAACCGTATAAACATGTCTGAAGGTGTATGTCTGTATGGGGGTATGTTAACATCGGTATGTCTGTGCATCTTTGTATGGGGGTGCGTGGGCATCTATATATTTGTCTCTGTGGAGATATCCACGTGTACAGATATCCACTGTACATGCATGCCTGTGTGTCTGCGCGAGTCTGTATGCTTCAGTGTGCATCTATAAATACAGTACATACATCAACACATGTATGGCCGTATGTGTAAGCACTCTCTGTATATCCTGTATGCCTGTGCATCTCCTGTATGCCTGTGCATCTGTATCTGTCTAAGTGCATTTGTAAGTGCACGCCTGTGTAGCAGCTGTACGTATCTAAGTTCTACAAATCTTTATCTGTGAGTCTTCATACATCAATGTGCATCTACAGTGAGGGAAAAAAATATTTGATCCCCTGCTGATTTGGTACGTTTGCCCACTGACAAAGAAATGATCAGTCTATAATTTTAATGGTAGGTTTATTTGAACAGTGAGAGACAGAATAACAACAACAAAATCCAGAAAAACGCATGTCAAAAATGTTATAAATTAATTTGCATTTTAATGAGGGAAATAAGTATTTGACCCCCTCTCAATCAGAAAGATTTCTGGCTCCCAGGTGTCTTTTATACAGGTAATGAGCTGAGATTAGGAGCACACTCTTAATCTCAGCTTGTTACCTGTAAAAAAGACACCTGTCCACAGAAGCAATCAATCAGATTCCAAACTCTCCACCATGGCCAAGACCAAAGAGCTCTCCAAGGATGTCAAAGACAAGATTGTAGACCTACACAAGGCTGGAATGGGCTACAAGACCATTGCCAAGCAGCTTGGTGAGAAGGTGACAACAGTTGGTGCGATTATTCGCAAATGGTAGAAACACAAAAGAACTGGCAATCTCCCTCGGCCTGGGGCTCCATGCAAGATCTCACCTCGTGGAGTTGCAATGATCATGAGAACGGTGAGGAATCAGCCCAGAACTACACGGGAGGATCTTGTCAATGATCTCAAGGCAGCTGGGACCATAGTCACCAAGAAAACAATTGGTAACACACTACGCCATGAAGGACTGAAATCCTGCAGCGCCCGCAAGGTCCCCCTGCTCAAGAAAGCACATATACATGCCCGTCTGAAGTTTGCCAATGAATATCTGAATGATTCAGAGGACAACTGGGTGAAAGTGTTGTGGTCAGATGAGACGAAAATGGAGCTCTTTGGCATCAACTCAACTCGCCTTGTTTGGAGGAGGAATGCTGACTATGACCCCAAGAACACCATCCCCACCGTCAAACATAGAGGTGGAAACATTATGCTTTGGGGATGTTTTTATGCTAAGGGGACAGGACAACTTCACCGCATCAAAGGGACGATAGACGAGGCCATGTACCGTTAAATCTTGGGTGAGAACCTCCTTACCTCAGCCAGGGCATTGAAAATGGGTCTTGGATGGGTATTCCAGCATGACAATGACCCAAAACACACGGTCAAGGCAACAAAGGAGTGGCTCAAGAAGAAGCACATTAAGGTCCTGGAGTGACCTAGCCAGTCTCCACACCTTAATCCCATAGAAAATCTGTGGAGGGAGCTGAAGGTTCAAGTTGCCAAACGTCAGCCTCGAAAACTTAATGACTTGGAGAAGATTTGCAAAGAGGAGTGGGACAAAATCCCTCCTGAGATTTGTGCAAACCTGGTGGCCAACTACAAGAAACGTCTGACCTCTGTGATTGCCAACAAGGGTTTTTCCACCAAGTACTAAGTCATGTTTTGCAGAGGGGTCAAATACTTATTTCCCTCATTAAAATGCAAATCAATTTATAACACTTCTGACATGCGTTTTTCTGGATTTTTGTGTTGTTATTCTGTCTCTCACTGTTCAAATAAACCTACCATTAAAATTATAGACTGATCATTTATTTGTCAGTGGGAAAACGTACAAAATCAGCAGGGAATCAAATACTTTTTTCCCTCACTGTATGGCCGTATGTGTAAGCACTCTCTGTATTTCATGTATGCCTGTGCATCTCCTTTATGCCTGTGCATCTCCTTTATGCCTGTGCATCTCTATCTGTCTAAGTGCATCTGTAAGTGCACACCTGTGTAGCAGCTGTACGTGTCTAAGTTCTACAAATCTTTATCTGTGAGTCTTCATACATCAATGTGCATCTATACGTCAGCACAAATATCTATCATTCCTGCATGTCTCTATATGTGCCTGTGATGCGTATGTCTGTCCATGTCCAAGTGTGCCTGTAAAAGCATGGTTGTTGTGCCTATGCGTCTCGTTACACATCAATGTGCTTCTACACATCAGTGTGTACATATGCCATTGTATGTTGGTACTGCATGTGTCTTCAGTTGTTCCTGCATATCCTGTGCATCTATGTACAACGTTTGCATCTGTGTATCTGTCAGTACTCTATAACTATGTATTTTTGACAAATGTTGAATTGTATTTGTCCTTGTGTACCACTGCCACCAAATAAATTGTATCCGTCTTCATGCGCTTGTACATCCATGTCCGTGCGAGTCCCTGTGCGCTGCGGTGAGCATCTGTAAATCAGCGGATAAATGCGTGTGCTCCTGTATATCTGTATGTTTGCACACGTCTCCATGCATCAGTGTGCTTCTATAAATGTCGGCAAAATGTACATACGTCTGTACGTCTATCAGTACATTACACGTGTCCCTGAGTGTTGGACACAAGTCCTCCTGTGCACGCCTCTCTCCCTGCCTGCCTTCTCTCGTGTGGCGTCACGCCACCCTGACCCCCTCAGCCACAGATGGGCCCCTCCGTGACCCCGCGGTCCCCTAGGCCCCTGCGTCTCAGGGCCATTTCACCGACACATCGCCGTGGTGAAAATGGACGCGCATTACATTAGGATGAATCAACCCACGACACATTGTACTTTAACAGGCCGCGAAACATCACGGCTACAACCACATGGCACACTACATCATCGCACATCACCTACACTACATCACCTATTCATCACACGGCACACTACAGCACGTACACTATATCACGAATACACCACATGGTCCACTACAATATACTACACCACATCCACTATATTATATACACGACATCACCAATACACCACAGCGTACACTACATCACACACGAGATAAATCACACATGACCATTATACATCATATCACACCACTTCACAAATCAGATCACATCACACACGACGTCGTCACATAGTATATACCACATCACATCATACCCCATCACAGCACATGTTAGATGAAAACTAAATTGCATCAAACAACATGACATCACAATACCAAATTACATTACACGACACCTCGCATCACTCCACATACCACATGGCACAAAATCCCATATTACAGACCAATACGCCACATCATACACCACACAACATACCAATTGCATATCGCACCACATCTCATACATAATATCACACTATACACATTGAAACAAAGGACATCACACCACTTCAGATAACCGAACATCATAGATCATCACAAATGATAACACACATGATACATCACATCACCCCACACAGTAACATACCTACAACATTACACCCGCACCACATCATACACGACTCCACAACACATCAAATACACCAAACACATCACTGCATACCAAAGACTACATCACAGCACAGAAAACCATACACCACACACAATTCATCCCAGGCACACCCCTACACATCACATACCACACACACCAGACTGCACATCACACAACGCTCCACATAGCAACATCTCATCACCAACCATACCCCACGAGGCATACAACCACACCACATCATAGCACACCGCAGACTACATCACAGTAAAAATACATCACACAACACGTCATCACCACATCAGACCTCATCACAGACCACCACACCACGTACTTTGCACACACACAGACTATATCACAGCACAGAATACAATATACCACGCTACATATCACAAACATCATCCCAACCTCACCCTACATATCACACACCACACACGGCATCACACCATCACCACATTGCATACCACATACAACCACAGCATACCGCAGACATTACAGCAAAGAGTACTGCACATCACACAACATATCACCACCTCAGACCTCATCACAGACTACCACACGACATCATTACACATACACAGCATCACAACCCACACAACCTTTTGACGCTCGCGTCAGGCTTTTTTGTTGTTACTGTACACCGTCAGACCATTGTAACAACAACCACCACCACCACCACCACGACGTGATAATCAATAAGGATAACATTGAACAAGAATCAGCCTCGTGGGTAACAAACAAACGAAACATTTTTTTTAACACATCGCAATTCGTGAACGTGCCAGTTTAGGCACGAGTCTTGTGCCAGGCCTCGTCCGCGATGGCAAAAAGAAACAACTACTAACACATAGCGAGCCCCCGTCGGTAGCGACAATGGCCATTTCCCTAGCAAACAGAGCGGCCCCGTCACACGCGAGGGCTGACACCGGGAGGTGGGGGGGGTAACCAATGCTTACCAGACATAAACCATTACAATTGTGAGGTAAAACTTGCGCATAGCAAGGCAACATATCGCCCGTACAAGACGTCTGAAAGAAACGTATCGCTACCTCGCACCATCATCACCACCATCACCATCATCATCCTTCACGCACATCACCACACGAACGCCGTTGACGTCCTTGGCCCATCTACATAAATTATATCGCAATTATTTTTTAAAAACTATTGTCATCGTTATCTAGACCAATTATTGGCGTTGTCAATGATCGTTGTTAATAACGATAACGAACGCTGCACGGCCAATGCCACAGAAGAGAGAGAGGAGGCGGCGGGGAAGGAGGAGTCGGAATGGAAGGAGAATGGACACCAAAGAACCACAACAAAGCGCCGGCCCTACCGCTCTCAACGCCGCAGCCAACGCCACCAGCACGATAGCAACGACCGGTGATGATGGCGAAGACGATAGTGGAAGCGGTGAGGGTGTCAGGGCTCGCCTCAGCCTTACCGGCTCCAGCCACCTCGTCTCTCTCCGCCGGAGGTCGAAGCCGCGACACCCGCCGGCTTCGCCTGCCCAGCCTGCCCGAGCTCATGGCTCCGGGGCCCCGAGAGCCTCGCCTGGGCCCCTCGCTGCTCTTCCCCTCCTCCTCCTCCGCCTCCTCCCCGTCTGTCAGTTCTCCTCCCTCGGCTGTCGTCCTGTCGTTGTCGTCGTTTTCGCTCGTTACGACAGCGCCATGCTCGAGCTACAACCACTCCCGCCCGTCCCTTCCTCTGTCCCCTCCGCCTTGTCCACCGCGACCACCAATAGCGGCGGCGGCGGTAGCGGCAGCAGCAGCAGCAGGCGAGCAGCGCTTCAGCGGCAGCCCGACGTCGTCGTCCTCCTCCTCTTCGTTGTCGATGTCGTCGCTCGCCGCGGCGACCGGGGCTCCGCCTCCTGCACGGCCGTGCCCCTCCCCTCCATCCCCCTCCGTCCCTCACCTCCTCCCCTCCGCTCCCCTCCTCCTCACCTCCTCCCCTCCACTCCCCTCTCTCCCGCTCCCCTCCTCCTCCCCTCCTCCATCTCCACTCCCCTCTCTCCCGCTCCCCTCCTCCTCACCTCCTCCCCTCCTCCTCCCCTCCTCCTCACCTCCTCCCCTCCTCCTCACCTCCTCCCCTCCTCCTCACCTCCTCCCCTCCTCCTCACCTCCTCCCCTCCTCCCGGCCCCCTCCTCAACTCCCCCCCCCCCGACTCCTCCTCCAACACGCGAACTCGTTCAACACGGCGCAACGCCGCTCTCCAAAATCGCACAACCGATAATCGAACGCCGCCGTTGCGCCGCCTCCCATTGGATGAGAGCGAGGCTCGCGGGACGCCGGCGACCAATCGGGCGCTCAGACACGGGCGCGAGTGCCGATCCACACTGTGGAATCTAAACGTGGGGGGTCGGGGTTGATGTGGGCGGGGGGAGGGGGTAAAGACCCCCCACCCCACTGACCCACCCAACCCCCCGAGCCCAACGACCCCCCCCCCCCTGTGGCGCTATGACGTCACTGCGCAGCGGGCTTTCGGTCAAGCGAGAGCGCGTCGACGTCATCACGCACGGCGAGCGCGGCGCGCGTCGTGACATCATCACGCACGTTAGCGAGCCTTCGTCGGTGTGGTGTAGCGCGGCGCGGTGACGTAATCACGCACGCCAGGGCCCTCCATTTAAGCGGAGCGCGCGGTTGAGGAGGCGTCATTCCGCACGAGGCTTCGTAAAAGCGGAACGCGGTGACGTCATCACGCACAGCGAGCCTCTTGTAATGGCATAAACACAATGTATTAAGCAGGCGATGCGACTCTCTTTGTGCATGTCTCTGCACAAAAAAAGTATCTTTTACACAACCCACCGCCCCCCACGACCTTCGGAGATTGGATAATTTCCGCATAGTTGTTTTTCTATTCAGCTCGTTTACTACTGGACATCTGTGAAAAAGAGCTTTATAGCTCATCGGATTCCTCCAGTATAAACATTCTGATATCCAGCAAAGCCTCAGTCTGTTTTTTTGCAGTAGGGTGCGATATTTGTAGATGCGGTACAATAACTACGGTATAATGTTTCAGTCATTGGGATGTTTGGTGCAATACCAGTTGCACTACATTTGTTTTTTAAAGTAATGGGAGAAAACCCCATACATAATTGGGAGAGAACATTCAGACTCCCATAACCTGTCAACCCATACGGTTTACCCCGTATTCTTGTACAGGGACATTGAGTTTTCAGATCCATACGGTGTACAGCCGTTTCAATAGGGCACATTTTTTGGGGGGGGGGGGTCTATTCGTTTGTGTTTCTCCCTTGTGATGGGACTTTGTAGGATGAACGTTGAGATTTATAACGGCACCGGGGGGTGACCAGATAAGGTCCGAATTGGTCTGTGATAAGCGGTTGACAGTTACGGACTCCGCACAGAAAGGCGCCACGAGTTTGGGAATCGAACCCAGGCCCCTTTTGTGCCGTGCGGCGCGAGAGTTGCCACTGCCGCCGGTGATTCAGCACCAGTCGACTCTGGGACCCGTTTCGGCACGCAGCGGTGGGCTCTCTCAGTCAGTCGTCAGCCGGCCTCGCTTGAATCAATGGGGAACTGCCTGCCAGATGCTTATCGGCACAAAATACTCGTGAGCGCCGTTGTGGTTGAATTTCAAGAACTCTCGCGGAGATGTGCTATGAAGACGGGCCATTGTCCGAAACGTCGATTATATTACAACTTTTTATTTTAATGCCACGGTGTTATCGACGATTGCATACCTGTCAATCCCTTATCAGTGCTGACCTTATTACAGACCACTTCAGACCCTATTGGTCACCCGTGCCCTTACAAATTTCAACGTTCATCCGATAAAGTTCCATCGCAAGGGAGAAAGACAAACAAATAGACCAAAAACATTCGCCCGTATTGAAACGGCTGTACGCCGTATGGACCTTAAAACTAATTTGGCTGGACAGGAATACGTGGTAAACCGTATGGGTTGACGGGGATGCGATTGTGTCGCGTTTTATTGTACGTGAACATTTTTTTGTTTGCTCAAAACATAAGTCAACATTAAATACTGTAATGCATTCCCTGTTGAGACAGTCCGCTCAGGAAGATTATGTTTTTAAACTGGTTCAATGATGTGCTTGTGCACCGCCGTCAACGTAGCAGCAACATCACTAAATAAGGTCACACGCAACATTACTATTGTTGTGTCTTGCATATAGCATCGGGCAGTTCAACAGCAATGATTCAAGCAAGCCTGACTTTTGCCGATGATACTCTCTCTATGTCAAAACCAGTCCAGGTCGAGTTTGCTCGTCTTGCATCAATGCTGCTAAAATGATTCACTCCCAGAAGGAGAAGACACATAGGTCTAATATTATATTGTCGCGCATGGCAGCAATATGTTCGAGAGATAATTGCCACTGTCGACAAGAGGGAGCTTCCGTTCGTTGAAGAAGACGCAGACCACATTGGTTGACCTATGGTCCATAGTTTGTGCTGCCTGGCCACAATCGCAGCCAGCACCTGGGTGGTCTGCTCATCTGCTGTACGGTAGGTCCTCGCTTAACGTGTGTTCGCACAACGCCTTTGCTCATCTGCTGTACAGTAGGTCCTCGCTTAACGTGTGTTCGCACAACGCCTTTGCTCATCTGCTGTACGGTAGGTCCTCGCTTAACGTGTGTTCGCACAACGCCTTTGCGCTATAACGCGATTCTTCTATCAGACAACACTTTCCACACAACGCGGAACACGCATGTTATTACGCGGTGCGTGCACCGTCATAACGCGGTTTCTGAGCGGTCTCTGAGCAGCCAAACTACTTTCTTGAGTTGCACGACTGGGCGATACGATACGGAATCAGAATGTGTATTATACTGGAGGAATCCGATGAGTTATAAAGCTCTTTTTCACAGATGTCCAGTTGGGGCGGGTAAGAACGTTACAACAACAAACAGTACAAAAACCTGATAGGAGTGCAAAGTACTAAAAGGGCAGTTGAACGCGTAGGCTTTCGCAATCAATATTATTAATAATAAAGGTTTTTGGGTTAGATCGCGTATGTGTCGTAACCCTCCACCATCCGACACAGTCAATTAGTATGGGATTTGTCACGTAAACAAAACGCCAATTAGTTTACTTGAGCTCTCCGGTGTAAATGTTGTGGATGTATTCTCCAACACACCGGTGTGTTTGTAAATTCGACTTTTTTCGCATGAACTGCACATCATGCGGCTCTCAGGTGTACACACGTAATGTGCGCACAACACGGGCGAAAAGTAAACACAGGTCACGTAGGTAAAAAAATAAAACAACAAAAATCACGACGTTTCGGCCACAACACAAGCGGCCTTCATCAGGTGAAGGGACCAGGTGAAGGGACCAGACTGTCCTCCAGACAGTCTCGTCCCTTCACCTGATGAAGGCCGCTTGTGTTGTGGCCGAAACGTCGTGATTTTTGTTGTTTTATTTTTTACCTACGTGACTTTACCGAATAGAACCAAAGAGTATGGATCCTTGCAGTCACGGAAGCTTCAAATCTAGAAGTAAACACAGGCACAAGCTCGGGGTGCGTTGCGCATTGTCGTCGTATCTCGCCAGACGTTATCGTTCCATCGTTTGCGAGGGGGGGGGAAACATTTTTCTCGCTTAAAGGGCCGTTCATAAATGACGTCACGCACTTAGGGGGGGGGGGAGGGGGTCAGACATTTGTGACGATGTGTGAGTAGGGGGGGGAGGGTGTTTGAGAAATGTGACGTCACATCAAAACGCGCAACTTTAAATAAATATAGACAACACGTTCTACTTAATTTGATAGACTTTTTAATAAATGTGTTGTCCTACAACATCAGAGTGCGGCCCCACATTAAATACGCACTACAGTGACAAATAGTTGAAAGCGATTTGTTAAAAAAAATTGGGGGGGGGGGCAGAGCTTTGTGACGTCATATTTGAGGGGTGGTCTGACTTTTTGTGACGTCGTGTGACGAAGGTAGGGGGGGGGTCAAAAATCATCCAAAATCGCGTGACGTCATTTAGGGACGGCCCCTAAAGGCGGCTCGCGCGGTCACTTTCCAGGAACCCATCGGCCGCCGTTAAACGAGGACTCGCCGGTTTACGAGCGAGAATCGATTCGCTAAAAATTGGAATCGCGCGCCGACTCATTCCGACGAATCGTGGAATCGATACCGTCCAAGGCTCCGCGTTTGGCGGCCGTGTTGGCGCTCCTCTGAGGGGTCCTTTTCAATCGGGGTTATTTTTTAAAATTTATTTTTATTATTTACACCAAACTAACTCGGTGAGCTTCGTCAACAACGTCGAACGTACGGCACCTCTCTCCATTTCTCTTCACGATAGCCGTTTGTTAAAGTAGGGCGGGCGGGCGTGGGGGGGGAGGCTGAGGAATAAGCAAGGCATGGCTGCGCTGGATAAGCCTCAGATCATAATTCACGTGCAGAAGAGTCTGAATTTCACCCTCTTCGACTGCAGGTCAGGCGGGTGTGGTGTGTGTGTGTGGTAGAACGGTGTGTGCAGTCTCGCTCCACAGCTTGGATGAGTTCGCTCCTCCACCCCACCACCTTTAAGCCGACGTCCGCGACGCCAGCGGGTCGTTGCGGAGTTACAGTAAATTGTTAACCGTAAACTTCGCAACCTACCAATCAGCACGGCTGGCTACGTACGGCGCGAAAGAAATTTCGACACGCATACCGTACGTATTTCGTTCGTGTTTTAGTTGGTTGTTGACAGTCGCCCACCACCACCGCAGCCGCCGCACCTCCGATGAGCACGGTTGGCTACGTACGGCGCGAAAGAAGTTCGTAACACACACACGGTAACCTCATATTCTTAGCTCTTTCGGTAAAGTCACGTTGAAGGGAAACAATAAAATAATAAAATATATAACAATAAAAATTCTCACGACGTTTCGACCATAACACAAACGGTCGTCATCAGGTGTGTCGGTTTTGCATTAAGTTATTTATTTTTAAACGCTTTATTTATTTATTTAAAACCGTCAGCGCCACGCGCAGCGATTTGGCAGTTTATTTGGAAGGACGAGTCCATCTATGTTCTGAAAAGAGGAGGGGGGAGACGAAAAATTAATGTATGCTGTCTGAAAGCCACCGTAAGCTTGAACAATAAAATAAGACCTGAAATGGTTAATCAAATCTTTCCAATTATTGCTAAGCCAGAATCCATCTTCTCGGTTGAAATTGTCTCTATGCTTGTATATGTGGTACCGTAACGTGCATCAAACCCACGGGGGGGGGCAGTCAGTCATTGCCGGGCCTTGGTGAAGGCGCTGTGGGCAAAGGGAGCCACGGCCTCACCCACGTCCCCCGTTCAGATACCAACTTGGCCGCTGACGTTCGAGGCCGTGGGCGGGAGTCGAACCGGCACGCTCAGGGGGTTCATGACGCAAAGCTTTAAAACCGCGATATATGACAAGATTGTGAATGTTGTGGATTTGCTCTCCCAACACACCGGCGTTGTTTGTGCTGGGTAACGAATTGGGCACGTGCTGTTTACGTGAAGAACATTATTCATTGGCTGTGTCGGGTGGTGGTGGGTTCAACGACACATTGATTTGTAGGCGATCTAACCGCCCCCCCCCCCCAAAAAAAAAACCTGTATTATGCATAACAATTTCTATGCGTCTTCTTGGTTCTTTCGGTAAAGTCACGTAGAAGGGAAATAATACAAATAAAACAATAAAATAAAATATTTGTAAGTTATTTTTGTATAGTTTAATTTTAATTATTTTATTATTTCCCTTCTACGTGACTTTACCGAAAGAACCAAGAAGATGAGTCCCTGCAGTCACGAAAGCTTTAAATTGAAATTTTATTTGTATGCGTTTGTCAATCCACTGATGTTTCAGAGCCTCATCTTTCCACGCCGTGCGAATCGTTGGAAGGCGCGGTGGGGATGGGGGGGGGGGAGTGCATTTCACCATACTTCACCACGCACACCAGGACGGATTGGTGAACGTGGGGGCATAATACACGTGGGAGCTTAGAAAGCACCGTACCCTACACAACAACAATTGATACTGCTGCACTGCTGTCTGACCCCCCGCAACGTAGCGTAACTGCGCGGCAGCCTATAGCAACTGTTTATGCACGATGGTGGTCGTCCATCCGAACATTGTCCAGGCCAGAACCTGCTTCGGGGTTGAACCTGTACATATGTTGACTCGTCAGTAATACCGAGTTGTAAGTGAGATCCGGAGCATATATTCTCGTCCAAAGAGATGACGTGTTTTGTTGATTTCGGTGATGCTGGTGGAAGTGGTGATGTCCGTGCTGGTGATTTTGGTATCGGTAATCGTGGTGATGCTAGTGATGATTCTGGTGGTGGTGGTGCACCTAGCCTGGCACAAGCACCGTGGTGAAGTAACCCCCACTTAGCGGCGAATGGCGGCTGTTGATGCTTGTGATGGTAGTGGTCATGTTGGTATTGGTGATGGTGGTGACGCTGGTGGAGATGGTGATACTGGTGGTGGCGATTCAGGTGATGCTGGTGACGCTGCTGATGATGCTGGGGTTGATGCTGGAGGTGACGCTTGTGGTGATGCTGATGCTGGTGGTTATGCTGGTGACGCTGGTGTTGACGCTGGTGTTGACGCTGGTGGTGACGCTGGTGGTGACGCTGGTGGTGACGCTTGTGGTGATGCTGGTGGTGACGCTGGTGACGCTTGTGGTGACGCTTGTGGTGATGCTGATGCTGGTGGTTATGCTGATGGTGATCCTGGTGGTTATCCTGGTGGTGCGAGCAGATGGGTGCCGTGCAGTGCGCGCCTCGTGTGCCTGGGCAGCACGGCGAGGGGCACGGGCGCCCTGCAGGTGTACGAGGTGACGCAGGGGCAACTCAACCTCGTCACGGAGGTGCCTGCCCGCACCCGCACTCTGACCCAAACATGGACAGAGGACATGGGCTCCAACCTTAACCCTAACCTGTGACATAAGACCCCTACTTCAACCCTAATCCTATTCTGAAGACAAAATGCGGACTCCAAACCCTCATCCAGTAACAGAACACAGACTCTAACCCTACCCCTAACCTGAACACAAGACCTTAGTGTTAACCCTAACCTTAAAGTGGACACTTTAATCTTGACCCAAAACTGAATACAAGACCACAACTCTTAACCTGACCCTAACTCACACAAAAGACCCAGACTCTAACCATAACTTGTGATCTGAGGCCACAAAGCTGATCACAATCCTAACGCAGACACAAGACTCCAACTTTATACCAAACACTGCCCATACACAGCACCCTCACTCTAACTCTGACCCTTGCCTGGAATCGACATCCAACATTTTAACCCAACCCCAAAATGAACACGTGCCTGACAAAAGACCAAGACTCCAAGACACGAGGGGGTGGTACGGCAAGTACCACGCCTGACCACTCTTGTCTCCCCACTGCTGATGGTTTACACGCTGCACCACGTACTCATTTTAAGGCCGAGTCCACCTAGAGGAAGAGCACAGAACCAGTTCAGATAATCGCCACTATTATTGCCCCCGAGTGGGAAGCGAACGCTGCTTGCCGGGTTCATAGCACAGTGCACTGACCACTGCGGCCGCTGCTGCATAGACATACACGCAGAACGTGCACCAAAAAACTATTTTCTCCACTTAAATTCACGCGTGCACAGAGCCGTTGTTGGCAACGGTTGGTGTCTCCAGGCAAACTCGGCAGGGGGGTGTAGGTAATGGGGGCGGCCCCTCCCGCGTAATCGGCCGTGTTCATCTCCCGGGGTGACCGGAGGAAGTTGTCGCCGTTTGCCGAACTTTACCCCCGCGCACGGGAGGCGAGCGTTAGGGCAGTGGCCGTGCCTCGTTTCAACTCCCGGTGTCATGGATGAGGGACGAACGCCGGCTCTGTTATCCGCGGCTCGACTAACCGCGATGCCTATTATCCGTGGAACCAATCGACGTGTAAAAACATCGTGCGATCCTCGTATGGATTTGTTTTTCGCAGTTTCGCTCAACGCATTGACATATTTGTCAGAGGAACACAACTGGAAAACAGCGGAATGTGTGTACCGAAGAAATAGCTCTCCGATGTATTTTCGGGTTGTACCGCATGCTGTAGGTATGACGTCCTGACGAGGACGTCATGCCGAACAACATGCAGTGCAACCATAAAAAAAAAAACATCGGTGGGCCATACAGCTCGCCGATGGGTTTTCCCAGGGGCATTTGTTGCGGAGGTTAGAGGTTTGAATCCGGCAGGCCGCCTTGGTTATTCTTGCGGGAATAATAACTGTAAGATGCACGCCGTCGTTTTCGTTGAGTATCCCCTGACATCGCTCGAAACGAGTCGGCCCACTGTGTGCCGGCGTCGTGGTCCAAAATTTCCAAATTCCAAAAACCCACCCGCAGATTTCAGAATTATAACACGGCAACGACGTCCCCCTACCTTGAAACTACTGCACACTGCTGTGCCTGTGAAAACAAACATGGCGCATTCTTTTTTCGATAGCCTCGTGCTACGAGACTGGCGCGAATGCCTCGTGTACTAAACCATCGTTAATTATCACGCAGTTACTGAAACAAATGACGAGATCTAGACTGATGCCGCCGAAGGAGGGAACGTGCCTGAGAGAGCACATCGACTGTCGAGATGGAGCGATAAAATCAACCTCGCCTGCACAGTCGCTGACGTGGCCATTATGAGACCTGCCCGCCCCGCGCAAAAACATTTCAAACCGCTTAGTCTCCGGTCAATTTAAAGGGACGTGGCCTTTCGGGGTCGTGCCGGGGGGGATGTTCGGTTCCCAGAGAAGCTCCCCGTTGCGTTTCCGCAGACGGAGAAGGCGAAGCCGTTGAAGTGCGCGACGTTCGGGGCCGCGAGCCTTCAGCAGAGGCACCTGGCCACGGGCGATTTCGACGGCAACATGAGCATATGGTGAGAAACTTGGGTGCGCGGGAGGTTGACGTGCCGTTGGCGCGCACGCGCCCCGCTCTCGGGTTCCCCGTTGGGCCATCGAGACGGGGGAGACGTTTTCGTACAGAGCTCTTGCAAGAAAGCACCCCGCGTTGGAAAACGACGTCTGGAAGATAACACATTGCGCGATACGTCATTCGGCAGTGTCATTTTGGCAACCCAGGTCGCTCTTGCAAATGACACTAATCCTGGTCTCCTTGAGTTTTAAACAAAATACATTTGATATTTTGTTAAATTAAGTGACATAACAAATTTAAATGTCATGAATGTCTGCGCATTCGTTGGTGACTGGGCCGAGACCATCGACTTGCTGCACGAGAGAATCCGGTTTGATTACATACGGCAGAAACTTTGATGTGATCCCTGGATCTCTACGGTGCTGGATCAGTGCTTTGACGTCTGAACCATCCGGCCACCCAGCCACCTCATTTTTTACCATTCTGCATTATTGAAACTATCTGGTTACCAGGCACTTCCGATTAGCACGGTTGGCTACATATGGTGCGAAATAAGTTTAACATACCTACAAACCCATTTTGAGATCCTGGTATAAACACTTTCGGGTAAAACCTGGATTAGATCCTCGGAGATCTTAGTGGTGCCAGCTTTTAAGTGTTTCTGACACAACCATCATTAACCTCCAGAGCCACACACACCCGCCTTTTTCCATCTCCCAGGAACCTGGAGGCGACGTCGCTGCCTGTGTACACGGTGAAGGGACACACGGAGATCATTAACTGCATCGACGGGGTGGGAGGGCTCGGCGTTGGCGAAGGGGCGCCTGAAATCGTCACCGGCAGCAGGGATGGCAAGTTCTTGCGCCACCCCCCCCCCCCCCGCCGCCGGTCGCCAGCAACTCGCTGCGTAGATGAGGGCCTCCCCCGCCCCGTCCCGCGCGGGTCTTGGGTGCTGTTTGAGGTGCCGTATGCAAAGATTGTGGGAGATGGCGACGGCTTGGGGAGGCGTTCCTCCAGCAGTGGATAGATCATGGCTGGGGATTATGATGATGACGGTGATGATGACCTTCCGAAAGCAACGTGAAATTAACCAATATTTCCCTGATGTTGGTTATTTCCTATGGCCAACGACGGGCAACTATCGGAGATTCAGTTCCAAAGTGATTTGGACATTCAACTGCTTTGCAAGTTGGTGAATTGCTCATTCACCCACCCACTTGCCCACACACTCACTCACTCACCCACCGCTCGCCTTCAAATTTTTTTTGGGGGGTGGGGGGGGGCAGTGCGAAGCTGTACGCTCCACGGTTTGGTGTTTGTTGCCGCAGTCACACGCGTGAGAGAGTCTGCGATTCTCCACTTGTGCATCGGGTATCCGCATCTTCCACGGTTTGCGTGGCTCCCGTTAAAAGCGCTGCCTCCTTATTGTTTCCATGGAAACCGGATAGCCCGGTGGTGGCCTTGCTCGTGAGCTGCACGTTGTTGTTGTGGAAGCCGGGCAGTGTGCTGGTGAGGTGGTGGTGGCGGTAGGGTCGCCGATCAGGCGTTTTGTTGGGCACCGTTGCTTGAAAGCCCACCCGCCGGCTGGTCCACGCCGCTTCGCACTCGGCTACATGGGTGGCGGTCGTTTTGTCTCGCGACGCAGGCACGGTGAAGGTGTGGGACCCGCGACAGAAGGACGTCCCTGTCGCAAACATGGAGCCCGTGGAGGGAGAGAACAAGAGAGATTGCTGGACGGTGGCGTTCGGTACGTGCCGCTCACGCTCGCCACGTCGCATCACCGCCTGCCGGTAAAACCGACCGCGCTGACATTCGACAGCAAACCCATCGGAGGTCCCCCCCCCCCCCGCGATGGCTCCTAGGGCAGCAGTTAACGTAAACTGATTGAAAAACTTTTATCGTTGGGCACATTGGTAATGCCACTTTTTGGCATTCCAACTTTTGCTCGAAGATAATGGGGTTAAAAGAAATTGGGTGGCTGGGTGGCTCAGAGGTGAGAGCGCAGAGTTGGCACCTGCGATTAGCACACATACACAAAGGTGCTGCTTGACGGTGGATGGTGCTTGGATGCTCGGTACGTGCAATGCCGACGAGTGCTTCAACACACGTGTGGGGGGCGGGGGGCGGGGGGCGGGGGCAGCGATGAAACAAAAAGCAATCGACGCGCAGGCAAACTAACGCGGCACTTGCAGGGCACGCGCACACCCAGGCGGAGCGCTGTGTGTGCGCCGGCTACGACAACGGAGACATCAAGCTCTTCGACCTGAGGACCATGTCCACTCGCTGGGAGACCAACATCAAGAACGGGGTGAGTGCCGTTCTTGTTGTAGCTTGCTGACCCGCCCCCTCCTACCGGACATCTGTGAAAAAGAGCTTCATGGCTCGTCGGATTCGTCCACGATAAAATATTCTGAATCTGATGAGCTCTTCGCCCGCTCCTCCCACGGAGGTTTCCCTGCCACGTGGCGGGAGGAGGTGGGTAGGGGGGATGCTTTTATAACTAAACAATAAAAACTTTTTATTTTATCAGGTAAGGCCCACCGATCTATGTACCTCTTTTTCAGAAGCGACCTGGCCACAAATGATAGCTCAGCGAAGTGGCTTATTGCGTGGCGTGGAAATTTATAGGCGCCAAATACTCTAAACGCATGTTTATAAATATGGAGGGAAAAACTCCAAATATACAGGCGTCAGGGTCGGGATCGAATCCACGGTCTCCTGTATACCGGGCGAGGCAGTTAACATCTTGCCACTGTGACGAGGTCGCACTCATGGTTGGCCAGGGTTTGCCGCCCTTCGTCGGGACAATGTTAGCGATGTCGTCCTGAAGCTTTCCGCGGTTTAGAAATAGCGGCGGCAACTCGAGAGCAAAGCCACCCGAAATGTGATGCCCCCACCTCGTCAGATCTTGGAAGCTAAGCGTGGGGGGCGAGCCTGAAGAGCGCTGGGATGGGCGACCGCCGTGCACCGTCGGGTTGTTGTGAGCTACTGCTGGGGGGGGGGGCGCTATGTGTTGGGCAGCAGATCCACTGCTGGATGAGGGCCTCCCCACACTGCCTCTGGTGCCCATCACACAGCGCCAGGTTATCTGTGTTCTGCTCAGAGCGGAGTTTGACTAGCGTGCGTGTTGGATTGCCGAGCGTGCGTGTGGTGTGTATCTGCGTTTGTTAGGTGTGCAGTGTGGAGTTTGACCGCAGGGACATCTCCATGAACAAGTTGGTGGCGACTACGCTGGAGGGAAAGTTCCACGTGTTTGATATGAGGACCCAGCACCCCAAGCGAGGCTTTGCGTCACTCACAGAGAAGGTGGGATATGCAACCCGGTTTCTGAGACGCAAATGGTTTTGTGCTTTATTTTTGTCCCCACCATTGGGCTCAAATTCGATTGCGACCAGTTCAAGTTAACGAGCCTGGATAACGCTTGAATGGGCGACCATCATGCATAACAGGTTGCTATAGGATGCAGGAATACTTGGTGGGCAGCAGTGGTGCCGTGCAGCAAAATCATTCGTTGTGCTGACCGTGATCTGTTCTTTAACCAGCACTGATCGGTGGGGCGAAGTGTAGTCGTTCGTATAACCCCCACAGCGTTGGGACTGCCTCATCCAGCAGTGGCTATAAAAAATGGCTGTGCACAAGCCTACCCTAAGGTGCAAGAGTGTCTGTGGAATGTAACACAACACAACCGTGCTTCACTTGGATAGGCCTCCCACTCACTACACGGGGCAGACCTTTTTTAAATGGCCTGCCAAGAGAGTGTTCGTGGCATGACATTCAAACTGTACGATCTGCACCAAAGTTAAAGTGAACACGTTTTCAAAAAGCCAGCTGAAGACCAACTTTTAATGGCAATTTTTTGTATGTAGCCATTGGTGACTTGCCTACCAATACTATCAGCTGTCTGCACTTGAGAACCAGTGGCTTTTAAGGCTTTTCACGACTGAATTTAACGTTGACGCTTTTCCCTTCTCTCGGTGTGGTCTGCTCTGAAATCGAGGAATTTGGCATCAATCCACTACATGGCCAAAACCAAATAACATATACGGATCATTGGGTTGGCCGCGCTTTAAAGGGTTATTCATCCTATTTAACGTTCTGCCATTTCCTGGCCACTTCATAGTTTAGCGGGTTTGTGAGTTTCACAGCCTGCGCCATATCTGTTAACCGGAGGTGGCGTGCGTGGCTGCGGAGTGACCAGATCGAACGTTTATTGTAGCCGTGCCCCCTCTGACCCTCAGGCCCACAAGTCGACCGTGTGGCTCGTGCGGCACCTACCGCAGAACAGGGACATCTTCATGACGACAGGCGGCTCGGGCAACCTCAACCTGTGGAAGTAGTAAGTCGGTCCATCCGACGAGTCCACATCACGCTCACCGGCCTGCTCGTGTGGAGCAGGCCGGCAGTTCATTTGTCAGTTTATCTGTCCATCGGTTTGACTGTTTATCCGTCCCATCCGTCGCTTTGTTCATCCGTTCGCATGCCTGCCTCTGTCCACGTCCGTTCACAGCGAGTACCCGGCCCAGCGGAGCCGCAAGGATGATGACGGGCACGAGGCCGGCGTGACGGGCAGCGTGTCGCTGCTGCAGAACATGACGGTGGCATCGCAGCCCGTGGCCGGCTTGGACTGGAGCCCTGACAAGCAGGGCTTGTGCGCGTGCACGGCCTTCGACCAGACACTGCGTGTGCTTATCGTCACCAAGCTCGGCCGCATGTGATGCTCCCCCCACAACCGTGTGTGTACACGCACTCACGCGTACACGCACGTAGAATGTGTGCGTACGTGCCCATTGCCACCAAGTTTTTTACTGCATGGGATGTTATGGAGAGTGCTGGCACAGTTGTTAGCGCGCCGTGTTGCGAACCCAGCGACCAACGTTCAATTTCTGCTCTTGGCCAACATCGGTGACGATCGTCGTGCTGGGCCTTCTACCTAGGTCAACTCAACCTAAAATGAGTACCTGGTGCGGTGTGTAAACATCGCCACTGGCGGCCTGTCAGGCGTGGTGCTGGCCATCCACCCCCTCGTGTGCCGTGCCGGCCTTGATAGGTGCTCGTTAACAGCACTTGCCCCAACAGTTTGTTCGAAGGCCATATGGGGGATCTGTACACGCGTGTGCAACTTATCTTCGCTAAGTTGCACGCGATAGCCCTGTGTGCATGTACCCGCGTGTACGACGATTAACGAGGTCGCAGTGTGGGAGGTGGTGGAGGAAACGGTGGAATTTTATCTCGATGCAAATTCGACAATCAAGTCGGGCGACTGCTTTCTTTACCGCTCCTTGTTTTCAGGCAGTGGCACACACACCAGGCAGGTACACTTGGGGCGATCGTTGTTGGCAGTTTTCACCGGCAGTTTGTTTTCTTTTGTTTCATAGATGGATCACTATGACTGTCGCTACAATACCCATTTGCTCTGAGTAAATGCGGATCAGGCCACAATTATTGCCCGCAACAATTTCCATAAAATTTGCCCGAGTGCGTCGTGGAATTTGGTGCGGCCAGCGTATTGTCAACTCCAGGATTTCTTGATCAGCTGGAGAGAACTTATTTATAGTCTTGAGACTAAGCTACTGTTGGGCCACTGGTTATATTTATAGTTTTTGAGTGGTCATTTTCAGTGTTTGAATAGCTTTGTCGTTATCATTTCGAGTGTCATAGTTTTTTTGTCTTGTTTGAAAGGAGATCAACACTCAGAAAGAAAAGCGTCTTGCCAAGCTGGAGCTGAGATCGATTGTAAGAGGGGTAAATGGATCACTCACAGCGCAGTTCGATGAATCGTCACCATTCAGGATTGCGGTTTCGTTTTAATATTTTTTTTTAACATTGCGGCGGATGCAGTGGTCACTAGTGGCTGCCGAGTTCATACGAACCCAAGACATCCGAATTGACACGACTCGACCGCGCATCAATTACAACGCGTGAGATTTCACCTGAGCCTCGGAAGCAATATCGATTACGAATCCAGTGCGCTGTTTGAGCTCTAGCAGTTTGACTCATTGCGATGTCTTGTATCGCCAACGGTTATGGATATGGTTTAACATTGCTGTACTTCCGATGAGCACGGTTTGGTTACGTACGGTGCGAAAGAAGTTCAACATACGTGCTTGGCCAACGCTTTTTAGCAATGCTCACCCACCCACCCGTTCAACTGCTCAGTGACATACACGCATACAACACGTGGCTTTGTTTTCGATTGGTCTGTTACGTTACGTAACGTAACTTGTGACGATCCGGTGGTGCGCGGTGATGTAAATAAACTTTTGTGGCTTCATCGGTGGGCTGTGGTTTCGATAATTTTAAACGCGAGACTTGAAAGCGTAAAATCTGCGTACATTTATTGATGGGGCCTTTAGGCTGTACAATGCAAAATAACCTGGTCATGCAAGGTGCTGCGATTTGTTTTCTTGAAATTGAAAGATGCAACTTGGGGAAAAAAAGCTCTTATCAGGAACAGGTAGTAGACGTATAGCTTGTACAGATTCACACCTCCCAGAAATTCATTGCCGAGATTCGGGGTCAGGGTTCAATTCAAAAATATATTACCTTGTTTTTTGTCCATTCTGGCTGGTTTGTACCGCTATGCCCACTCTCGTTAACCGATACACACCATTAGAAAATAATTTGCATAAACGTTTGCACAATTAATAAACATTCGATGCTGACATACGCACGTGATGCGTGGTTCGCACGCTGTATTACGAACCCAGCGACCCGAGTCCAATTCCCAGCCATGGCTAACGAGTAGCGATGGAAATATAAAGCTGTCCTAGGCCGACCTACAGTGACCAATCAGGGTATGGTCGAGCAACCCCCATGACGAACATGCCATGAGGGGACCTTCAGCAGCAGATTGGGGGGGGGGGGTGTGTGTGCATCGCAGTGTGCGGCTAAGTATGGGTGGCAGGGGGTCAGGGGTCACATCACTTGGGGCCCAGCATGTCCTCTGGCCGCACCCATTTGTCAAACTCCTCGGCTGTGAGGAAGCCGAGCTTCAGCGCCGCCTCCTTGAGGTTGGTGCCTTCCTTGTGTGCCAGCTTGGCGATCTTGGCCGACTTGTCATAGCCTGGCAGTGGCGACAGGACGCACAGAAACGTCGGGCGGTTTTTAACAACCGTTAGCGTGACCCTTTTTTTAAAGTGGGGGGGGGGGGGGGGGGGTGGGACGGGGGGGGACGGGTGGCATACAAAAATTCGAGGGGGCACGACAGTCAAAATGCACACGGGGACACTTTTTACGATTTAAGTGTTCGTCGCGACGAATACGTTCAGATTGTATTGTTTTCCTGTCACCTCCTTTCAGCTGATAACAAAAAAAATCATCACAAGTGAGCGAGCCTTGCTGGCCCTAACCAGCCATCTCTTATGGGTCACGACCACCACGCCCACCACACACGGGCGTCACGGTGTGTTATCTCGGGGGATGGACGGCGCGCGTGCGTGTGTGTGCGTGCGTGCGTACGCACCGATGTGCGGGTTGAGGGCGGTGACGAGCATGAGCGACTCGCTCATGAGCCTGTCGATGCGCTCGCGGTTCGCCTGCATGCCCGCCACGCAGTTCTCGGCGAAGGAGACGCACGCGTCGCCCAGCAGCCGCGTCGAGTTGAGCACGTTCTTCACCTGCCGGCGGGCGGAGAGAGGAGGAGAAAGAGGGAGACGGAGAGAGGGGGCACGATCCATCACGGTTATGATTCACACCCTCGATTCATGCACCCTCGCCTTTAACGATTGACCGCCTTCATGGATCTCCTCTTCATATCACTCCAAGATTCACGCCCCTTCAGTTCCTCCTAAATTTACTTCCTCCATTCAGCCCCCTCCATCCAGTTCCTCCATTGATCTCCATTTTCTCCACCCTCCCCCCCCCGCCCCATTAAATCCCTCCATTCACTTCCTCTATTCAATCCCCCGCATTCATTCCCTCAATTCACTTCCCTCCATCCTTTTTCCTACTCTCCAGTGGCCGCATGAGGTCACGTGACAAAAAACACGCACCTGCAAACCAACACGTGTTGCTTCTTGCATGCCCCGTGAGATGTGTGCGTAGTGAGCTTAAGAATCGACACGACTCAACGCATCATTGAATACCTCATTGTAACGACGAGGGCAACAACAACAAATTACTGCGGAAATAATGAGGGTAACGGTGGCAGAGAAGATGACGGTAATAATGGCGATGACGGCGACGACGATGACGGCGAGGAATGGAGTGAGCGGGCGCGTACAATCATGGGCTTGAAGACGTTGAGCTCAAAGTGGCCGTTGCTGCCGCCGATGGTGACGGCGACGTGGTTGCCCATCACCTGCGCGGCCACCATGGTGATGGCCTCGCACTGCGTGGGGTTCACTTTGCCTGCACCGCCACAGACAAGAGGTCACGCAGCGGCACAACGCCACGCACACACGGGGTCAGACAGCGGCACAACGCCACGCACACGGGGTCACACAGCGGCACAACGCCATGCAAATGGGGTCACATACAGCAACACGAACACGCTGGGTCACACACAGCGGCACAACGCCACGCACACACGGGGTCAGACACGGCAACACGCTGGGTCACGCACAGCAACACAATATCCACACGGGGATACGCACAGCAACACAATTCTATACATGGGATTACACAAAGGCCCACACAACACGCACACGGGGTCACGCACAGCGGCAGCACGACACACACACAGGCGAGGTTACACAAAGCAACACGGCGCAACGCGGCACAGACGAGGGGGGTTTCGCACAGCAACCCAACACAAACCTCACACGGCGAGCGGGCAACCGTTGGGAGGGAACGGGCTACGGATTGAGCGAGTGAGGGATGGAGCGAGGGATGGAGCGAGGGATGGAGCGAGGCGTCACCAGGCATGATGCTGCTGCCGGGCTCGTTCTCGGGGAGGCTGAGCTCCCCCAGGCCGGAGCGCGGCCCTGAGCCCAGGAAGCGGATGTCGTTGGCGATCTTCATGAGGCTGCACGCGAGCACGTTGAGCTGCCCGCTCAGCTCCACGAGAGCGTCGTGCGCCGCCAGCGCCTCGAACTTGTTGGGCGCCGTCACGAAGGGCAGGCCTTCCTCCCCAGGAGTTCGGGAGGTTACAGCGGGACGGAGTGGACACCGGGGGTCGGAGGTCAGGAGGAGTGATGGGGGGCGGGAGGGGGAGAAGGGACAGAATGGTTTGGTGTGGCGACACGATCGTCGTAACACCACCCCGCCACCATCATCATAATTTACGGCCACCGCCTACACCACCGCCAGCACCGCCACTACCCACCGTCATAACCGTCACCACTAGCACCACCATAATCATCACCACCTGCTAACATGACCTCTACTTAGCACAATCACTGATAACACCACCGGTTATCACCACGACCATCAGCAACTACCACCACTCATACAAAGATCCCCCCCATATAGCCTTTTAACAGACTGTTGGGGCAAGTGCTGTTAGCGAGCACCTATGAAGGCCGGCATGGCACACGTGGGTGTGGGTGGCCAGCACCATGCCCGGCAATCTTTGTCTAGTAACAGACCACACCAGGTACTCATTTATTCAGGCTGAGTGGACCTAGGGGTGGCCCAGGACCGGTTCAGAAAATCGTCACCGGTGTTGGTGGCCGTTAGAGGAAATCGAACTCGGGTCACAGAATTCGTAGCGCAGCACGCTACTGACTACGCGACCATTCACCCCCCTAATAACATCATCATCACAACCATCATTGCTGATGCCACCACCACCACGGCCACCGGTTACTGCGACTACAGCTACAACTTACCGCCACCACGGTCATTGCCGCAACCACCATCACTGCCACAATCACGACCACCATCATCACCACCACCTCAATCACTGTCAGCACCACATCTGCCACCACCACCACCACCACCGGGCGTACCGGTCTGCTTTGCCACCTGTGCCGCCACCTTCTCTGCGAATCCGATGCGCGTGTTGAGTCCGGTGCCCACGGCAGTCCCGCCGGCCGCCAGCTCCAGCACGCGTGGCAGCGCCGAGCGCAGGCGCTCCATCCCGTAGTGCAGCTGCTGCACGTAGCCACTGAACTCCTGCACCAGCACCGCCACCGGCATAAACACCACCACCACTACTACCAGCACGACTACCACGAAGATCCCCACCACCTTAAGAAACACTATCATCGTAAACACCTCCACCACAACATCATCAGCTCCACCATCAACACCACAACCACTGTCCGCAACAACCACCACAACAATCCCCATAACCACAACACACACTATAATCATAAACACCCCGACCATCAATACCACCTTCACTACCAGCACAACACGCATCAATGCCAGCATCAACACCACCACCATTACCACCAGCACCACCATCAATACCAACACCACCAACATCAGTACAAACACCACAACCATCAACCCCACCAGTGGCACCATCATCAATACCGGCACCACCACCACAACCACCATTACCACCAGCACCGCGTCCATCCATGTGGCGCTGGGGTGACAGAATTGCGCTAATAACAAGAGCGACTCCGCCGTGCCACAAACCCCGCACCACCTGGGCTCAAGCGACATCTGAACCGGTCACGAGTTTTGCATAACCCGCACGCATCCTTCAAACGGCCGAGTGTCAAACGGGTTGGGGAGTGTGGGCATTGCGGGCATCGCGGGCATCGCGAGCATCCCGGGCATCGCGAGCGGGTGCGAGCCGTCACCTGTCCGAGCGTGAGCGGCACGGCGTCCTGCGTGTGCGTGCGCCCGATCTTGACGATGTCGTGGAACTCGCGCGCCTTGGCGTCGAGCGCGTCGTGCAGGGTCTGCAGGCCGGGCAGCAGCAGGCCGCTCACTTCACGCACGACCGCGATGTGCATCGCCGTCGGGAACGTGTCGTTGGAGCTCTGCGTGGCCGCGGTGGTAGGGAGGGGTGGGCGGCAGAAGGTGGGAAGAGACCGCTTGGTCATCGTTAACTCTGCCCAATTGATTTATTTAGCCATCCAGCAGAGCCATGCCAATATGTGGCACTTGTTTTCACAAGGGTGCTGCATTGACTGTGTTTGTTTTACACACGTGGGAGGAAGCCAGAGGGCCCCGAGAAAACCCACACGCACGAGGGGGCAACACTCTATCCCCGTACAGATGGAAGCAGATGGCAAATAATCCACTTGCTGTTCCTCCTTCTCTGGGCGAGCCAGGCTATGGCACTTCCTCGATGCCCACGGGAAGCGAGTTTCACAACATCTGTGCAGCAATCCACCAACTCTCGCTGCCTCCACAGTGCCGGATTACAGGCAGCTATGTGCATAGAGCCACCACCGCTTAACGGTGGCGAGATGTTAACTACCTCACCTAGTATACAGGCGGTCGTGGGTTCCTGACGCCTGCATATTTGGAGTTTGCATATTCTCCGCGTGGTCGTGTGGATTTTTCTCCATATTTAGAGTTAACGTGCGTTCAGATTATTTGGCTGCTAAAAGATTCCACGAGATAAGCCACTTCGTTGGGCTATCATTTGTGATGGCTTAGGAAAAAGATCCGTATAGCTCAATGTGCCTTACCTGGTAAAATAAATAAAAAGTTGTAATACATATTACAGTTTAGTTTGAAGAGTACCCCCTCTGGTCAGGCACCAGAGAAACCGCCACGGGAGGAGCGGCGTGGAGGCGGTAAAATAAAAAAAAAACATTCTTTGGGTCTTTCGGTAAAGCCACGTAGATAGAAAAATAATAAGACCCAAAGAATATGAACTCCGGCAGTCACGAAAGCTTTGAGTCAAGAGAAAATAAAAAATAGTCAAATTTTTGTTTTTATTTATCCTAGAGGCGGCATCTTGAAGAGGGCGCGCGGAGCGACGCGAGGGGGCGCGCGGAGCGACGACGGTCACGCGCCGCACCTGGCTCTTGTTGACGTGGTCGTTGGGATGCACGGGCGTCTTGCTGCCGAGCTGCCCGCCCATGATCTCGATGGCGCGGTTGCTGATCACCTCGTTCACGTTCATGTTGGTCTGCGTGCCGGAGCCCGTTTGCCAGACCACCAGCGGGAAGTGGTCGTCCAGCTTGCCGCTCGTCACCTGTGCCCGGCACAAGCGCAAGGGACGAAAAGGTTCCCCCCCCCCCCCCCCACCCCCGTGTGGCCTTTAACAGGCAAGTGCTGTTTAGAGAGCACCTATGGAGGCCGGAACGGCGCACGAGGGGGTGGTGGCCAGAACCACGCCCAGCCGCCTTTGTCTCCCCGGTGCTGATTGTTTACACGCCGCACCAGGTATTCCTTTAAGGCTGAGTCAACCTAGGGGAGGCCCAGGGGCCAGTTCAGATATTCGTCACTGATGTTGACCATAAGCGGAAATGGAACTCGGGTGACCGAGTTCGTATCGCGGCGCACTAACCACTGCACCGCCACTCCACACACACACACATCCACAGCACAACACACACAAGTACACACACAAGTACACACACAGGTGCACACACACAGGTGCACGCGTGAACACACACAGACACGCATGTACAACAAGCAATCCAGGAGCATTGTTAGGTTACTACTACCACTGGGAACACACTCAAAATTAATCGCGTTGTTGCACGATGTTAAAAAAAAACCCCGCTTTAATTTTGTTTAGTTTGAGCGATGTTTGCTTCCAGGCAACTCAAACAAGACCTCGTCAGCCGCCTGGATAATGGCGTCGGCGATCTTGGGGTCCAGGCCGTAGTCCTTGTTGACCTCGGCGGCCGCGCGCTTCAGGATTCCAAACGCATGGATCACCGGGATCTGCCACACGAGCACAACAACAATAGCCATGTCAACAACGACGACAACAACAGCCACACAACAATAATAACAACAACAAAGATAGCCACGTTAACAACGACAACAACGATAGATAATGGCAAGGACGGCAATGTAAACAATGACAACAATAACAACAGTGACAATAAAGGCCACAACGGTGATGACGATGTGGAGTGAAAAGTTATTGCAGCAAAAGCTAAACACGGTATATATTCTTGGTTCTTTCGGTAAAGTCACGTTGAAGGGAAACAATAAAATAATAAAATATATATAAAACAATAAAATTCTCACGACGTTTCGACTGTAACACAAACAGTCATCATCAGGTGTGTTGTTTGTGTTACAGTCGAAACGTCGTGAGAATTGTATTGTTTTATATATATTTTATTGTTTCCCTTCAACGTGATTTTACCGAAAGAACCAAGAATATGAATCACTGCAGTCACGAAAGCTTTAAATCAAAAGCTAAACACGCTGTTTAACTTGAGCTTAAACAGCGGTGTTTAGCTTTTGAGGTGGGCGGCCGACCAAGTGGTTTAAGTCAACAGTGATTAAAAACCAGGTTCTCAAATTTAGGAAGGTGAATGGTCTCAGTCCGGTCACCAATGACTGTACCAACAAAAACCCCCCCATGAGATTACATTTGGTGTTATTGTAAATTTTGATAAATTCCAGTCTTGAGAATTAAGCGTTTCAGGTTTGATTGAGATGTGATGGAAAGCTCTGGAGGGCAACACATGGTGTAACCTCTCGTAGGGATAAGGATGACCTTGGAATTAGGTTCCTGATGTCATCTTCCCATGCCATGACCCGAACACAGACCGAGGCACTTCTCGCTGAGACAAACCACAATGAAAGTGTATCAGTCTCACGAAACAAGCACAATTTCAATCGGTACAGCTAAAGCAAAACATGTTTTAAATTAAATTATAAAATGATCTGAGACCGCTCGATGTTGTATCCATACCGGTCAGCATATACCCGACATTAAATAGAAATGCCCTTTTGGGAAAATATACGTCATGCTGAATTTGTGGCACTTGACAACTGAACCTTATGGTGGGACCCCGGGGTTCCCATAAGGACCCCGGCTCTCTCATAAACTGCGTTGCGACGTCATTCGATGTCTGTTGAAGGCGAACGACAAGGCAATCTATTCCTCTCGACGAGCTCGACACGATGCGCTCATCAACGTGAAAAAGTTTTGTGTATGACCGACATTCGTCCTCGCTGCTGCGCTTGGACGACACGACATGACAACAGAATGATCCGCGCCAGGTGGGTCGCGGCGTTTATGTGCGCGGTGGGACCGAGTCGCCAAAAATAAATAAATGAATTACGATTTTTGCTTCCGTTTATTCGGGCCCCCGGGGTCTCGCCATAAGGTTCAACTCTACAATTTGGCTTAGTTTAAGACCAATGGTTAACTTGTGATGGAATTTGAGCCACATCACAGACCACAAGGTCATCGTATCACAATCCCATGGGCTCAGGGTTAGCCAAACAACTGATGAAATTGGCCAAACAACCCAATACAGGACTCGAAATAAAAAGTTGAGACTCGGTGAAACTTTTCTGGATTAGGGCTCAGGAATTCACTGCCCCATGAAATCACCCATTAACCACTTCACGGTCTCACCAGCGCAACGACCCCTTTAAGCTCACCAATTCACCGGCCCCCTAAAACCTCCCCGATACACCGGGGGAACCTATGACACCACCCGGTTCGCACCGGGGCTGACTGCCACACCAGCTCACCGGCATGCGTTCGCTGGGGCCACCGATCTTGAAGTTCATGAGGGAGCGCACGGTCTGGGCCCCGTAGTAGCGGTCGCTGGGGACCTGCAGCTCTCCGAACGTGTCCGACTCGACGCGGTGACCGGAGGTCGCCTGCCGTGGGGGAGGGGGACGGGATGGAGGGGGTGTGGGAGCCATCAGCCAAGTATCGGTTGTCGTCGGTCGTCATCATCACCAGCTGTGTGTGACGCAAGTTGCACTTCGATTTTAAAACAAAAATCTCGTTTGAATGCTCATTCGTTTAGAACTGCTTTTTTGTGTTTAGTTTGTTGTTCTTCAACCCTGCACGATTGGCTACGCACGGCGCGAAAGATGTTCGACATACATACAAACATACATTCTCGTACCAAAGAGAGGGAAAAGCTGGAGACGGGCAAAAAGGCAGGTCACCTGGAAAGGTGATGAAAATGCCCAACATAGAACTAATACTGAATCATCACCATCATAGTTCATTCCATAGTTCCATAGTTCATTTATGTTGGTATAGCCCTGTGAGCCATTCGGCTCTTGAATCGGGTGCAACAAACAAAAAAACATGAACAAGAAAACATCTTAAAGTGATTATGTGACTGTGCAAACAGAAAATCCAGGAAAAAAAAACATCAAAATATTCCTGAAATAGCACCGTACACCAACGCTGTGTGCAAAAATCCCAGTGGGATGCAAATCAAAATAACAACAACAACCACAAGACAACTAAGATTAAGGCCATCAGTCTAACTCCGTACTACAATAAACAAAAACATGGCCAAACAAAAAAAACGTTTTCTAAATCACCAAAATAAAAGCCATCAATGCAAAGTAACAGTGATCATAGAGACTGTGACCGAATTTTTTACAATAAAACTACATAAATAATGATAACACCAAAATCTAGAGCCATATCATCACTGGAGCATCAGCATGAGAGCGTATCAATGTGCCATGATCACTCTACAATCGCCGCTGCTCCTGACGCGCTTATCCGGCCTCAGCCACCTGAATGTGAAATTGTAGCCGCTGCTCTGCATCTACACATCATCGGCCGTACGGTATAAGAAGAATAAAAGAAGACTGTCATCATCCACCATCATCGCTGGTGTCAACCGAGTCTCAGGAGCTGCATCGCGACCACAGTCCCAGGGTTCTCCACCTTACAACCTCACCACGATCTACCATTCTACCCCCCCCCCGCCAAGAGAATATCTCCCCCACACTCCAAGGGAAACCCCACCAAAGGGACCCGTTGTCTACGCCGAGGCCTTCGGACCTTCCTTAAGCCTTGGCTCTTTAACTTAGGGGGTCGTCCATAAATGACGTCACGCGATTTTGGACGATTTTTGACCCCCCCCCCCCTCGTCACGAAAAGTCAGACACCCCCCCCCCTCAAATATGACGTCACAAAGCACTGTCCCCGCCCCCCCACAAACCATATATCCATTGTGAAAATAAAACTTGCTTCAAATCTCTTTAAACTATTGTCATTGTAGCGCGTATTTAATGTGGCGCTGCACTCTGATGTTGTAGGAGAAAACATTTATTAAAAAGTATATTTAATTAAGTAGAACGTGTTGTCTGTTTATTTAAAGTTGCGCATTTTGATGTGACGTCACATTTCTCACCCCCCCTCCGCCCCTCGTCACACATCGTCACAAATGTCTGACCCCCCCCCCCTAGGTGCGTGACGTCATTTATGGACGGCCCCTTAATCTGTTACCCCCCCCCCCCCCGCCGCTCCCCAGACCCATCATAAAAGACCTGGCCGTCCTTCACAAGGAGCCCCAGGGACCCGGTCCCTCACAACCCACAGGGTTACAAACTCCACGATTAACTTTCTTTCGCACCGTACGTGGCCGGCCGTGCTACTCGGAGGTGGTCTCCTTTGATCCGTGGTCTCGCCATAATACCAAGGTGCTCCCCCCCCCTCAGCTCAGCTCCTCCCCCCTCAGCTCCCCCTTAGCCCCCCCCTCAGCTCCCCCCCCTCAGCCCCCCCCTCAGCACCTCCCTCAGCTCCCCCCCCTCAGCTCCCCCCCTCAGCTCCCCCCCCTCAGCTCCCCCCCCCCCTCAGCTCCCCCCCCCCTCAGCTCCCCCTCAGCTCCCCCCCCCCAGCCCCCCCCAGCCCCCCCCGATGTCTCCCCGCGGCCTATCTAAGTATAACAACCCGCAGGGAGCACCAGGACAGTCGACCGCTGGGGGGAGGGGGGGAGGGCTCCGTCCCGTCGCGCTGCCGCTCCCTCTACCGCCGCTCCTGCTACCCCTCTGCAACCCACCGCTCACCATTCCCCGCACGGCGCCGAGCCCCGGCAAGGAGGAGGTGGAGGAGGTGAAGGAGGAGGTGGAGGAGGCGGCGAGCGGCGAGAGGCCGCGACCCGTCCTCAGCGAGGTCCTGAGCAGCAGCATCAGCAGCATGGCCAAGCGGGGGACAACGCCGACTGGGGGGTGGTGCTTGGGCGGCGTGACGTCATGTCACCCCGCAACACGCCGGCGGCCATCTTACTACGGGATTCACTTAAAAAAAAGACCTCGCCCGCCTCACCCCCCCCCCCAGATAAATAAATAAATAAGCATCCCTGTCCAACATCCCCTTAGCGATGCCCCCTAGCTGAAAACTCAATACCCTGTACAAGAATACGGGGTTAACCATATGGGTTGACACGGTATGCAATATCCATGTATCACCATGGTTCTCTATGTATCTTTATGTATCTCCATGAGTCTATATGTATCTGTAGGTCTCTAAGTATCTCTGTGTCTCTATGCTATATCCATGTATCACCATGGTTCTCCATGTATCTCTATGGGTCTATATGTATCTGTGGGTCTCTATGCATCTCTGTGTCTCTATGCTATATCTATCTATCACCATGGTTCTCTATGTATCACCATGGTTCTCTATGTATCTCTATGTATCTCCATGAGTCTATATGTATCTGTGGGTCTCTATGTATCTGTCTCTATGCTATATCTATGTATCACCATGGTTCTCTATGTATCTCTATGTATATTTCCATGAGTCTATATGTATCTGTGGGTCTCTATGTATCTCTATGCTATATCTATGTATCACCATGGTTCTCTATGTATCTCTATGAGTCTGTATGTATCTGTGGGTCTCTATGCTATATCTGTGTATCTCTATGGGTCTCTGTCTATAATAATACCTGTCAACCCCTTATCAATGCCGACTTTATTCGACTAATTCAGAACTTAGTGGTCACCTCCCAGTGCGCTTATAAATTCCAACGTTCATCCTACAAAGTTCTCTCACAAAGGGAGCCGTCCATAAATGACGATGTGTGACGAGGGGGGGGGGTGAGAAATGTGACGTCACGTAAAAATGCGCAACTTTAAATAAAAATAGACAACACGTTCTGCAACATCAGAGTGCAGCGCCACATTTAATACGCACTACAATCACAATAGTTTAAAGCGATTTGAAGCATGTTTAATTTGTTTTGGGGGGGGCAGAGCTTTGTGACGTCATATTTGAGGGGGGGGGTCTGACTTTTTGCGACGCCGTGTGACGAAGGCGGGAGGGGTCAAAAATCGTCGAAAATCGCGTGACGTCATTTATGGACGGCCCCTTATGTATTTATTGGTGTCAACCATGCTACTTACTGTCTGTCTGTGATCTTGCATGCTGATGCTGTATTCATTGTTAGTTTTTGCCCGTATTGAAACGGCTGTACACCGCGTGGACCTGAGAACTAAAATTTCCCCGTACAAGAAATACGGCCGGAACCGTAATGTGGCTTGACACGGTACGATTTACATATTCGGTGGTAACAGCGTTGGCGGTAGTGGCCGGGGCGTTGTTATCGTAGCACGGCCCACCGAGCCGGCTTATAGAGCACTGTGGAACGTTGCATACAAACTTCAAATCTGTACCTACTCGCATTTTGCATTCGTTACATACCCCCACCCCCCATTACTGTATTTAATTCCCCTTAGTAATATGGCCGCGCATCCTGTGACGTCGCGATCACGTGGGAGTTTCAACCAATCCACCCGCTACAAGTTGCCCCCTCCTCTCCCCCCAATAACAACCATCTATGCGCATGCGCACGACTGACAGCTGTTAAACGCCCTTGACGGTGGGGTCGTTGCAGGCACGCACCGCGACCAATCAGATCTCGCGTCGCTGCGAGGTTGTCCCAACCAATCGGAAGCGTCGCTTGCACTTTCCCCATTGGTGATCGCCACTCGTGGCCATTTTGTCAGGGCGGCACGTGGCAGCCACATCGTCAAGTAACTGTCAAATGTACGGTTGATCGTCGATTAGAATCAGAATAACAAACAATACAACACATATTCTTGGTTCTTTCGGTAAAGTCACGTAGAAGGGAAACAATAAAATAATACAAATATAAAACAATTAAAAATGTCATTTTCTTGCTGTGGTTTTCACACCTGATGATGATTGCTTGTGTTGCAGTCGAAACGTCGTGATAATTTTATTGTTATTTTTTATTATTTTATTGTTTCCATTCTACATGACTTTACCGAAAGAACCAAGAATATTAATCCCTGCAGTCACGAAAGCTTTAAATCAAAGTTTAATACAACACATGATAAGAGTGCAGAGTACAAGAAAGTTAAACAAATAACCCAAACACATAAATATAACGAAACAATCTCCATCCGACTTGACAAAGCCCACTGAGGTATTATTTTCAAAGCAACCTGACCACAGTACAAAAACATGATAGTAGATCATCTGACGGCTTCGAGGGTAAAGCACACCTGTCAATCCATACGGTTTACCCCATATTCTTCTGCAGGGAAATTTAGTTTCCAGGTCCATACGGCGTACAGCCGTTTCAATACAGGTGAGAAGAAAAAAACATTTTTTTGTCTACTTGTTTGTGCTTCTCCCTTGTGATGGGACTTTGTAGGATGAACGTTGAGATTTATAAGGGCACGGGGTGACCAATAAGGTCTGAGTTGGTCTGTAATAAGGTAGGGCACTGATTAGGGGTTAACAGGTATGGGCAGCGGGCGCTGGCTTTTCAAAAACGCCGAATAATCGAATCATTATTTAAAATACCTTATTTTTGCACATTCTTCAATAAAAGTATATTTTTGGTTTTGTGTATGTACTTACCGCTCCAATCTAGGACTGCAAGGGGATGATGTCCGCTCTTGTTTCAACACAACCATGGGTTTGACGATGGCTGGACTGATGCGAACGACGGATTACACGCACTTTTCCCCGGATCTGTTTTTTTGCGACTAGCTATTAACCAGGAAAAATGTACATCGTGTAGTATTTTCATTGTTAAAATTGTATGTAGTGGATAATGTACTGTCAATATACATTTGACCCTGATATCGAGCGTAGGTATTTTTATTTATTTTTGTCACGCACACGGTGCCTGCCGATCGCCGGACTGGTACAGACATTGGAGCTGTTTTTTTTGTTTTACCGGATCGGCCTGGGACCGCCGGATAATGTTGGAAGCCGAATAATTGCGCGCTGGATAATATAATGAATCGATGATCAACTTGGACTTTGTTTAGCCGAGTGATGAACTCAAGAGACCAGGATGAGTCTCATTGGCAAGAGTGACCACGGGGGGGGGGGGATGGTCACCAAAATAACAAAAGCAAATCAAATAAAGTCGCATTGTAATGGAATAAATAGAAAGCAGCGCAGCCTACAGCACCCACTCACTCGTGCCCCCTTCCCCAACCCCTCCCTCCGCACGCCCCCCCCTCCGTCAACTATATCGCGCGTATCATGTTACACATATTAGCGTGTCAAGTGTAATTACTTTGTTGTTTTTTTATATTGTAAACTGATATCAATATAATGCGTGTACTTTCAAGAAGGGCCATTGACCGAAACGTTTATTGGCTATTGGCTTTCCAGATCGACACAATCAAGGAGCGATTGTTTAAGCGAGTAAATCCATGGACCGGGTTCGAATGTCCGTCCCTGCGCGTCATGGGGCACGCGAGTGCCCGGAACGAACCCGGGACGAGTTTATGTTCAACCCCCAAAAAATGCCAAAGACATTCGTTAATAACGCTGCCTTCTCAAGAAGTGTCATTGCCCGAAACGTCACCGATTACGTGTGTTTTCCTTTTTATTCCACGCAGTGTCATTTACGGATGTGTTGAGAATGTTTTTTGTTGTTGAGTTGTTTTGTTATTTGTGTTTGTATCACCGAATAGTTTGTCGCTCAGTGTAATCTCGTGCTAATTCCGCTTGACCCTGCGCATTACTCGTCGCTATTTGCACTGCGGTCAGCCGAGTTATGCAATGGAGCCCGCGTCTTTGGGCACGCCGAGGTGCGTTTGAAGGCAACAAATCCAGATCACAGCTGCCAATGCAAAAAAAACCTGTTTGAGCTGTCAGCGTCTCGTCGTCACGCGTAGTTATCCGTTCTGATCTAAAGCAGAGCAATGGTACGGAGCAGTGGTTCTCAACCGGGAGTTACGCCGTACCCCTGGGGGTACGTGGCAATGTCCCAGGGTGGTACGTGAGGTGATGTATAAATGTGTAAAATTATGTCATACATGAGAGTCATTTGTGAATAATTATGGATGAATCTGTCAATATAAAATAGCTACGATAAAAGTACAATTCCATTTGGTAACCTGGAACAATTTCTAAATTCATTGATCGTAAACAATGCGATTTCCAAGAGTTATCGGCGAGCGCGAACAAATAATATCATGCATGCAGTGCGTCCATTGAATTCGCTTTTCATTCACTTGCAGTTGCTTGCTAGTTAGGATAGCTCACAAAATGGACACTCGGTTAAAATATTGATGTTCATTCATAAATTTATTTATTAGGACCATGTTGGGTCAGGCAAGGGGGTACTCGGTTGAAAAAAAATTCAACAAGGGGTACATTAGCCAAAAAATGGTTGAGAACCACTGGTGTAGAGAAAGGCTCCTGGAAGTTGATATCACAGAGCTAGGATCCGTTCCAGTGAGCCCTAGCCAACACAGTAAATCATGTCAATCGCATGACAATGCATATATTATCATAGTATGTTTTTGTTTGCATTTTGACTGCAGGTATTGTGGTTAATGCAGACATGAATCCTTGTAAAAAGGTTTCAGTTTTGTTGCCAGAAAAAAGGGAAAAAACCCGATTATTACATTTTGGTACTGGCAAAGGAGGTCTAATGATGTAATCGCATGACTGAAGTTATATTAAAATTCTGAAATGATTTGGTGATGCTGTAATCAAGTGCAGTCGCCAAACACGTACGATACACGTATTATCCATCTGCTTCTCTCTGTGTGCTACGAAGGACCATCGCCCGGAACGTCGCATATTACGTATATATTTTTCATTTTAAGGCCACAGGGTTATTGACGAATTTGGTGAGTTATACTGTTGAATTTCGATTTAAAGCTTTCGTGACTGCAAGGATTCATCTTCTTTGGTTCTTTTGGTAACGTGACTTTACCGAAAGAACCAAAGAAGATTATACTGTTGAATTCTAGGTTGGAATTTTCAAAACTAAAAATGTAATGTGACGGGTGTTTGTCCATCAACTCAACTTGGCCATCATCCCGCAGTTGATTGACAAATGACATGGATATTATTGTCCTACAAACTGTAACCACCCCCGGCGATTAGATGGCTTTGTAGATAATGGCAACTCAAAACATTTTGGCGGCTGTGAGATCCATGCTGAAGTACTGTGCATGTAAACCCATTGCAAACGATGCGTGCTCAACGATGCACGGACATTGTTGTCAATTCACCCCTGGCCCATGAGCCCGTGGGTCGTGGGGGTTATTTGACCGTACATAACTTCGCCATGCTGGTGTGTGAGAGGGATCAATGGATTAACATACACCACAAGGGAATTTGCTCCACCTGCCACCTCCTGCCCCAATCACGCAGCGCCTTCCGCAAGCGCCTTGGAAACCGGTTTGGGAGCTGTGGTTGTTACCCACCCATCCAACCAATGTGTATACAGGCTCGATCCCGCTGGGCTTTCGAGATGAGACGAGATCCGGTGCATTCCGGGTGATCGGGTCATCATCAGCAAAGCAAACGGCTTAAAAAAAAAACTCATTGATTGTTCCACACGGGATTCCATGCATGGTATCGCGAGCTGAGATAATCAATGTGAATGCATCATAGATCCACCCGTGATGTGTTTGTTTATGCAGTACAATTATACTGCACACACTCTAAAGGCGCAGCCCTGCAACTGCTCGCTCACGGCGCCGCTGATAAAAGGTTGCTCCACTAGTGGGAGCTTTTGAGAACCCCTCTCGAGGCTACTTTGATGAATTCTCCCACGGTGGCCAGACGTCCTGCAAGACACCCGCACCACACGCGACCTGCCGATGAAACGTGGTGTTGTCCCGTGTGTCGACTCGCTACTCCACTCCTTCGTCGCGACAGAGGATCCCTTTCTCTCCCGTGATCCGCATCACGATATATCATTTCAGCCGTGGTTCTTTTTTTTTGTACACAAGACGAATCGGGGCAAGTTAACTACTGCACCGTGATCCGGATCGTGTCCCACTGGGCCACGAGAGCAGTGTTTTTCCAACCTGATGACGGGACGCTTGGGTTGCGCCCGAAACGTGACTTTACCGAAAGAACCAAAGAGCATGGATTCCTGCAGTCACGAAAGCTTCAAATCAAGATTGATGAGCAGCGTTCTTCATTGCGAGGCCCGCGGGCCCCTGGCGCGCGGGCCCTGGTGGCCTTTAGTGCGGCCCCTGACAATACACAAATGGTGAAAACATCACCGCATCATCATCATCATCATTTTGCACAGTCACATAATCACTTTAAGATGTTTTCTTGTTCATGATGTTTTGTTTGTTGCGGTTGCACCCGATTCAAGAGCCGAATGGCTCACAGGGCTATACCAACATAAATGAACTATGAACTATCATCGTCGTGCTGCTGCCGTCAAAACCCAACAATTGTTTGAAATGCCTGGCAGCCCTCGCGTGCCTGTGAAAGTGGGCCCTCTCCTGAAAAATGAGTGAAGAACACCGTCCTGGAGGGCGCAGAGAGATAACGGGGACTTGGAGAGGATTGAGGTTGCTGAGTAAAGACGCAGGGGGCGCTATGGAGTGAAGCTGGGACTACAAGAGAGACAAGAGAGTGAGAGCGAGAGAGAGGCGGCAGCCGCTGTTAGCGATTCGCTCGCGGTTCCAGGCTCCGTCGGAACGAACGGAGCTTTTGTTAGCCCTGCGCGAAGTGGAGGCATTGCAGGGGCGAGAGGGGTGGGGTTGACGGCGGGGTGTAGGAGGAGGAGGGAGGAGGAACGGAGCAATATCCCGCCCTGCGGATAGCAACAAGCATCACCCATCAGCAGCAGCAGCAGCCAAAGCAATCGGGTCAGGGAGACCCCCGACGCAGGATCATGGACGACGTGCCGAGCGCGATGAAGATCTCGATCTCGCTGAAGACGCATCCGTCCGACGGCGCCGTCTTCTTCAAAGTGGACGGGCAACGTTTCAACCAGACGCGCACCATCAAGCTCCTCGTCGGGGCCAAGTACAAGGTGGCGGTGCTCATCAAACCCGGCACCGTGAGGACGAGGTGAGTTGGGCGCATTGGGTGGGGGGGGGGAGGCGTCCTTCATCGGCATCAGCAGCAGCACCACCACCACCATCAGCAGCACCACCACCACCATCAGCACCACTAATCAGCACCACTATCATCATCACCGCCATCACCATCAGCACCACCATCATCAGCAGCACCACCATCATCATCAGCACCACTATTATCATCAGCACTACTATAATCATTATCACCACCATCAGCAGCACCATCAACACCACTATCATCATCAGCACCACCACCATCATCATCAGCACCACCACCACCATCATCATCAGCAGCACCACCATCACCACCACCATCACCATCGTCAGTGCGCGTACTGTATTCCGCGCGCGTGTTACTGGTAGAGCCGGGATTGATGTGGTGATGGATTGAGACTGGTGATATGGTGGTGGTGGTGGTGGTGATGAAAGTTGTGGTATGATAAGGTTGATGATTATGGTGATAATTACGTGTTATGTTAGAGCCCCACACGTACGGCTACACATTGATGACAGAGATGATCATGTTGGTGATGATGATGATGATCGTGGCGGTGGTGTGATGTTGACGTTATGATGTATATAACTACAGTACACGCTTACACATCCGGCATGCCTGATGATGATGATGCTGCGTCTTCTGTCGATGACAATGGCATTGTTATGTTCATTATGACGTTGCTGATAACGACGTCATTATCAGTGCCACTGATAATGACAGTACTGATGCTGGCCGGGCTGCTGTTGCTGATGATGGTGGTGGTCAATACGGATAGGGCCTGTGCCGTGCAGAATGAAGGCCCCCGCCGTGTAGCCTACACGCGATTACACACACGAGGTGGGGGGAGGGTGGCCAGCACCACGCCCGGCCGCCTTTGTCTCCCCATGGCTGATATTTACACACGCGCACACACACACACCGCACCGCGCACACATTTAAGGCTGAGTCAACCTAGGTGAGGTGGAGGGGGGGGGCACCAGGAGCGGTTCTTCAATTAATTATTCGCCACTGATGTTGGCCGTGAGCCGGAGTCGAACTCGGGCCGCGGGGTGTCGTAGCGCAGTGCGAACCTCTACGGCTGCTCTGCACCAAAGACAAAGACACTCCCCTCCCTGGTGTAGCCTCAACAGACAGCTGGGGCAAGTGCTGTTAGCGAGCAGCATCTGTGAAGGCTGGGACCGTGGCACACGAGGGGGGGGGGGGTGTGGCCAGCGCCACGCCCGGCCGCCTTTGTCTCCCCCAGAGGCGACGTTTTCACTCATTTGAGGCCGAGTCGACCTAGGGTAGCATCCAAGACCGGTGCAAGATAATCGTCACCGGTGTTGCTGTTGGTGTCCGTGAGCGGCGATCGAACTCGGGTTAGCCGGGTTCGTAGCGCGGCGCTAACCGCTGCGCCACCGCTCCCCGCGTGCACTCACGCGCACTCACGCGCACCGAATCAGGACCACTGCCACGTGGGAGATGGATCGATTTACATCTGTGGGTGGTGTTGGGGGTGGGGTGCAGCAGCTGCACGTGGATTGCTGCACCACGCAACGTCTTGGGAGGCATGCATCTTACGGAGCTTGCGGGGTGGGGCGCGGTGGCTTCGTCCAGCAGTGGATCGACCATGGCTCGTGATGATGGCTGGTGATGATGGCTCGTGACGCATCTCTGCTTTGTTAAATGTCACAACGCGGTTGCAGAAGGGGCGCGCGCGCGCGTGTTCGCGTCGCTTGCCAACATCCGACCACGATTCGCCTCGCCCGTGTATTGCACAACAGGGGTCCCGGCTGTAAATCCACTGCTGGATGAGAGCATGTCATTTGACCATACTTCACCAAGGCAAGCAGCATCGTCATTGACGCTGGAGCGTGGTTACTGTGAACTGTGAACAGCACTGCCCTCTGCTGACCACAACGCAGGCCCTCGGCAGCAGCCGCAAACCGCAGCCTATAGCACGTGCTTGATCAGAATCTCAATACAGTATTTATTTATACTGTAGGAATCCGATGAGCTACGAAGCCGTTTCATTTTGGCAGGTGTTCAGTATGTACGGTGTTGGATCAGTGGCGGCGCTGTTCAGGCTAGAAATCCAGCTTTGCTTCTGGGATCTGTCGGGAGTGACTGTGCTGACCTATGTTAGCCATGTACCCATGCAGTTTCTATTTATAAGACGTGGATGGGTATTATTATGTGGGTATATGGGCTGCGACGGTGGCGAGATTTTAAATACCTCGCCTGGTATGCAGGAGGTTGTGGGTTCCATCCCGACTCTGACGCCTGCTGTATATGTGGAGGAGTTTGCGTGTCTCTCTCTCTCCCCGTGGTCGCGTGGATATTTCTCTCCGGGATCCTCCGGTTTTTCCCCATCCACATTTAAAATCGACATCACGCGTTTCAGAGTATTTTTGGCTACGACACATTACCACGTGACGATGATGAGCCCACTTCGTTGAACCTTCATTTGTGGCAGCCAGGTCGCTTCTGAAAAAAAAACAGCTTTACAGCTCAGTGATAGGCCTCGGCAAGGTAAGGTAATTTACCTTTTTTACCGGGTCGACATGTCAAGGGGTAAAGGGTAGGGTAAAGGTAGCGCGAAGTATTACCCGGTAAATACGGTGCCTTGTTTACCGCTAAAAGCTCCGTGGCGCAGTCCGTGGCCTACATTTAATAAGTAACATTTAAAAAAAACGTTTTTAAAGACACGCTTTTATAAAATCTACGAGTAACGGCAGAACTCCACGACTCCAGGAAGTGGCCCCGAAGCTCGCCACAACGTAAGGGGACCGTGGACAATTAGACCCAAGCCGAAACATAACATAAAAAATAATGTTTAAAAATATTTTTTTTATTTTATTCTTAATGAAAGAATATAGTATTGTCATCAGTATGACATACGTATACCAAGTTTGCAGTCGATACCACATTGGGAAGTGGGTTAAAATTTAGTTACAAGATTTGAGGATACAACGACAGAGTGAGTTTAAAGATAGCGTGTAAAATTGGAATGATCGAGAGTATTCTATATGAATAAAGCGCTCTACCTAGCATTTACCTGTTATAAACCTTGTTTCATGTGTAGTACCCCAGTAATTACCCTGTAATCGGGTAATTTGTATGGGGTAAGGGTAAAAGGTAGGGTAAAGGTAGGCTCGTTGCTTTTAACCTTTTACCTTACCTGCTGAAGGGTAAAAGTTAGGGCAGAGTGATTGCATTATGGTAAGGTAAAAGGTAGGGTAAAGGTAGGCTCGTTGCATTTAACCTTTTACCTTACCTGCTGAAGGGTAAAAGGTAGGGTAGAGTGATTGTATTGTGGTAAGGTAAAAGGTAGGGTAAAGATAGGCTCGTTGCTTTTAACCTTTTACCTTACCTTGCCCTACTGAGTGGGGCCTTACCTGGTAAAAAAAAAACAGTTTAGTTTTGTCTATTTACAGATGGGTATATGTGGGTATGTAATCCACGAAAGCGAATGCTAAGTATGCCTGGCCCAAAGGCCTTTGATTGTGTCTATCATTTGAGATTTCAACGCGGGTCTTGTGGCCCAGCCCCACTGAATGTTTTGGGTGCACCATGCACGATGGAGTGTGGCCAAAGCAACAATCCCTTAATGCTGCTGCCTCGCTTATTATTTAGCGCGGTCGGCAAAGCCTCAACCGAGTCTCGAGACTCTTAGTCATCAAGGGTCCTCCTCCATTGTCACGTTTGGTAAAATTCCACCGATTGTGCCGCTATGCTAGGCTAGATAATAATAATGTATAATTGTTATTTACAGCTCTTTTGTAATCCGCTTCTGGATGTGTTGGGCCATGGGGGTTGTTTGACCATACTTCACCATGCCGTACTGTTCGAGTTGGTGATGGGGGAGGGGCGGGGCACGTACCCTGGACCGGTTCAGATATCGCTTGCCACTGATGGTAGCCGTGGCCAGGAATCGAACTCAGGTTGCCTAGTTCAAAGGGTCACACGCTTACCACTGCGTCGCCGCTCCACCCCCCCCCCTTTAGCAGGAACTCGCGTGCAACCCCAGCACTTAGGGTTATATGGGGGTGTCAGTTTTTTGTGCCAGTGAAAAGGGTAAAACCTATTACTATATCTTGTTACTGGCAAAGGAGGTCTCATAATGATCTATGTCTTTGTTCGACGAAGTAGCTTACCATGTGGCTGGCTGATGATTACTGTGAACGTGTTCCATTCGAAGAAACTGGCTGTAAAAATCAGGCCAGTAAACCGGAACGTACTTTGTCTTAGTCTATTTCCACGCGCGCCCGCGCAGGTGACCAACTCTCTGATTATCGACGAGCTCCCCCCCCCCCTCACCGCTCTGCCTTTGCCATGGGCAATCACCTTGCTTCCTCCCTTAACTTCATAAATGTTCCTTCAAAAATATTTTGAAGCAGAAGTCTAGTGCTGAATATAGCCACATTGGCCAACGTGATTTGTAAATTGAATCCTTAACAATGTATTGAGAGTTCAATTTTAATGTATCGCTTTTATCGAGGGGGACTGTGTGTTGTCTTGGTCTGGTCTGGGACTATTTTTTGCTATCGTTCTACTGCTTTTCTTTCCGAAGCTTGGGGGATTGATGCTTGGGAATTGATGCAATTGAAACGAATACACTTTATTTCTTTATTAAAGGGGCACCACGGTGGTGAGATGTCATCTTCCTCACCTGGTATTCAGGAGGTCGGGGGTTCGATCCCGACCCTGGCGCCTGCTGTATATTTGGAGTTTGCGCGTCTCTCTTCCCGTGGTCGCGTGGATTTTTTTCCTCCGGGTCCTCCAGTTTTTCCCTCCACATTTAGAAACATGCATTGAGGTTTTAGTTTGATTATTTTGGTGCTTTAAATGTCCAAATGATGGGGGTCACTTTGTTGAGCTATCATTTGTGGCGAGGTTGCTTCTGAAAAATAAGTTTATACCTTATTGAGCTTTGCCTGGTAGAGTGGGTATAGTTTCGTTTTATTTGCATGTGTTTGGGTGATTTTTTTTTGTACTTTGCAGCACTACTATCATGTTGTTGTGTTTTTTGTTGTAACGTTCTTACCCGTATTCCTCCAGTACAATTAAATATTCTGATTCTCAAGCGTGCAGTCGAATGCCGTGAAAGCGACGGCTCCGTTTCTCTCTCTCGCGCTCCCTCCGCAGGGCGATGCTGATCGGCGACTGCGAGGTGCCGCTGGAGGAGGGTGCGCGTGACCTCGCGCAGGTCACCTACGCCGGCTACTTCGACACGGCCGCCCTTACGGCCACCAAGAGCGGGGAGCGGCAACCCACGGCCGTCAGTATCCGGGTACGCCCTGGGCAGCCGGGGGCTCCACGCCCAGGCACACACGCGCGCGCGGCTACGGTCGCACGCGGGCACACTAAAAACAAAACTATTTTTTATTTTTACCGGGTAAGGCCCCACTGAGCTATGTAGCTCTTTCTCAGAAGCGACCTGGCTACCACAAATGATAGCTCAACGGAAGTGGCTTATCATCGTGTGGAAATTTAAAGCAGCCAAATACCGTAAACGCGTGTTTCAAAATGCGGAGGGAAAAACCGGAGGCCCCGGAGAAAAATCCACACGACCATGGGGAGAGCGACACGCAGACTCCAAATAAACAGGCATCGTCAGGGTCAGGATAGAACCCACGACCTCCTATATACCAGGCGAGGTAGTTAACATCTCGCCACCGTGGCACCCACACGGACCGGCCAGCAGGTACAATCGTGCACCCAGAGCCACTGAAAAGTTTTTAGAGGCCTGAGACAAGATTGTAGCCACATGAGGCCCACTCTGAGACCCCCTCGACACTTCATGACGCTCCCGCGTATCTGATGCCTGAGGGAAATGTCCTCACCACCCCCCCTGCCATCCTCTTCCCCCACCCTTGCCAGCTGTCTGAGCAATGAACGTACCAAAAAACCAACCCAATACTCCTTTACGTGTTTTTATCAGCTACGACCAAATTATGCTGAATGAGATGGATATCGTCGGATGATCGAAGCCATGCAGCGTAGACTCAGTGTGGTTCGTACTTGAGTGGGGAGATTGCCAGGGAATACCAGGCGGTGTAGGTTTGGGCCGCGAGGTGGCTAGGAGGCATCAAAACAGCAGCAGCAGCGGATTCTTGAGTCTATCGGTGCGGAGCACTGAATGTTACCCCTTGCCCGTGTGGTTTTCGACAGGGTTCTCCGCTTTCTCTCGGGATGAACAAAAGACGTGATTGTTGTTATTCAGTTAAGCGCTTATTTATTGTGCAAACAATGTAATCGGGCTCCAACAGTGCAATATGTGTGTGTGTGTGTTTTTTAAAAACGCGTAAACAATGTGTCTTGCCACTGGAATAACATTCCGCAACAGTTACAACATCGTCAAAAATGAACATATTTAAGTAGTAATAATAATAGTATTGCTGTAATGTCCTTCGATTCCTCACGAATGCCTCACCGAGTCTCAAGACCGCTGTTAGGAGCGTGTCCTGCTCCATTGGGATGTTTTGGTCGTTACATCGATGAGTGATTGACAGTACTTGGGAGAATACCCCCCACGATTATGAGGGTGGGGGGGGGGTGGTGGAGGGGGGGGGTAACGCTTAAATCTCTGCACAAATAGCTTGAGGAACTGTGCTGCCATCTACCGGCCACCTCACATATGACTTGCACAGACAGCAGCCCATGCCATCAATTTCGTGCGACACGTCGAAGCATTTATATAAAAAAAAAGATTGCAAGTTGAACAAGGCGAACACAAGCCACACATCGCGTACAAGTGGCGCGTCGTTGCGACGTCCCCCCCCCCCCCCGGGGGGGGGCTTAGGGGGCCGACGAGCGACGCTGTCGGCTAGTCGACAATTCACAGCCGGAGCCCAGAATTAACACCACGGCTCCAGAACGCTTATTATTATTATTATCATCATCATTATCATCATCATCATCATTATTCTTCTTCTTCTTTCGTACGGCCGTCGATAGTAGACGCAGAGCAACGACTGCAATTTCACATTCAGCCGGTGGTGGTCAAAGCCAGACAGCCGCATCGGGGAGCAAGCGGAGTGCGTCGCCGCGATGTCTCCTCCGCATGCTCGTGTGGATCGGGCCATTTGCGGCGGCGTTGCTTTGCTTGTCTGTTGCGGACGGTCACAGGTCGTGCGCTGCTGGAGAGTCTTTAGTTTTCCATTCGTGCATCGGGTAAACCGCGCACCTACTGCTGTGGTTTGCGCAGTGAGATGGGGTTTAAGGGTGGACCACGAGCTTCGTGGAAGCGCAAACGCAGGGGGCATCTTCTGCGTTGGGTCTTTCGCGCCCCCCACCCCCTCGTGCGTGGACACGGCTGATATCGGGGACCCCGAGGGAGGCCTCGGTGCCCTCTCGGACGAACAGCCATTTTATCCGTATATCTCCACGACGTGTTTTCGGGTTGTCCCGCGCAGCCGTTTGATACGACGTCCGACGTTTCGACCCACGTGCTGGGAGCTGCCTCCTGAAAAAGCTCGCAGGATGGCGGAGCGAAACGTTGGACATCGTGCCAAACGACACGCGGCAAACACAACCCCCCCCCCCAAAAAAAAAAAACCACACACACATGGGATAGCTGCGGTGACCTTTCATCCAACCTTTTGTGTGCGGCAGCCATCGTTGTCAGTGTGTGCGTGTGTGTGTGCGGGTCTGGCATGGGTGGGTGTTGAAGCAGCTGTCCAGTTAAAACAAATGGCCTGGCAAAAATACCGGAGACAATTTGCCATCATTTACCGACACGTCTCGGGCAGATCCCGCTGTGCAGGATGCGTCTGGCTTCGTCAACTTATTATTCATTTTTTTCCATAAAAAAAAAGAATTTGTCCTGCCACGTTTGTATTTTACATCGCTGCAGTATGAGTCTGCAACCAGAGTTCGATTCCCGGCCATGGATATCATCGGTTTCCCGAGTGATGTTTGAACCGGTCTTGGGTCGCCACTTCACCAACCCGCGCAGACCTGGCGTGGTGAAGCATGATCTGACAAGCCCCGTGACCGACACGGGATGATTTGGCCTTCATCCAGCAGTGGATTGACAAAGCAGGCGGGATGATAGCTGCTTTAGACGTCACTCGCCATTAATCTTAGCCCTGGCCAGGACTCAAACTCAGGGTTGCCAGGTTCTTAGCGTGGTGCATAAACCACTGCACCACCACTCCCCATACAACAATAAATTGATGAACAATAATGCAGTAGAAAATGTTGATAATGTAACATTTTTTAGCCATGTAATATGATCTAGACCACAATCATGAGATGAATTAATGCCCAAACAACAAAAATCTAAATGTTCCATCTAAACCCGACTCTGGGAAGACGTTTAATAGTTGAGTGTACACAAAATGGTAAAATGTAAATTAGAAACAATATCCCTTTCTTAAAATAATTTCAAATCCTTTCGTTAAGAGTCCGAATGATTTCCGCGACCATTGCATTTCCAATGAATTCTTTCAACGCATTCGACGCACCGTAGGCAACAGTGATGCAGTAGCTGGCGCTGTGGAAACGCTGGCGGTATTCTCCTGGGGTTTATCTGCCTTAATGCTCGAATGTGGGTCACGCTCGCATCGCCATGGTAACCTCTGGGGGGGGGGGCCGGGGGGGGCCGGGGGGGGCCGGGGGGGGGCCCTCCTAAGCCGTGTTTTTCCAGCTTGAAAATGAACCGGATACCATCAGGCGGGGTCGGTCTCTCGACAATTCTCGAGCTGCCGGTGGTAGCGCGCAGGGCAACGCGTTCAGTGTTAGAGCACCGAGTCCCAGGTCGGGATTCGCACAAATTATTTAAGTAAAAGGCAACAATTTCGGGCGGACGCGGTAAACAAACGTCGGCTGACGTTTCGTCTTAAGGGGCCGTCCATAAATGACGTCACGCACCTAGTGGGGGGGGAGGGGAGGGGGGTGGTCAGACATTTGTGACGATGCGTGACGAGGGGGTTGTTTGAGAAATGTGACGTCACATCAAAATGCGCAACTTTAAATAAATATAGACAACACGTTCTACTTAATGAAATAGACTATTTAAATGAAATAGACTTTTTAATAAATGTTTTCTCCTACAACATCAGAGTGCAGCGCCACATTAAATACGCATTCAATGACAATAGTTTAAAGCGATTTGAAGCATGTTTTATTTTTTTTGGGGGGGGGGCAGAGCTTTGTGACGTCATATTTGAGGGGGGTCTGACTTTTTGTGACGCCGTGTGACGAGGGTGGGGGGGGTCAAAAATCGTCCAAAAATCTCGTGACGTCATTTATGGACGCCCCCTAACGTCAAACCAACAATGGCACGACATTGTGCATGTTTTCTTGGCAGGTCACGGAGAATTGATATTAGTTGGTGCAGGATGTACTTGACAGAATGGAGGCTGATATAAACAGTTTTTATTATTATTTATAATTGGATTATGAATACTAATGAGTTTGCTATTGAGTAACAGGCAAACCCTTAAATAGCCAAACATGTACAACGACGTCAGCTCATTTGTATTCAAAGTAATACTTGTTGCTGGAACATTGCATTATGGGTAGGCCTGTTGCAGTGAGGTCAACCAACGCAGCATTATCCACTTAGTGATGCACCAAAGAATACGTATTCCAGTTTGAGTTCATCAGAATCAGAATAGCGTATGTACTTACGCTGCAGTAATCCAGTGATCGATAAAGCTCATTTTCACAGATGTCCAGTTGCATCTAATTTGTTACACGGATGGTCCCGCATTGCCAGTTTCTATTTCACACGAGGGATCCGTGGTGCTTGAGCATCGAGAATGGAGCATCAACAATCATCACAACAACTCCGGTCACCCCTCCCAGCAGCAGCAGCAGCGGCAGCTTTTGACTGCTCGCCATCGGACAAAGACGGTCACCGCATCGCGTGGCGCTTTCAGAACGCGCTTCTGCGACCGTCTGGAACGCTCTTCCTTGGGATGTTAAGGGAGCCACCGGGGCTGTGCACTTTTAAATCGTCCAGAAGACTTATTTGTTTAGGGCTGCTTTTTTGTGTTTAGTTTGTTGTCCTTCCACCCGCACCCGCAGTTAGCATGGTTGGCTACGTACGGTGCGAAAGAAGGCTGTCTCTCTGGTGTAGGCCAATCGGTTTCAAAGACTTCATATTTCATTATCAGAGCGTGTTTGTTTGCATGTTTTGCTGCAAGTATGTGTCGGTTAATGCAGGCTTGATGCCTTGCAAAAGGTATCTGTTTCATGTTTGAACATTTTTACACCGGTTTTATTGCCAGAAAGGGTAAAACCAATTTTTATTTTTACACGCTTTTATTTAAGTCGCTCCGTCTGTGGTCGTATCAAAAAATCTTGTAACTCAATTTTTACCCACTTTTCAATGTGCTATTGACTGCAACCTTAGTATACGTATGTCATACTGATGACGATACAATATTTTATCATAAAAAAATTCAAAACAGTTTTTAAAACATTTTACACGCTTTTATTTAACTCACTCCGTCTGTTGTCGAATCCTCAAATCTTGTAAATCAATTTCAACCGTCTTCCCAATGTCGTATCGACTGCAAACTTGGTATAGGTATGTCATACCGATGACAATACTATATTCTAGCATTAAAAAAATATATATTTTTAAACAATCTTTTTTACGGGTCTAATTGTCCATGCTCAGCTGACGTTGGCTGTAAATCACCACGGTCCCCTTACGTTATGGCAAGCTTCGGGGCCACTTCCTGGAGTCGTGGAGTTCTGCTATTACTAGTACGGTACATTTCATTAAAGCGTGTTTAAAAAAAAAAGTATTTGTAAATATTACTTATTATTTTTCATCAACACACGTACATACAGCAGCAGCAGGAAAAACAAAAGGCACGTTTAGTACAGACAGTTTGTTTCATGTGCAGCACTGTGGTCACCACCCGTGCCAAGTTAGTTTGGGGAGTCCACACTTGTATTCCAGATGGGTCCTCGTCGGCGGTGATGGAGCTGTGCACGATCATTGTACGCAAACGTTTAGGGCCTTGAGCGGCTCATAAGAGCCACCGTTAAAAGACATATGGGTGCAGCAAGTTATCATCTCAAACTAAGAACCAACCAGTGATCATTCAAATAACCCTGATTAAAAAAAATATTGTCAAGTACTGGAATGTAATAAATAATTTGTTAACAACTGTGATGTAATTAAAAGCTATGTGCTCGTAGTTTGACCGGCATATACAGTATATGTTTGGAGTCAATGGAAGCGCCCGTAAATTAATTCTGCTTAGAGCCCTGAATGAGTCGGTACCCCCACATCTGCTCCCGAGTAAACATGAAACGTTGGGCCAAGGTTGCACCAACGTTCGTGCAACGTTGGGGCAAGGTTGGCCCAATGTTGGGGCAAGGTTGGTTCCAACCTCATGCCAACGTTTTTGTTCAACGTTACATGTTTACTGGGTCCTGGGCGCAATTTGGACTGATTTTGCCTCTTTAAAAGACAGTGAAGTGATTTGATTACCAAAATGGGACCTTTTTTTCCAGTATCAAAGTATGAGAAATTAAGAATAGGTGTTACCCTTTCTGGTAATGAAACAGGTGGTGTTAAAATGTTCAGACACCAAATAGAAACCTTTTGTAAGGAATCAAGTCTGCATTAACCACACGTACTTGAGGTGAACATGCAAATAAACATGTTCTGATAAGATATGCATCGTCTCTTTGAAACTGATTGGCCTACACCAGAGACAGCCTTCTTGATGAATTGATTCTTCTTTTGATTTGATAACGATTCTCTCTCTAAAAAAAAATATTTTTTAGGATATACGACGTTGAAAATGAACACTCAGCGTGTGGTGTTTTTCCTATAATTGTGTTCAATTCAAAGGTGGCAACCATATGCAGCATGAAGTATGTTTTAAAATATAAGAATACATTTACAAGAAGTTAAGCAGGTGGCAACCATATGCGGCATGGAGGTCGCGTGTGGTGGGGTAAAGCGTGGGTACTCCCAACATGTCTGTCGAGCGTGGAAGCGGAGGCCAACAATATCTTGGCCTCACTGGAGCGGCGCTCTTCATTGCAATGCCCGCGGGCCATTGGCGGCCCCCTCACGTGTGCCCCCCCCCACCCCTCCCTGACAATACACAAATTGTGAGAACACTCACCCGTCATTACCGTCCTGCTGTCAAACCCCGATGGTTTAAAATGGTGTGGCGGGCCTCACACTGGCGATGTCTTATCGGTGAAAGTGCTGCCCCCCCTCCCCCCTTCTGAAAACGAGTGAAGGACGCTGCACTCAAGGCTCCCCCCCGTTGTGAAGGCCCTTTCGCCGGCATTGGCGTGAGTAAGGAAATTTCAGAGCTGCACCTTAACTTTCTTTTCGTACATAAGCACAGTTCTGATATAAGCAACGCATCCTTACGTTGCACTCGCTGGCGAAGGAGGAAGGCGAAGGCAGTGGCTAGTTTCGATGCAAGCGTGGCTTCTGATGTAAGCGCACCCGCACCTGCGAGCAAGGGGCGAGATTATGACCAGCTTTCAACTGCACTGCGATGTCAAAGCATATTTTGAGAGGGGGGACCGATTGCGGACGTGGTGTCCAGCCGTGGGGAGCGGAGGTCGCGCTCGCGTTGAGAAGCGAGGGGGATGAACCGGGAGCCCTCCGACTGATCTATGAATAGAAAACGGTTTCTAGTGTGCACTGCAAATGGTCCCCCCCACTCTGCGATGGTTTTAACGCCGGGCATTCGCCGGGCGCCGAACGTACGCCGTCACTGGTCAACAAACAAACGTGAATCTCATTTAATATCAAGACTGTAATAGTGCGCAGCCCCTGCGTCCGTCCGCTGTTGGATGAAGGCCTCCTCCACGCCGACCTGGCTGCAGGCATTATTTGACCCACACTACACAATGCTAGTCGGTGCAGGTCATTATAAAGGGTGAGGATCAGTTCACAGATCACTGGGCCAGTGATGTTAGCCATGACCGAGTGTCGTACACTGTACCACCTGGTGACACAAAGCCAAAAAAGGCCTCGCTTGTGGCCGTACACACTGGTGGGGCTTGTCGTGTTAGTGAGCGCCTATCAAGGCTGGCACGGCACACGAAGGGGTGGTGTGGCCAGGACGAACACGGTGGCCACCTTTGCCTCCCTAGTTCAGATTTTTTGCACCTCGTTTATGGCCGAATCGACCTAGGAGGAGGCCCTGAACCGGTTCAGATATCACTCGCTACTGATTTTATCAGTGTCCGGGAATCGGCCTTTGGTCATTGGGTTCATGGCGCATTGCGCCAATGCACTGTGTCGAGTCTTATTTATTGTGTTCATATATATTTATTTCTCTGTCATTTACCATGAAAAGTCAGGGCCTCCAATCTCGCCGTCTTCAAAATAAAATAAAACTACGCTGGGAAGGAGTCACGTGATTTGAGGAGGGATGGGGCGTGTGTAGTGCCTTTTGTCCTTGGAGGGGTTCCTTGAAAAACATCATAAGTTCGCAGAGTAAGGGAAGTGGTAAAAATGTTTTTTTTAACGTACACTCGTGACTGCAGCGTTTTTTTGGCAAGTCATAAATCTGCAGAATTGTGCCAATGATTGTTTTAGGCCGAGACCTCTTTCCCCCTCCTCCCCTTGCCACATACTTCACAAAAAATACAACTGGCATCGTGGCACATTATTTCTTTCAGATGTTCTGAGGTTTTGAATCGTAATAATTTTCCTTTTTTCCACGTTCTATTCACTTCTATAAAACCCACATTGTGCATTCCAACTTCGCTGAAATCCGTTGTGTTTCAGACCATTTTAAAAATAATTTGCGCGCAAAAAACGTGCGACTATGTGAATGTTCACGTAGGTATAAAAAACCCCTTAAATATATAATAATTTGTTGTAATAAATAATTTTGAATTTGTGACGAGCACACGTTTTCGTCCACTCTCGGAAAGAGAGAGAGATTACGAGGCACGGCAAACCCCAAGACGAGTCGGAAGGCAGTCAGAACCAGCGGCAACAATTTCCCAAGCTCTGCGGTCCTACATTGGGATGCTTGGCCAACTCCATTTTAATGAGCGTTTGCACACGCGGCAGGACAGTGGAGCATCCAGTGAAAACCCAAGTTACTTAACACCGATTGGTGCCACCGTCTGCTGCGATAGATCCCGGATTAAAATATCACAAATCCCCAGGTGGTGGACCAATGGCGCAGTGGCTAGCGCGCTGCGCTATGAACCCAGTGACCTGAGTTTGATTCCGGGCTACGGCCAACACCGTGGTGAGTGATATCTGGATCGATCCTGGGCCGTGCGGAGACCTTTATCCAGCAGTGGGTTGACAATGAACCATAAAAGACAAGTAGAATTCCTGCTACGCAGGTGTCCGCGGTCGTCCTGCACGGCTCCCTCCGACGTGCTTCCGGGTTGTTACTGCGCGTTGTTCGGCGCTGTGTCCGACATTTCGCTCCACGAGCTGGAAGATTCTTCAGGAATTGTCCCGTGCATGCTCGCCTCCTCCACGGAGGCAGAAAGTCAGCTGCACAATTCATTTCCTGGCAGCCTCCCAGCCCGTCTGTGAGGTGCAATTTGCGTGAACGACGCAGTGTACAATTAATCTTTCGACGCAGTTAGATCGTAGCCGACGGCGATGACACGACGATGACGACTAATGTGTCGCGCTTCGCTCCGAACCTCTGCGCAGCTGGAGGACATCGGAACGTTCGAGGCCGTGTGGCAGTGCAAGTTCTACAACTACCCCAAGCGCGACCACTGCCAGTGGGGGAACAGCTTCGCGGCCATCGATTATGACTGCAAGCCCAACGACACGCGCACCCTCCTCTGGGTCAACAAGGAGGTCTTCCGGTAGCCGTGGTGACGCCAGGGGTGGCGGCGGCGGCGGCGGCGGCGGCCTGCACCAGCCCGGCCACTTCATGCGGTCACGAGCGTTCGGCGATCCAAACGTCCAACGGTGGTTTTGTTGGAAACTCATTTGTGTTTGTTTTACAAGTCGGTTTCGTCCACCCTCCATCCCCCACCGTCGAGAGAGCTGTGTGGCCCCAATATAGGAACCAGAGAGCTTGGGCAATTGTTGATTCGAGCTCTCTTGGGCCCTATCCGCAAACGGTAGTTGCAGGGCCGCTCCTTTACCTTTTAAATTTGCCCTTCCCCACATAACCCCTGGTGCTGCGTTGTTGGTGATCTTGCAAAAAAAGCATTCTGTATGACGAGTGACACCTTTGCTTCACGTGTGGGGCGCTCCAGGGGCGTGATCGCTTTTACGCGGGGCACGGCACGTTGGGAACGTCGCCGCTTGAGCGAGCTGGGAAACTCCGTCGGCCGTCATCTGACCGTTTTACGAGGTAGGTTAGGTTGATCCGACCGTTCTGCTTGCTTTCGCGAGAGTTTCCACGAAGTGAAAAACAAAACAAAACGAAGGGCTGCCTTGCGAGTGAGTAATATTGCATAGCTCCCTGATGTGCTTTCGGGTCGATGCCGTGTGCTGTGCGACACGATGTCTTGACGTTTTACTCCACGTGCCGGGAGCTGTGTCAGGAATGGGATTAATGCTCCCGGCAACGTGGAGCGAAACGTCGGACGTTGTGCCAAACAGCACGCGGTATGACACAACGAAAAAAGTAAACGGAGCGCCACATGGCACAGCCGTGGAAACCTAAGCTGCAGTATAATTCGAAGTTTATTTAAGCAACCGTCGAAAACAAAAACGGTCCCTCTTTTTAAAAAGAAGATTTATGTATTGATTTCAAGCTTTCGTGACTGCAGTGATTCATATTCTTGGTTCTTTCGGTAAATTCACGTTGAAGGGAAACAATAAAATAATAAAATTCTCACGAAGTTTCGACTGCAACACAAGCAGTCATCATCACACCTGATGATCAAACCTGATGATGACTGCTTGTGTTGCAGTCGAAACGTCGTGAGAATTGTATTGTTTTATATATTTTATTATTTTATTGTTTCCCTTGAACGTGACTTTACCAAAAGAACCAAGAATAAGATTTATGTAGCTAAACTGGTCAATGTGCAGAGACTAAATAAATCTTCTTCTTCCACGCGTTAGTCCCACTCTTGTGGGGTCCGCTGTCCTTGCTGACCTTCTCCATGCTGTCCTGTCTTGCCCTATCTCTCTTTCCGCTCCTCGGGCCACCGTGTCCGATGGCACCACATCGCCCCCCCCCCCCCCCCACCTCTTCTTCTGCCTTCCTCTCGGTCTCTTTCTGTCCACTTGCATCACTTGCACCTTCTGACCCACATCATTTTCCTGCATCTCCAAATTTAAAATTGATAGGTAACCATCATTTTTGGTCTTGTGAATTCGATTTTGTTTTTTTCGTGAGAGATGATTGGGTTGGATAACCAACAAAAAATATTCGTGGAAATAATTCAAATAAAAAATCAATACGGGAAGGTGCCATTTTCGCTATTCGTAACTAATCACGTTAAAAACACAAAATATAATTGTCATAAACATTGGGCACATTTAATCAAAAGTACAAGTAGTTTATGGGATTAGTCCTTGGGAAAGAACTTTGTCTTCTGTAGATTGTGTTTTGTTCCAGTAGGAAAAACAAAAACTCTTTATCCCGAAACAATCTTAGTCCAATGCATGCACAAAAAAAAGTTACAAAAATAAGACCATTAAAATCATTCGCTGAGGCTTTTGGGCAAAGCATCACGTCATCGGTCGTGGCATTGGCGTGAGGTTTTCACGGCTTGACTTGCAGCCGTCCTGGCAGCTGATTTTGACCAATTGGAGTGTTCGCACGGTGACAGTCGCTGGCGTTTTTATTTTAAGTGGGAGCTGATTGTGTTTTTCACGAAAATGTGCCACACACACACACAACCAGAGGTCCATCGTTTACAAACAACAACAACAACACAAGTTTGAACCTCGTGTCCTACTTCCAAGGTTGGGTGATGTGAGCTCAGGATTATTGAAGGGCCTTCGCAAAAAGGGCCCAAAAACGATTCTTTTGAAAATATTTTTCCTTATTTATCCCGATTTGTGTTAAAAAAAAAAAAAAAACGTTTCCTCAGTTTTACCCTGCTCGTGCTCACACTGTCACGTGATGAAGAATCCACTCGGATCTGTCGCACGGGAGTGCGACCCTCCATGTCAGACAAATTATTTGGTGACGCTTTTGCTGCTGCGTTACCAGTGGCGCACAATTAACAACGAAAACACATTCGTGAGAAAAGGGCCATTGTCTGAAATGTTACCTATCGTATATATTATTATTTTTCTTTTTAAGCCATTGTCATTGACAAAATGTGTTGGGTCTGCGTGTTAGAGAATGGCCTGCGGAAATGGATATCACAGAAATACTTCTGAGATCCCTTCCAATGACTGATGGTGCACACAGTCGTGTGGGTGGTGGGGGTGGGGGGCAGCACTTTCCCACCCACCCTACTTCAGTAATGTTTGACACAACACAGTCACAATGGTATATTCAATTCTTAGTGGGAATTAAGCCAAATTAATTGCATCCCTAAATGTATTGATGCTTTTTTGTATTATTATTGCAGTTCATAGTGACCAGGTTGAGGCAACTCAATACACTTGAGAACCCGGTTTAATCGGATGCGGCTGCCTCAATCTGACAGCAGGATCTCAATTGTGTGAGCTCTAATCTGGCCAAAGGTTTTAAAACAATCTCCCACACAAGGTGTGGCCAAATAATGTTGCAACCACTTTTAAATTAGCTCTCCTGGTCATAAAGTGATAATTTTCAAAACCTTGTTTAAATGTGTGTACAGCACTCCTGAATTATTTTTCTTTTTTTATCAATAAGCTATTTAGTTCATGCAATTGTTTACTGTGAGCCTGACCTCTCAAAGACCAATCCTCGGTTTACCCATAGTGCACGTTTACCAGATGCGACGATGAATCGTCACGATTGAAGATCTCAAGTGGCTGCAGGAGGTCACCTGGACGCATTGCATCCAACATACAGGACTGTCATCATCAGCAAATTGCTAGCCACTGCTGGATCGAAGGCATCCCTTTGCTATCGCCATCACTCAGTCCTGCGGGACCCACGATCCTTCTCAGTCCTGCACGCGAGATGATCTCATCACTCCATCTCCGAAAAAAAAAAAACCCGAAATGGAGCAAGAGAAGCATGGAGCGATGCATGTTTCGAATTATGTTTAGAGACGGAGAGAGGAATACGTAGATTGGAGAACGGACGCAGGATAATTACATCACCTAAAGCTGCTTAGAAAAGTAAGTGGGCTCAGGCAGCAAACGTTGCTAGAAGGGATGGTGACCGATGGTCAAGAAAAATGATGGCAGTGGCAACTGAGGGACGGAACGTGTCCCAGAGGATGTCCGACATGGACATGGAACGATGAAATCAGCTGCTGAGCCGGTGCTAGTGGATTGCTGCATCGCAGGATCGTGAAAGATGGCAGTGTCTTGGGAGACTCCTTCAACCAGCAGTGAATTGACCAAGGCTGCTGCTGATGACGAAAGCGTGTAAATGCGACCGCATCTCAATGCGATCGGCGAAGAGAAATTAAACATTGTCACAGAACCCGAATTATGACACTTCGTCGCATCTCTGTGACGGTCAGGCAAGTAAAGTTTATCTTTCACAGCCTGCGAGCCACAGTGTCTGCTCCCCTTACGTTCACGCGCACATTCGGTGACGGGACGGACAATGCACAGTGTCAAAATTCGAGCACCGCTCCTGGAGGCATTGATAACAGCGGGAGGCACTGATAAGTTTAGCTGCTCTTCAGAAGCAGTAGGCACGGTTGCGTTCAAGCAATTGGCATTTACGAACGACGAGTGAGATTTCGCGTTTACCCCAGCGGAAAACTTTATTGAGGGTTGGCGTGAGACTCGGTGGGAGAGGTCGTGCGACGTTGGTCACAGTTGCCGTTCTCCTTCCAGCCTCGTACAGTTTGGAGATCTGCGTTTGACCTGACGTATGCTTCGCTAAGAGCGTGCAATTGCTTAAGCTTGCGGTAAGCAGTGACGAGCGCAGCCGTTCCACGAAACATTGCAAAGTACAAACTTTTTTAAACGGTGTGGTACAGTGATTTATTTTCCGAATGATTACATTTTACAAACGTGTGATGAATACATGCATATCACTCTCGTTTTACTTAATACCTTTCACATAATTGTCTGTGTGACCATGTATATGAATTTAATTGGTACGTTTAATTGCAATGTAATTTTATATAATAGATTTTTTCTTCTTCTAGAATTGGCCGTCAATGTTTTGGGAAGTAGAGATGAAGTTGTGATAGTCGTACACAATAGAAGTCTGTCATTCTGTTTACCGTTATTACAAATTGTAGTTGACGTTGCTTCGTGCACTGTGGTTATAGCCATCGGAGTGATATTCCCAACGCCATGATACACTGGGGTAATCGTTGCTGGCAACTGTCACCAGGAATAATTGTCGCACCACTATTATAAAAACAATTGAAGTCGCAAAAAATATGGACGAAATGCGATCGCCGTTTCTTCGCCTCGCGGGCAACTGGGATGGCATCTTCAAATCGAATAACTGGCGGAGGTCATATGGCCACCCGAGGTTGTTGTGCTCTGTAGACCCAAATCATTGTTCACCAAAAACGTAATTTAAACAAGCTGTGGTTTAGTTCTCAGAGGCGATTTTCGGAACTGAAATTCCTGAAGAAGCTCCCAGCACGTGGAGCGAAACGTCCTTCGGACATCGCGCCAAACGCACAGCGCGATCCGGAGTGAGCCGCTACGGCACAACCGTAAAAAAAAACCCAAAACCTACGCGGTCGTGAACGGTTTTCGCTGGCCGGGAAGGACTCCGCCAATCTGCACCATCATCGTGTGTCGGTGCGCTGTGCTAGCGGAGGCCGCTCACCGCCAGAGCCCTCCAACCTTGGTAGCACTCGCAGGACACTTGGACGGACGGGCTCGACACCAAGTATCTGCTCGTCGAAAGCCTGTCCATTGAAATGTCCTGCAAATCCAAGGCAGGTTGGCGTGCTTGCAAGGAGGCCGAGTGGCCTCCGCGAGCACACTACAGCGACAAAACGTCCGGACGAGCGTGGTCACCTCCCAACCGCAAACTATACATGTAGCTCACCACCATTGCTACACCAAGTTTGCCGTGGTTGGTCAGAGTAAGTGCGTTGCCGGTCGCAATTGTTTAAACATTTCCTGAGTGCATCATGGCCTTAAGGGTGTTTTAAACATAACCTTGATGAGTAGCAGAGGGCTAACAATGATTTCCTGTCAGTAGCCCGGGTGTGCATATCCAGATTGTTTGGTTCACTCACTGCATCTGTCCCCGAATTTGACACGGCCGAGTTAAGTGAAACCGTACTCGTAGAAAAAAATATTTTTTTAAAGTTGTCGGTGACCTATAGCATTTGACAACGTGCGAGTGTTAGATACGGAAAGCACAGCTTTAGTAATGACTTTTGTGTTTGATGCGGGTGTCGGTCATGGTGTTGTTTCCTTGTTACCAAAACCTGCACACAGACGAAGTGTCCTCTCCAAATGTATTAAAATGCAAAATGACACCAAGTGTTTGCTCGCCCATTATTTGGTTTCCTCTTGTCTCTCCCAATTATTTTCCGGTTGCGCGATTGGCATAATGCACG